TTTTATTTTATGAGTTGTATTGATTTTCTTGTAGTGAATGAAGAAAATATTCAACAAAATTCCTTTTTATTCAAAACATTCCATACATAAAAAGCAAACCACAACCAAAGCATAAAAAATAAACAAACCACAACCAAAGCATAAAAAATAAACAAACCACAATCAAAGCATAAAAAATGAACAAACCACAACCAAAGCATGAAAAATAAACAAACCACAACCAAAGCATAAAAAAAACAACAAAGCATAACTAAAAATACAACATAAACATAATGCACTAAAATAACTTCTTCACTTGACTTCATTGACCTTCATTGCCTTTCACCGCCCACAAATGCTCCATCAAATCAACTTGACGGTGTTCATGAATATACGACGATTGCATCTCCGTGTAGCGCTCAATCATGCGATGCATGAAAGTACCGTCTCTAACTAACGGATCATGCTGCACTGGTTCTCCATTTGGCCCCATAGGTTTTTCATAAATTCGTGTTAAGGTCGTGTTCATGGGATCTGGCTCATACACTTCCTCAACATCATAATCATACTCATCTTCCACAATCATGTTGTGGAGGATGATACAAGTCATCATTATACTTTTGAGCACCTCCTCGTCAAATAGACGCGCCGCGCCCCTGATAATAGCCCACCGAGCTTGAAGGATACCAAAGCACCTCTTCACATCTTTTCTGTACCCCTCTTGATAGGCAGCAAAAAAATTTTCCTTCTCGGATCGGGGATGTGGAATTGATTTCACAAATGTTGTCCATCTCGGTAGATACCATCAGCTAGATAATACCCGTTTTGATACACGGTATTATTGACTTGATATGTGATATTTGGGCATTCACCTCTCAAAATATCATTGAACACCGGGGATTGACCCAGGACGTTCAAATCATTTTGAGAGCCGGCAACTCCAAAGAAGGCGTGCCAAACCCAGGTATCAAAACCAGCAACTGCTTCGAGGATGATGCTTTTCTGCCCTTTCCGATTACCATAATCCCCTTGCCAAGCAGATGGACAATTTTTCCATTGCCAGTGCATGCAGTCAATGCTACCAATCATTCCAGGAAATCCACGAGACTCAGCTTTTTGTAGAAGCCGTTGCAGGTCCCTGGGCGTAGGTCTGCGCAGGTAGTCCATGGTGTACAAATTTTCCACTGCATCACAAAATCGCACCAAGCTCTCCAAAATAGTGGACTTCCCCATCCGGGCAATCTCATCCACTTGATCAGCAGATGACCCATACGCCAACATTCGTATCACAGCTGTGAACTTTTGCTCGGGAAGCAGCCCCAAATCTCCAGCACAATTTTTCTTTTGAACAAAGTAGTCATCATAATTGCAAATATCATGCATGACTTTATTGAACAAATGGGGTTGCATTCTATATCTTGCTCGAAAATGAACATCAGAGTACAGAGATTGTGGGATAAAATAATCTTCCAGAAGATTCTTACCCCGAGAATGTCTATGTCTGTCCACATTCGATGCCCGGGCTTCTCGTAAACCACGACGGCTCTGGTTTTCTTCCTCCATCAAAGCAACGGCCACACCAAGTTGCTCATCTAGTTCTCTCTGCGCCCTTTTGCTTGCAGCTCTTCTGCGCATTCTTGCTCGCCTTTCTCGCTCTTGCCTATCCAAACATCTTCCATGTCTGACATTGAGAATGGAGAATGAAATCTAAAATCTGAGAAATGAAATCTAAAATATGAGAAATGAAGATGCAGAGAAGATATGGTGTGGGAGGTATGAGCTGAGCCTCTGGTTTTATAGAAAAATTTAGACAGATAGAGATGACACGTGGCGCAATTTTAGAGGATGAAAATCTTATCTGAAATTTGAAATTCAAATGAAATTTGGAATTGGTAATTTATCTGGAATTTGAATTTTGAAATGTATCTGAAATTCAAATTTTGAATTTATCTCAAATTTGAATTTTGAAATGTATCTGAAATTTGAAATTTATCTGAAATTTGAAACCCAAAATCTTATCCGATATGAATAGTATTGACACGTAGGAACCCAAAAATCTTATCCGAAAATATTATCCAAATTAATTGTTTAAATAAACAAAGTTGTGAAAAAAACAAAAAAATGAATAGTATTTGCCATGGCAAGGGGCTAACTGCTGGAAACACACATTTGCTGGGGGGAGCTAGGGCAGCCACTATTCACGTGAATAGTAACTGCCCTAGGGCTCCCCTTGCCATGGCAAGGGGCTAACTGGTGGAAATGCTCTTAACCAATAAATGATAGTTCAGTTAGTTGAGCTTTTTATATCCTACAGTTGATTTGATATTCCACGCTTTTTATATCGAAGTAATATTCCCTTTTAGTGTTTTATTTTTTAGTAATGCTACACTTACCACATTTTTATCCCACATTTCTATACTACATGATGTGGCACGTCAATATTATATGCCACATCAATTAAATCAATTAAGTGTTTTTTAATTAGGACAATTATAAAAATAAATTATTTAATATTAAATAATTTTAAATATAATATGGTATAAAGATGTGGTATACAAATGTGGTAAAAATAACATTATTCTTTATTTTTTATTTGAGTTTATTTTTTAAAATGAGTATTACATGGGAATGGGAGGAAAGAAAGGAGAGCACTGTATGTAAAGCGTTATACATAGAGCGGCTCTAATTTTCCTACGAAACTAAACAAACAATGCAATCCTTGGTCAATCTGTCTAACCATCTGATCAAACCCAGAAACCATGCCTCTTGTTGGTTTGTCCAAAATTTCAATTCATGGGTTAAAGCTATACGAAATGCTCCTTCCCCCCATGAAGCTTTGGGTATCTACTGTCAAATGCAACGTCAATCTATTCGTTTCGATAGCTTCTCCATGCTCCTTACGCTGAAATCATGCACCCAATTGAAGAGCAATGCAGTCATTCAACATCTCCATGCCCACATCCTTAAACTTGGCTTTAGATCTGATCTATATGTGGCCAGTGCACTCCTCAATGCGCACTCTACTGCCTCGCTTGAAGATGCCTGTGTACTGTTCGATGAAATGCCTGACAAGAACACGGTCACCTGGAATACAATGATTTCTGGGTATTTGAGATCTGGGGATGTAAAGAGAGCGCGTTTGGTTTTTGAGGAAATGCCATTGAGAGATATCGCTTCATTTTCTGCCATGATCAGTGGGTACGTGCAAAATGGCAATCATAAGCATGCCTTATTGCTCTTTCGGAGTATGGTAATGAATGAGAACGAAGGTATAAGACCTGACGGAGGGATTGCAGTCTCAGTTTTATCCTCTTGTGCCCGCATGGGTACCCATGGGCTGTTGTTGGGGAAATCAGTTCATGGGTTTGTGGTCAAGAATCACTGGGAGTTGAATGTGGAACTTGGCACCACATTGGTTGACATGTATGCTAAGTGTAGGTCTTTGAAAGGAGCTGCAAGGGTTTTTGAATTGATGCAAGTAAGAAGTGTCATGTCTTGGACTGCATTGATTTGTGGATCAGCACAACATGGCTGCAGCAGAGCAGCATTTTCCTTGTTTGGGAAGATGCAACAAGCCGGTGTGAGACCTAGTGAACGGACTTTCACAGGAATTCTTAGTGCTTGTATGCATAAAGGACTAGTTGAGGAGGGGCGCAAATACTTCAAGTTGATGGAAGAAAGTGGCATGGAGCCTACAATTCAGCATTATGGATGCATAGTCCATTTGTATTGTAAGGCAGGACTGTTAGAAGAAGCTTATGAGGTAATTAAGAAAATGAGACATGAACCCGATATTTATGTCTGCGAATCTTTTTTGTCTGCTTGTATGAAGCATAAACGGTACGAGATGGCGGAAAGAGTAGCTGAGCAAGCCATGAAGATGGTAAAACCAAGAAACGATGATCGGCTTTATTCTCTTATCTCGGATTTGTATGCTTTGGGTGGAAAGTGGGATGATGCTGACAGAGTGAGGAACTTCATGGTCAAGCAAAATGCGAGGACGGTTAAGGGCTCTAGGTTTGTTAGAACGGATAGTAGAATGTTAACATTCCATCTGTCCTTGGGCAACCCATGAGATTTACCTGGATGATATTAACTTGGGTTGAGCTTTCAATTTGTTAAGATGGCTCATTTGTTTTGTTAGATTGATCGCAATAATAACATCCTTTGCTTTGATTGTCATAGGATTTGTTGGAATTTTTCGATTTGGATGCTCCAATCTGATTGAGGAGTAGTTCTGAGTTGCAACCTGACTTTTCTGTAGCTTCCTCTAAAGCTTGATATCAATTCCCAAGATGGCTCATCCATTTCAATTTGCCAAGCAACTGCCATACCAAAAACCCTAACTTCATCCCTTTTTTATTCCCAACCCTAAACCCTAAATTAAAGCAGGTGTTTTTCAAAAAAGGATTTCAATTAGTTTAAAATAGTTTTTTTTTTTTTTTAAGGGTGAAATAACCTTGTTGATCCCTGTTGTGCTCGGATTTTCAATTGGATCACTAATTATTTTGGTCTTTTCCATTTAATTTAATTTAATTTTTTTGCTTTTTAATATTTACTGAAAGATTTAATTTGAATTTATAAAATTTCCAAACAGCTAAAACGTTATACACAGAGCGCGCCAACTGCTAGTTTTTTCAAATGAAACTATACAAGGCTTACGAGCAATGCAATCCATCGTTGTCTCGCTCTCCAACCGTCTAATAAGACCCACTAACCACGCCTTTTATTTTTTCTTCAAAAGCTTCAATTCTTGGGCTTCGGCTATACGAAATGCTTCTTCCCCCCAAAAAGCTTTGCATATCTACTCTCAAATGCACCGTCAGTCTGTTCCTTTTGATAGTTTTTCCATGCTCTATACGCTAAAATCATGTACCCAGTTAAGGAATCATGAAATCATTCAACACCTCCATGCCCATATCATGAAACTTGGCTTTGGCAATCATGTATATGTGGCCACTTCACTTCTCCATGCGTATGTTGTTGTCTCGTTCGTGGATGCCTGTGTACTGTTCGATGAAATGCCTGCGAAGAACACGGTCACGTGGAACACGATGATTGCAGGGTATTCGAGGTTGGGGGATGTAGAGAGAGCACGTTTGATTTTTGAGGAAATGCCACTGAGAGATGTTGCATCATGGTCTGCCATGATCACTGCGTATGTGAACAATGGCAATCAAGAGTGTGGGCTGTCAGTCTTTCGGGATATGGTAATGGATGGAGGTTTAAAACCTGACCAAGTGACTGCAGGCTCAGTTTTATCCGGTTGTGCCCACCTGGGTCATCTTGGGTTGCTTGTGGGGAAATCAGTTCATGGGTTTATGGTCAAGAATGGATGGGAGTTGAATGTGGAAATTGGTACAGTTCTGGTTGACATGTATGCTAAGTGTGGGTTTTTGAAGGGAGCTGCAGGGGTTTTTGAATTGATGCAAGAAAGGAATGTCATGACTTGGACTGCATTGATTTGTGGATCGGCACAACATGGCTACAGCAAAGCAGCGTTGTCTTTGTTTGAGATGATGCAAAAAGCTGGTGTAAGACCTAACGAATTGACTTTCACAGGAATTCTTAGTGCTTGTGTGCATACAGGACTAGTTGAGGAGGGCCGAAAATATTTCGAGTTGATTGAAGAAAGTGGCTTGGAGCCTCAAATTCATCATTATGGATGCATGGTTGATTTGTATGGCAAGGCAGGACTGTTAGAGGAAGCTTATGAGGTTATTAAGAAAATGAGATTTGAACCCAATGTTGTTGTCTGGAGTGCTTTTTTATGTGCGTGTAAGGAGCATAAACAGTTTGAGATGGCCGAACGAGTGGTTGAGCAGGTCATGAAGATGGTAAAACCAGATAACGATGGTGGGGTTTATTCTCTTATCTCAGATTTGTATGCTTTGGGTGGGAAGTGGGATGATGCAGAAAGAGTGAGGAATTTAATGGTCAACCAACATGTGAGGAAGGTCAGGGGCTCTAGTTTTGTTAGAAGTGGATAGTAGTCTAGTAGAAAATTTCCATTCCATCTGTCGTTGGGGAACTTATGAAATTTACATGGATGATACTAACTTGGGGTGAGTTTTCGATGTGTTTAGATGGTTTACTTGTTTACGAGCGAGAATAATGCATTGATCAGGTTTGGTTGTTATGAGGTTTTATCTAACAGATTGTAAGATCAAGACCAACAAGATTGAGGAGCAAAAAGCAGAGTAGTTTCTTCATGCTCTGCAGCTGTGCTCAAAGGCTCTATTGGTACTTTTCAGAAAACATATCAGATATATTTATTTTTCTGCCACAAGTAGGTTTCTAAGTTTGGCAAAGCAACTACTAAGTCGATCAAATACTCATGAGATGGTGGCTAGAATCTGGCTGATGTGGATACATTTCCAGGTAAATGAGCATTGACATCGGGACATGGATCAAGTTTCAGGTGTCTGTATCAACTGCAAACGGTTGATTGGTTTTGTTTCCTCAATGCATTATAGGACTTATTTTTTGTTAGTTCCTTTCTTTCAAATCAATTTGTTTTTTTTTATGTTTCACCCCCTTTGTTTCCCTTACACATTGTATTAGTTTCTTCACCAATTCTTTCACATGTAATCCATGACCTGAAGAAGTTGGAATCCACAGAAATAATATATATAGGTGCTCTTGAATTAATATCTTTATAGTATAATTAAGAAAAGACGAATGTGTAAGTGTCCTCAATTGTGAACCTGACTTTGAAAACCAACCAAAAAAAAAAAAAAAAAAAAAAAAAAAAAAAAAAAAAAACTAAATCAATTGCTAATAATAATATTAATATTTTGTATTTCTAATGGTGCTAACAATGCTAAATCTAAATTAACAATATTGCATATGGTTACTTTCTTATGATGCTGCGGCTACCTTCAGATGAGGGGTATATAAATAAGAATAGTATGACATGAATTAGCATATCTTTAGAATGAAAATATGTAATATAGATTTTCTTAAATGATAAGATCGAAAAAAGAAAATGTAGAGAAAGTGCAAATAGAAGAAACGTTGGTACATTACATTCGAACCTAGATTGAATTATGATTGTCTACGGATGCCACATGGTTGCACAATTGCACCAATTTAAGATATTGGAGGAAATTATCATATTGAATCTAAACATCTGACCGCCCAAAATAGGTTTGAGTTTTGCTTTTGCAGATTGTTAGTGAATTGGTTTATAGTTTAGAGGTTTGTAGAGATCAAGGTTGCTGCGAGGCAATTAACGATCAAGACATTAGGGGCTCGTTTGTTACACCTCGTTGGCTTGAATTGGCTTGGTTAAAAATTAATTCCATGTTTGTTGTCACCTGGTCCTAGTATTAACTTGGATTAGTAATCCTAAGCCCACCAAAAACACCTTTTTATGTGTTATTAGTGAAACCCATGTGAAAATGAGGGACTACTAGTCCCGACCCAAGCTTCTACAACCAATTCCACCCAAGCGCCAGCAGCAACCACTCAACACCTAGGCGGCAATCACAACCACCGACTATGGATTTCAAACCGCGATGGCAGAAGGCGATGGCATGCGTCTTTGGTGATGGCAGATGACCATGACGATTGCAGATGACCACAGTGATAGAGGTTCGACAATTTATCTTTGGGTCTTCATTAGGCCTGGGCACAGTTCGGGTCGGGTATAATTTTGAGTGACCCGTGAGCCAAACCGAGTAAGATATCGGTTCTCAAGTTGGGTCAGGTCCAAACTCAAAGCCAAAAATGGGCCGACCTGATAGGCTCCGGTTCAATTTTGACATTTTTGGTCGGTTTTGGGCTTTAGCCCAATACTAGTTTTTTAAGCCCAACTCACTTTTCTTGGGCCAAAATCTTTTTTTTGGGGTCAAATTGCCAAAACCTAATTAGTTTATTTATTCAAAAGCCCAATTTTGTTAGTCTTTTTCACAATGCCAATTTTTCAAACAGGCAATCCATTAAAGCCCATTTTGTTTTTCCTTACCCAAATCATGAAAATTCAACTCAACTATAACTTGCTTTTTTAAAGTTTCTAAACTAAATCATAATCACAAGCATCATCCAACTATCAAATTAGTTGTTTCTTACAAGTTACATCCCATGCCATGACAAAAAATACAAGTAAGGCACCAAATTATATTTTACAACCCATGACAAAAATACAAGTAAAACACCAAATTAAATTTTAAATACCAAACATATTCACTTGTATGATTGTATCACGTAAGGGAGCTGCAAAAAAAAAAAAAAAAAAAAAAAAAAAAAAAAAACAATAATATCGGTTAAAAATCACTCACCAAAACAACCAGAATCATACTCCAACTCGATAGTTAATTTCACCAACAAAAAAAAGTGTTTGCAGTTTTTGTCTCAAATGATTTAAACAGATCAAAACAAGTTATAGCACCTCAATCAACTCAAATACACAGATCAAAACACTCCTCAATCAGTTATCATTCAGAACATCTTATAAGCTATGTTGTTTCGTTTTCTTAAGAAATCTATTTCAGCCAAGTGTCACGGGATGTTAAATTTTTATTTCCATCAATATTTAATCAACCAAATACAAAATGAAGCATCAAATATCAGTCCCACTGAGCAGTAATCTTCACTTTTGTCAAATATCCATACTTTTCCGAAGTTAAAATAAAAAGAAGCCGTTTTTTATTTTATTTTTCCCTACAGAGCAACCAATGGGTACTCAAAGTGAAGAATATTGAAGATAAAAGTGAAGATATCACCAAGCAGTTATCTTCACTTTTGTCAAATACTTCTAGCTAAACTGAAATTTCAGATTAGTGAGCAAATCACAGATAGCCATCAAACCACATTGAAAATATTGAAGAATTGACGAAATTGAAAGCAAAAGAACTAGGACATGACCACTTGGGTGGGGAAAAGAAAAGATTACTTACTGCATCAGACATGAAAGCTCGATCTGGGTCTTCAACTATGGGGGATTGCTGTCAAGGTGCAGAAAGAGAGGTGCAGAGCGAGAGAGAGGAGAGGGTGAGGTGAGAGAGAGAGAGAGATAGAGGGGATGAGTGAGACAAGATATAGAAAGAGCGACAAAGACAACAATGACGCCTTAGCGGTAGTCGTCGCCGTCGATTTGGTGAGGACGACAGGAGCGGGTGAGATCAAGAGAGGGGCGACGAGTGTGAGTTAGAGCAGCTCCACCGAGGAGCCCAAGCCCGAGGCTGGGGGGAGGTCAAGCGAAAAATCCAGTTCTAGAGGGCCACTTTTGCCCGAGCTGGCTGTGGGACCCACGAAGACGAGCTGGCCTGAAGGCAAGTCTCGCCTGACCTGCAGCCCAAGGGGAGGATGGCGTCAGCGCGCGGTAAAAAAAAAAATAAAATTTGAACTCGCATGCACTCACATCATCCCTATGCGTTTCCAACGGCTAGAAGACACGTGTCCTTGCCTAGGCGCTCCGATCTGCTTCTCCTCCTCCAATCCAAAGGCTGACCTTTTTTTCCTATAAATTATGAAAAAAAATTCAAATTTTTTTTAAAAAAATATCAAAAAATTCTGAATTTTTTTCTTCTTCTATAAATACCTATCAATACCCTTCATTTTCAACACCAATCCTCATACATTTTCTTCTACTTATACTATTATTCACTCTTTATTCAACATTTTATTATCTTTCAAATTGTATTTATAAATACCTATGAATACTCTTCACTTTCAACACCAATCCTCATACATTTTCTTATACTTCTACTATTATTCACTCTTTACTCAACATTTTATTATCTTTCAAATTGTATTTTTATTTCTTATCTTTATGGCTTCTTCTATCGAAACCGGAGGGGCGTGGAGCACCATGGAAGATGTTTTCTTGTCTGTGTGTTGGGTCCAAACTAGTCATTCTCTCGTGTCAGGCAATGAGATGAAATTTTGTCATATGTGGAAAAAAAATCATGCCGAATTTTGTGAAAGAATTCCGGGGTCGACTCGTATGGAAATGACATTGTCTAGTAGGTGGAAAATTCTCAATAAAGAGTTGGGAAAATGGATAGATGCCTTGGCAAAAACAAGGGACAACTATAGAAGCGGGGAAAATCTTAGTAGCGAGGTAAATATTTTGTAATTTTCGTTTTATTAAGTTTAATGTCCTAATATATATATATATATATTTTAATGTTTCTTGCATTTTCAATATTTTGTTAATATTTCTTGCATTTTCAATATTTTGTTAATATTTCTTGCATTTCCAATTTTTTCTTAATATTTCTTGCATAAATAATATTTTGTTAATATTTGTTGCATTTCCAATTTGTATGGTTAATTGCATTTCCATTATTTTTATTTTATGTTACTTGCATTTCCAATATATTTTAAATATTTCTTGCATTTCCATTATTTTTGTTTTCTTAATAGATTATGCAAGCACAAATGTGGTTTGGTGCAATTAGGCAAGGCAAAAAAACTTTCAACCATCATGAATATTGGGAGGTGGTGAAAAATTGCAAACACTTCAGAATTATTCCCACGGGTCCCCCCGTTATGTTAAACGAGACGTCACTTCATGATTCAACGACATCGGATTCACCTCTAGATTCTCCTATGAGTCAAGACTCACCCATCGAAAAGGAGCCGAGGCTCATTGGCCAAAAGGTTGCGAAGGCGAAGAAATGGAGTAATTCTAGCAATAATACATCAAAATTTTTGGAGGAAATTGCAAGGCAGAGCGTCATAAGAATTGAAATGGAGCGAAAACACCAAGAGAACGAGATGGCAATTCGAGCAGAATATGTAAAAGAAAGGGAGTATTTGCGCAAAGAACACATTGACAAAAAGGATCGGGAAACCATGACCATGGATACAAGCCATATGTCCCTTGAAACAAAACAATTTTGGAAGATAGAACGAATGGATGTTATGAGAAGAAGACTTTTCCGTGACGATGGACATAGAAACACGGATTGGTTAAATGATCAAAACCATTAAATTAGTTGGCATACCTTTTATTCATTTGTATTTTTCATGTTTTGCATTAAAGTTATTGTAATTCATGTATTTTATTTTAGTAGTAGTAATTCTTAATGACTTGTATTGGCTTTCTTTATTTAATAAACAAAGCATTCAATAAAATACATTTTTATTCAACATATTCCATACATCAAACAAAACATAATTAAAAGGAAAAACCACAACCAAAGCATAATTAAAAATAAATAAAAACTATAACCAAAGCACAATAATAAAAACAAACCACAACCAAACCATAATATCAAAAATAAAAAAAACAACACAACCAACCATAACTAAATAAAACCTAACCAAAGCATCTATGCTCCATCATTCATTGTCATTGCCTTTCACCAACCATAGATGCTTCATCAAGTCAACTTGATGCCTTTCATGAATATAAAAAGATTGCATCTCTGTATATCGATCAATCACGGGTCATGAAACGACCATCCCTAACCAACGGTTCCTGCTCCAATGGTTCTCTACTTGGCCCCACCAGCCTTTTATAAATTCGTGTCAGGGCCGTGTTCATGGGATCTGGTTCGTAGACCTCTACAGCATCGTTATCATACTCATCCTCCACAATCATATTATGGAAGATGATGCAAGTCATCATAATGCTCCTTAGCACCTCCTCATCAAACATACGAGCCATTTCCGTACAATCAACCACCGAGGTTGGAGGATGCCAAAACACCTTTCGACATCTTTCCTGTATCCTTCTTGATAGGAAGCAAATAATCTTTGCTTCTAGGATCGGGGGATTCAGAATTGATTTGACAAATGTGGTCCACCTCGGGTAGATGCCGTCTGCTAAATAATACCCAGTCTGGTAGACGGTATTGTTGATTTGATAGGTGATATTTGGGGCTTCAACTTTCAAAACATCGTTGAAAACCGGGGATTGACCCAGCACGTTGAGGTTATTTTGAGATCCGGCAACTCTGAAGAAGGCATGCCAAACCCATGTATCGAATCCAGCAACGGCTTCAAAGATGATACTTTTTTGGCATTTTCTATTTCTGTAATCTCCTTGCTAGGAAGTTGGGCAATTCTTCCATTGCCAGTGCATGCAGTCGATGCTACCAATCATTCATGGAAATCCTTGAGCTTCAGCTTTTTGTAAAAGCCGTTGGAGGTCCCTGGGTGTAGGTCTGCGCAGGTAGTCCCTAGTGTACAAAGTTTCAACTGCATTACAAAATCTTACCAAGGCCTCCAACATAGTGGATTTCACCATCCGGGCAATCTCATCCACCTGATCAGCAGATGAACCATACGCTAACATTCGTATAACAGCTGTAAGCTTTTGTTCCGGAAGAAGTCTCAAAACCCCAGCAACATCACACTTTTGAACAAAGTATGCATCATAATTGCAAATATCATGCATGACTTTATTGAACAAATGAGGTTGCCTTCGAAAATCAACATCAGAGTACAAAGAAGTTGGGATAAAATAATCTTCCAAAAGATTCTTACCTCGAAAATGCCTATGTCTGTCCACATTCGGGCCACGGCCGACTTGTGAACCACGACGGCGACCTTGGTTCTCTTCATCAAGCAAAGTCACTGCTATGACAACTTGTTAATCTTCTTCTCTTTTGCCTTTTAGCTTGTCTACGGCTTCTCTCATTTGTTTCTCGCTCTTGCCTCTCCAAGCATCTTCTCATGTCTTCCATTGAGAATGAAGTATGAATTCTGAACTCTGAGAAATGAAAATATAGAAAGATGTGGTGTGAGAGGTATGAGCTGAGCCTTTGGTTTTATAGAAAATTTTGGTCAGATAGAGATGACACGTGGCTTGATTTTAGAGGTTGAAAATCTTATCTGAAATTTGAATGTTGAAATTCATCCGAAATTTGAAATTTGAAATTCATCCGAAATTTAAAATGTATATGAAATTTGAATTTTGAAGTGTATCTAAAATTTGAAATTTGAAATTTATCTGAAATTTGAATTTTGAAATGTATCTGAAATTTGAACCCAAAAATCTTATCCGGAAATTTTATGAGATATGAATAGTCTTGACACGTAGGAACCCGAAAATCTTATCCGAAAATATTATCTAAATTAATTATTGAAAAAAAAAAAAGTGAAATTGAAACAAAAAAAAAAAAAAAAAAAAAAAAAAGAATAATTGCCCTTTGCCATGGCAACTGGTGAAAACACACATTACTTTTTGCAAGGGCAACCACTATTCACGTGAATAGTGGCTGCCCTAGCCCCCCCTTGCCATGGCAAATGGCAAATGGGTGGAGTTGCTCTTAGGGCTGAGAGAGAGAGAGAGACGAATGAAAGTGAGCGAGTTAGGTTAGGTTACTTTGTGAAGGTAATGATCCAGTGCAAGCATATACTGCATAAACTCTTCTTTAAGCCAATCAGACAATAACACATGGAAAATGCTAGGGGTGGCATTTTAGACCGAAAAACTGAAAAATCGCAAAAATCAATCGACAATTTACCGCAATATCGGGAAACCGAACAGCATTTGCGAAATGAAGAACTGAACCTCATTTGCGGTTGTAGTTGCGGTATTTGATTTTTAAAAGTTGCGGTTACCGCAAACCGCGACTATATTAAAAAAAAATAATAATTGCATTTTGTAGGTAGCATTAGTGCTCAAACAATACAACGGGGTCCTTCAAACCCACTCACCACCACCAACACTTGAGTTTGTAACTTTAGTTTGTAACATTGGTGCATTGTATTTTCCTTTTAGTTTGTAACTTTAATTAACTTTGAATTGGATTTTTCCTTTGGGTTGTAACTTTAATTCATTTTGCATTGCATTTTCCTTTTGGTTTGTAACTTTAAAGGATTTGGAATTGGAATGCTTGAGAAGTTGAGGTTGTTAATGCTTGAGAAGTTTAACTTTAATTGGAATGCTTGGAATTGTAACTTTAATTTTCTTTAGGTTGTGAATGCTTGAGAAGTTGAGGAGGTTGTGAATTTATATATGCTTGAGAAGTTGAGGTTGTGAATTTATATTTTTGGGTTAAGGTATGCTTGAACTCAAAAGGCTTCAAAAGAAGCATCAAAATTAGGCCTAAAATGTGGAAGATTGGATTTTTATGACACAAAAAGAACTTGTAATTTTAAACCACTAATTCACAGTAACCAACCGCTTTTTGCGGTTTCAAAATTCACCATACCACAAATAGTCGGTCGGTTTGCGATTTGGGCAAATTTTCGTGGTTACCGAACCGCAATCACCCCTAGAAAATGCATATATAATTAAATATTATGCGGTTTGGTTCAGGTCCACCGGTTTAAAATTTTTTAGACCCGAAGTTGAACCAAAGTCAATGGTTCGGGTCAAGTCTAATGTTGACTTTTTCAGTTTGGTCACAAAAACCTCCTTTTTCGGTTTGGTTTGGTTTGGTTCGGTTGGTTCTTTGTCCTAGTCCAATCGTACACCAAATGTAGTACAAGGCTTATCTGCTTTATGCTAGGCCAATCCAATCCAAGATAATCCCGGTATTTAGTCAAATTTATGACAATCCGACATACTAAACGACCCCCAAAGATTATCTCTAGTTCATTTTAGGGTGGTGGGGGATATAGTTGTTTCGGGGTGGTTGGAAATTCTGTAATTGGAGATTTTTTACTCGGAGGGTATTGGCTAGCTCTAAATTTAGATTCAGCTATTTGAATGTGAAGAGAAAATAGAAAATTCTAGAGATCAAGAGCTTATGTAGCTGCAAATTACGTTCTGTTCACTGAAGCTATGCCACCAAAACTTCTTTCAAGTTTAAATATTGATTAATGAACTTCTTTATTGGATTAACAAGCTTCTTACCAACTTCTTATCCATTTCACAAAAAAAAATAGAGAAAAAGAAGAAGAAGAAGAAGGTCAATCCCGATTTGGTATCATGTGGTTTCACTCGTAAGGCATGTTTGTTTCTGTCCTCTCAATTTTTGCAATTAGATACCCCGGTCTTTCCAATTGTTGCAATGTGATGCCGTTGTTGGGGTTTCCATCAAATCTCCCCGAAATTGACAACTCATCACTTAATAGAATTTTTAACGGTCAAGCTAACGACGAAGTCACATTGCAACAAATTTTCAATGTTGGGGTACTTTATTGTTAAAATTGAGAGGACATGGGCAAATGTGTCTTATGAGTGAAACCACAGAGTACCAAACTGAAATTGACCAAAAAATAAAATAAAATAGAAACACAATGAATTCAAGTAAGGCTTTTCTGTTTTAAAAGTCATAGATGTGGGAATTAGAGTCATAGAATCATAAAATTCCTTGAGCAGAGTTTAGCACATTAAGCAAGCTACATTTTCTGTTTGCAGAAGACATCAACTATATTGCTTGCAAGGCTTTTTTTTAAATAAATTTAAAAAAGAAAAAAAGAACTGTGATATAGAATAGATCAATCAACCTCTCGATTTCTGTAAAGATTATATACATAATCAGACTTCTAGTCATTTGATATGTTTTGTGAAAGGACACTCTTTGCTAAAGAATGGTATGATTATGTATCTATTTGGAAAGATCGTGAGTTCGAGTTATAGCATTTGTGTAGTGTGTGAAAGTTTAGGCATTTCCTAAGATCAAGCCAGAAAAGCAAAAAAAATGGAATGAAAGTTCACATTTTTTTTCTTTTATCTTTTTGGCAAATTCTGTAGTACACAGGCTACCTTAAGTGGGCTTCCAGTTGGTCATTACCAAAGCCCATATAAGCTCCTGGGTTGGTCCATATAGCATTCAACCACAGTCCCAAGAACACTAAAATTTTGTTGCAGAAGCCAATCTTGATTTATCTCTATCGGATTAGTGGTTGGTTGAAAATTGAAATGAGTTCGTTGGCATCTTCACTTGGCACTTGCAATCCCAGAAAGTTGAGAACACAAAACATTTTGCTCCAGAGAGATGTCACAACATCAGAAACATCAAGAGTCAAAATCTTAAGCCATCCACAGAGAAGAAGCTCATCTTCTTCTTCTGGACAAGTACTGCAGCTAAATGAGAACCCAAATTTGCTTAAGAGAAGAGAAGCAATTGGCTTTGGCTTCTGTCTTGGCCTTCTTGATGTACTCTTGGCACCTCAACCCACTCAAGCAGCTGAAGGGGCCACTTGCGAGCTAACTGTATCTCCCTCTGGCCTCGCTTTCTGTGACAAAGTTGTGGGATATGGCCCTGAGGCTGTTCAAGGACAGCTGATTAGGGTATTAAAGAATTCTATATATATATATATATATATATACCATGGGTTCTGTTGCATAAAATTAAACATGGGTTTTGTTGGTTTTTTTGTTGTATTTGCTTAAAACAGACAAAATTGTTAAGAAGTCTAATAATTGTTGAGTTGAATTAATTTTAGGACCTAGTGGGCAAATCAGGGTCTTATGTATCTGGGTTCTGTTCTGATCAATTTTGTAATGCAAATGCAGGCACACTATGTTGGGAAATTGGAGAATGGGAAGGTGTTTGATAGCAGCTACAATCGTGGGAAGCCCCTTACCTTTCGTGTTGGTGTTGGTGAGGTATGCATATCACTATTTGAATATGTTCATAATTTGCAGCAACTCATGTGTTTGCCTGGACCAAAATTTTCCTTATTTGTGCTCTGGACTTCCCTAAATTGGGTGGTGTCTCCTGCTTTCAAAATATTGATATTGTTGCGCAAGAACCTTACTTGAGGTCTTTAGGGGATTTGTTTGTGATCATTGTTTGAAACTCTTGTCCACTAACCATAAAAACTGCTGCCTGTAGAAAGGCAATGCCCTTCTTGAATGAAATCGCCCAACTTTTTCAGTGTTAAGATTTTACTCCGAATAGAACTATTTGTACCACATTTAGTAATCACATTGCTAATCACCTCACTGCACGTAGCACACATAAGCAAGACTCTTTTAGCCCTCTCTATCTAAATTGAAGTATTGTTAATTTGCGTTCTTCGAAATCTCACAGGTTATCAAAGGGTGGGATCAAGGTATTCTAGGTGGTGATGGAATTCCTCCAATGCTTGCTGGTATGGTAAAAATCCATGAACGCCATGTTTACCCTTATTAATCCCACTACCCTTGTCAAATCCATGACAACAAGAAGTTGATTAGTCTTTATAACTTGATTAGGGGGAAAACGCACCTTGAAGCTTCCTCCAGAACTCGCGTACGGCGTAAGAGGAGCTGGATGTAGAGGAGGTAAGCTAAGCAGTCACATTTTGTTCCCTCTCTTTGTAGAACCAGATGAAGTGCAAGATAGTCTTATTTGGTTACTAACTTACTACTGTATATGCCATGGTGCAGGCTCATGCATTATTCCTCCAGATTCAGTTCTTCTGTTTGATGTGGAATTCATTGGCAAGGCATGAGAAGTGGCCCAAGAGCCAGCCAGCAGCAGTGTCTCTTGCGAGTTGTTTGCCTAGTGGTAAAATGGAGGGATGATAATATGTGTATGTTTGGCTGCCATTGTTATGAGAAGAAGAAACATGTCTGCCCATGAGCATATTAGACTCTTTTAGCAATGGAGCTGTCTTTCTTATGAGTCATTGATCAAAGTTCAAACCAAACTATTTCCAACTTTAACCTTTGAGTGTACTAATCAAGTAATTAAAAGAAAATTAATGAGGGCCACAAGCTTAATTTCTTAATTTTACTGAGTTGAACAGAAATTAATTTTACAAATTAAGATGGGTGGATTAAATTTTTAAGAGAATTTCTGTGTCAATACATTTGGGGCTAAATTTGGAAATTCCAATCCGCCCTAAATCATAATAATCCAAGTAACCGAACAGAGCCGAACCGGACCGGCTGTATGACTCTCCAAACTCCGAAGCTATAAATACCTAAACTAAATCGTTATTCGGGTCTCTTTTGCTTCGCAAAACCCTAAACCCAAAATCAAGAGGTAAGAGGCGGTGACAATGGCGAAGTCGATGAGATGTAAGAGAGAGAAGAGGCTGAGAGCCATTCGGCGAGAGATGGTGGAGCCCTACTACGACAAGAAAGACGAAGCTAAGCTCGCTGCCCAGGAAGCTGCCCTCGCTGCCCCTAAGCTGCCTGTACGGCCGCCTCCTAAATCCGCTTCTGCTATGGAGGTCACTACAACTGACAACGCTACGGCCTCAACAAGCAACATGGGTATGCTCCAATTTTTCTTTTGTGCTAAATTCACGTTCCCATGTGCTATTTTTTACTTAATTTGTTGGGAATTATGTAGTTAGTCCCTATTTGTTGCTAGTTTTGTTTGAATTTGTATAGACCCACTTGGTTTTTGTGATGCCCTTTGATGATTGAAAACGGTCCTTTTTGCTAGCTCTTAACATATTCAAAGAAGGACAGATATACATGTTTCGTGATGGATTATTCTCCTTACGAAGTATATTATTGGAGTTATTGTGAAAAATGATATTTTGGTCGGAAAAATAACTAGTGTAGGTTTGTATTTCAGAAAGATACTATTCAAGAAGTGAGTTGTGTACCCGGGATTCTCATTGTTTACTGGCGTAGACACTATCTAGAAGATTTTAGTATGGATTTGATTTCAGCTTAAAGCATGATCCGTATGCTTGGTTTATACAGGTAGTCTGAATTTAGAGTTGATTATGTAAAATGGCCAAGTACACAAACAAACAAGTGAACAAACAAATAGAATTAGATGGGCTGGAGGCCTTGTTTCAGTAATTTATCTCCAAACGACATAGATTTTGAGTTTCTGTATCCCTTGGTGTTGGATATCTGATGTTTTCATAAAATGTCTTCCCAATTGTTAAGCAAGATATAAGAGTAGTCATTTGGCGGGAATCAGTGGCACCATAGGTTTGTTGGATAATGAATAATATATTATGTTGAGTATACATTTGGTGCTTTTTCATTAATGTTTAGGTTGTATTCTAGCATTCTTATGCATAATTGCAATTACATGATGCCTGCCTTTTGGATGATTATATATTACAGGCAAGAATGTGATTTACGAAATTTTTAGTTTTCTTAATGACCTGTAGCATTTTCCTGCCAATCAGCATCAATTAATTTATCTGTTGGCCATGTTCAAGCTTACTGATCTGGATGATGTCTTTTTTCCTTTAATAGATGTGGATATGGTCGGTGGCAATCAAAGAGTGAACTTTTTGAAGCCTGGTGGTGGGATAGGCAAGAAATCCAAGAGGGTATTTAAGGTGGGTAAAAGAAGGCGTCAAGGCAAGGGGGGCAAGGTTAAGAAGCGTCATATATAACTCCGTGAGCAGATGAATGCCCAATTGTAGTCACAATGGGATATGAGTATCTTTAAGGCTGTCTTGTATTCTGGTTTTATTTTATAGATACTTGAGAGTTATCCTCCGAAAACTGTAATCGAGAGCCCATGTCATATGTTAACTTTGAATTTAAGCAGGATTTATGGATGGTTTTCTGTTGAAACTGCAAGATCCATTTTGTTCTGATGCTAAATTTGCAGACGAGTATGCTCTTTTTCCCTGTTAGTTTTCGTTCTTGGTTTTTGGTTTTTCGGCTATACGGTCACAATCAACTACAGATTGCTTTGAATTGAAGTGAGTGATATGCATTCTACACCAATCAGGAGGAGACTTGCGTTTTCTCTGTGTTGAGATATTTCTTCTGTTGAGTTGGTTTGCAGCCGTTTCTTGGGCATGTTTCTTAATTCGATATTGATCCAATGTGGGGCATATGTTTTCACTATTTTAGTTGCATGGAATTTTGTCGATTTGATTTGAAAAATATATAATAATAATAATAATAATCTACATGGGGTTAGCCCTCCAAATATGCCTTTTAAATGTAATGACGGTTATATCAATGTAAGCGATGAACAAATTAGTCCACCACTTGGAATTGGATTATAAATTGTCACGCTTGTAGCCAATTAACTGAAACATGTGGCGTGGATTCATATGTAACCAACCAGTTGTGATTAGAAGGAAAAACAAAAGGATCAATGAGCTCACAAATGAAGTTGACCCATGATTCTTCCGTCCAATGAGATGCAGTAGGTGAGCAGATTAAATTCCTGCAGTGGCGAGGCATATTATAATTGCTTGCCCCTTCAAACACTCCAAAAAACTTGTCTTGCAAAGTCAGCAATTTTATCTTTGACTATCTAGAGACGACTTGAGATATAGAAATTTTATGGTCAAGTCCTCCGCTTACTCTTTTTGTTTTGGTTTTTTAATTTCTTCTCCTAATACAATTGACCTATTCTGTCCTTTCCAACACGCCATTATGTCTAATTGGTTGTATAGCCTAGGAGTTGGGTGGACATCTCATACAAATTATCCGCGTACCAATAGTTTGGTTTAATTTGTTTAAATAATTATTTTTTATTTTTCATTATTCTGCTCTGATCCGTATAAAAAACGTTGGGTTAAAATGATGTAGAAAAGTGAGTATTGGAAATCAACCTAATTAATCATAATTAGATATCATTTTTGCTTGAATTCGGAGAAACCCTTGTTTCTTTACTATAAAGATGTAGAAAAGCGAGTATTGGAAATCGGGTTTCGATTAGTCTATGTGATGTGAAATCACTTTCAAATTTGTGATTAAGAAAGAAAACCATGATAGAAAGAAGCAAGAGTAAATATGTGTATTATGACAACAATTTATTTAAAAAATTGACATATCAAAACTTCATTTTTTAAGGACTTAATCTCCATCTGTCAATCCTTAATCAATCGCTTAAGGCATGAAACATGACCTAGATAGGCTGATCATAAAAATTTAAAGTAAATTTGGAGTCAGATCAAAACATCATGCAAAGCAAAGCATGAATGCAGCTGTACCTAAACATTTTAAAAATGAATCTGCTTGCATCATTCTGCTTTTTTATATCAACATGGTAAAAGTCTAACATTGGTTATCTCACAAATAAAAGTAGTTTAATAATTAATGGGAAGTCTATTAGATATTGCTTAGCTTGGTGTACTTTCATTGTTGAATCTTCAAGTCACCAAAGCATGTAGGAGAAAGTTCAATCAGAAAGATTCAGATTGAAAAGGACAAACTTTATAGTTAAAAAAGCTATAATCACTTTTAATTAAAGTGTTTGTATTTCTCAGAATATAGCTACACAAAATGAAACTTTATAATTAAGTGCTTTTATTAAAATAACACAGATTTTGGCAGTCAAAATTGGTCCATAGCAGAAAAGTCATAGTCCTTATGAATTCTACCTACACTAATTAATTCTGTCATCAAATAAATTTTAAGAAGCAAAACTCTGTTTCCTTCAAAATGAAGAAATACATAAATAACAACTTAAGCATTAAAAAAACACATGTTTGTCCAATCAATGAATTTAAGAAAAAGAAAAAGACTTAAAATTCATTAAAAACTTGTATGACTTCTTCTTCTCTCTCTCTCTCTCTCTCTCTCTCTCTCTCTCTTTCTCTCTCTCTCTCTCTCTCTCCTCTGCCACGAGATTCCTAGTAGAAGTGGTTCCTATGACTCCGTCTACCACCCTTCTTCTCTCTCACCTGTCCCGTTTCCTTTACGTTACAGCTCGAAAGAGAAAGCCAAACCCCTCTTATACGACAAACAAACCTCTCTCTCTCTCTCTCTCTCTCTCTCTCTCTCTCAACCAACCTTTCTTATTTCACCACTCTCCACCCGTAGACCGTTGCAAAATCCATTCAGACACGTCCTCATTTGCCTCCACCTCTTCTCAGACCCCAAAACATACAGAAGACAAAAACCCATTAACCCAAAAACACAGAGGAGCCTCGCCATAGCAGGTGATCAACGCCTCTGCTTGCATGGCTTTTCTCCCAAAGCTCACAGCTTTGCTTGTGTTATTAGCAATTCTCCAGAGCCATGTTCATGCACGGTTTGTGGTGGAGACGGGAAGTATTAGTGTTCTGTATCCAATGAGTCTTAGTTCTAAGCATGATGGTGCTATAGGCAACTTTGGTCTGCCAGACTATGGAGGCTCTTTGGTGGGTGCTGTTGTTTATCCTGAGAAAGGGTCTAATGGGTGTGAAGCTTTTGAGGGTGATAAGCCTTTCAAGTCTCGGAATTCTCGCTCCACCATCGCTGTTCTTGATCGTGGAGGTAAATCAATTCGTTCTAATTCTCTCTGTAATTCGTAAATTTCAGAGTCCTTCTTATGCTTTCTCTCCTGTTATGTCTCAGCAAGTTGACTTGAGAATCAAGATCATTTTCCCCCATTGCTATGCTTGTTAAGAATTTGATTGATGATCATGCAATAAAGTCTGTCTAGAAATGGGTATTTGTTTGTTTTTGCAACGGTTTTTCTTTTATAGTTTAATTTCCTTTTTTGTTGTGTGTTTTGAATTCCTACAGATTGGGAGAAGGGTGAGCCTTAAGTTTCCTTGTTTGAATTGAATTTGTTCAATTTAGTAACTGCTCCAGCTAGCATGAGATGTTTTCAAAAATGGTTTCTTTTTTCGGATTCGTTATTGGAGGTTGTGAATTTAAGCATGCTTTCATGTAGTAGCTCTGCTTTTCCCCTGTTCTCCGACTGTTTGTTCTATTTAATATCGACTCATCAAAAGTCTTTTCAGTCTTCTATTGTATTGCCTTTTGGTTTTAGCTTTTCATTAACTGTTCAATTGATGTGAAATAGATACTGAGCTCTTTCTAACTGTCCAATTCAGATGCTCATTTTGTTTTTATTTCTCGGGTCAAAGCCGCATGAACTTTCGTTTCTTTACGCTATGGTTGTTGCTATTTAAATCCTGAATTGGATGAAATGAATCAGAACAATAATTCCAATAGCCTTTTACATTGTCTAATCATAAGTAATTGAACCTTGTTGTGAGTATTATGTTACAGAACCATGCTACTTGGATTCTACTTAGACAACTTTATTCTATTGCCCTTGTAGGTTGCTACTTTGCTTTAAAGGTCTGGAATGCTCAAGAGGCTGGAGCTACAGCTGTTTTAGTGGCTGACAATATTGAAGAGCCTCTAATAACAATGGATTCTCCAGAGGAGAGCACTGATGCAGATGGTTACATAGAGAAGATAAGAATTCCATCTGCTTTGATAGAGAAATCCTTTGGTGATAGCTTGAAGGAAGCTTTAAAGAAGAGCAACGATGTTGTGGTGAAACTTGACTGGAGAGAGTCAGTCCCCCACCCCGATCAAAGAGTTGAATACGAGTTCTGGACAAACAGCAATGATGAGTGCGGGGCTCGATGCGATGAACAAATGACTTTTGTGAAAAATTTCAAGGGCCATGCTCAGATTCTTGAGAGAGGGGGTTACACTCTCTTCACTCCACATTATATAACTTGGTATTGCCCTCAGGCTTTCACCCTTACAACTCAATGCAAGTCGCAGTGCATAAACCATGGGAGATACTGTGCACCAGATCCAGAGAGAGATTTAGGGGAAGGGTATCAAGGGAAGGATGTAGTATATGAGAACTTGAGGCAGCTTTGTGTGCATAGAGTTGCGAATGAGAGCAACCGGTCATGGGTTTGGTGGGATTATGTGACAGACTTCCATATCAGATGTTCCATGAAAGAAAAGAAGTACAGCAAAGAATGCGCTGAGGATGTCATGAAATCACTTGGTAAATGGCATGTTTTGTTATTGCTGTGTATGGAATAATGATTGTTTTGTGTTTTTAATAGATTTAATCTGATTGCTGCAGATTTACCTGTTGACAAGATTAAAAAATGTATGGGCAATCCTGAAGATGATGTTGAGAATGCAGTGCTAAAAGCAGAACAAGAAATCCAGGTCATACTTGCTTCTTTTTCTCCATTTCCCTATGTTCTTGACCTGTTTTTGTTGAGACCCACCACTGTTCTTGGATCAGTGTACTTGTAACCACAATATTCAACAGATTATCTTATTATTGCTTTCCTTTTTCTCTTTGTTATATTTAGGTTGGGCGAGGATCTCGTGGTGATGTTACCATCTTGCCGACATTGGTTATTAATAATGTTCAGTATCGAGGTTTGTTACAGCTTCCTTGGTACCTCTATTGATTATACTTCAACAGAATGCTAATGTTTTTGTTTTTATTGATCTGAAGGAAAATTGGAGAGAAATTCTGTGCTAAAGGCTATATGTGCTGGATTTAAGGAGACAGCTGATCCTCCAATTTGTTTGAGCGGAGGTTGGTGTGCTTGTTTCATTTCCAGTCTATACTGATGTCTGTTTCTTGATGTTTGGATAATGTACTGATGTCCTTTTCCTTTCCTCTCCTTCCCTTTCCTCCTCCCAATCCTCTGTGTTACTTCAACAGATCTTGAGACAAATGAGTGTCTTGAGAGGAATGGTGGGTGTTGGCAGGACAACAAATCTAATTTAACTGCTTGCAAGGTATGCAGAAAATTTTACATTTGACTTTTATAGTTTATGCCACATATGACAATGTTCCTATATGAATTACAGATTCTAAGTGCATGTTAATTGGTTCCTTTTGTCAGGACACATTTAGGGGAAGAGTTTGTGAGTGCCCTGTAGTGAGCGGTGTTCAGTATCGAGGCGATGGTTATACATCTTGTCATGGTAAACCTTCTCTTAATAACAAAAAAAGAAGAAGCAAATATTCCTTTTGATTTATTTGTGGAAGAGAGTTATTCCTAAAATATTTACTCCTTTCTTGACAGCTTTTGGACCTGCAAGGTGTGCAATAAACAACGGAGGGTGTTGGTCAGACTCTAGAAATGGATTAATTTTCTCGGCTTGCTCAGTTCAGTGATGTTTATCATAATCTTTCACTTTATTATTGGTTCTCTGTGCTTCTGGGACAGATTTCTCATTTTTTGTTTTGTTTTTAAACGTATTTATTATAGAGAGTTCTGTTGCAGTTTCATGAGATTAGACCTCCAAACTTCGTGTTTTTCCATCTTTATTATTTTTTTTCTCTAAATTTTTTTTTTCTTCCCTTTGTTACACAAACAGAATTCTGAGTTATCTGGCTGCAAATGTCCACAAGGCTTTCAAGGGGATGGTCATAAATGTGAAGGTGATTTTGAGTTCCAATGTGACTAATCTATTGAAGAATAATTTTCTTCTTGTGGAAAAAATATTCAATTTTTCAAGGCTTTTTGAAACCTAATATCCATAAAACATCATCTTCATTTTTGTTTTCTCACCATGCATCAGATATCAACGAATGCAAGGAGCGTACTGCTTGTCAGTGTGATGGTTGCAGCTGTAAGAACACTTGGGGTGGGTACTACTGCAAATGTAAGGGAGGACAGTTGTATATGAAGGATCAAGATACTTGTATTGGTAAGACAGCACATTTGAGTCATAATCACTAATTCATTGTCATGTCCAGAAAATTTAAAAATGACTAATTATGATATTCACATGATGAGATAGCCAGCACTGTTTATTTAGAGGATCAGTAAAACTATATTTAAATGTGAACATGATTGTAAATTTGTTTCCTAAATGCTGTCGAATTTTTATTTAAATGTTAATATGACAGTCTTTCTCTTTAATGCTCTAATTAGCTCATTATATGGCGGGCCTTGTGTTGATTGTCACCGGGCAACGTTGATACTTAATTTCAAACTGAGGGGGATGTTGGCCATCCTGCAAGATATATGTCTTGATGTTTGTTCATCCATTTAACTGCAGAGAGGCACGGGTCGAGATTTGCCTGGTTTTTAACTTTCTTGGTCCTTGCGGCTGTGGTGGGAGTTGGCCTAGCTGGTTATATCTTCTACAAATACAGGCTTCGAGTATGTCTAAAGATGCTCCTTTGACCAGCTCTGTATCCATCTTTAGTTAATTTGTGTACTAAACTAGGAACTGTGCCCTGGTTAAAATTTTTTACTTGCACTTGCAGTCTTACATGGACTCGGAGATCATGGCTATCATGTCCCAATACATGCCTTTGGACAGTCAGCAAGCCAATCAAGTCCATACCGCCGAGGCAGAACCTCTACGACATGGCTCAGCATAAGGTAACTAAATCTTTGACTTTGTGAGCAGTCTTCCTTCCAGTTAGCATGTTGTCAACAATGGTCTCTAAAAAATGTTGCTGCTATATGCAGAAACAAAAGCTATAGAAATCAATTCCGTGAAAAGGCATCCTTAAGCCGGACAGTTTTCATGCAAAAGCTTCCTGTGGATACTCATCTCCATTTATTAGCTAGCTCTTAGGCAAAGCAGGGAAAGGACCACTTCGATTACGCGAAACCAGTTTAGGATGAATTTGGGAGATATCTGTATACATGAGATTTTCTTCACATAACACTCTTTTCAGTGTGTAGATAAAAGTGCTCAGATGTAAATTTTGGTTTGAAGAAAATCAAGGATCGATGTAATGATAACAACACACATAAAAGCAGAGGAAAAACAAATAAGACAAAAACAAAAGGATTGTGAAACAAGATTCTGCTTGCCTTGTGTCCACAATTAGGAAGATGTTTCAAAATCCTTGTATAACGCCCATGCTGCATGCCTATTGTGATAGGATTATTAGACATCCAATGCATTTCACTTTTATACTTGTATAGGTGGGATATTGGAAGCAACTAAACATATAAGTTGGCTAGTTTGACAAAAAAATTTCCGTGAATGAGAAATTGTGTCACAAATTCATATTTATTTTATTAAAACTTTTTAACAAGCTGGTCAAGGAGAAAACCTTTCATATTTCTCCGATGGGATAGACATTATTGAATGAGTATGAAGCATGTAACATAAAAGTTTTACTCATAAATCGTAAATTTAAACTCCTAATCAATGGCAAAAGTTCACATAAGTTTCAACCATTAACTGGACATTCATAAGTTCAATAATATGCAAGAAATCTCATGTAAAATCGCTTGGCGATGCAAGGGTGCATTTTAACACTTTAGAAGGCACGATTCTTCTGTTAGTCATCATAGAAGTCGTAGAAAGGTACATGATCACATTTGTTGCACTACACAACTCATTCGATAGTTTAAATGAAAGGAATAGGTGTGAAATTAAAGTCTATCTCCCCATTAACAAAGAAGTAAAAAAAAAAGTATTCAATTTGCACTAGTGTCAAACAAATGATATCATGTGTTTCACTCAATTTGCAGCCCTTCTTCTGTTTTCTATTTCATGTCACATTCATCCTACCAACCACCAGCGGGTTCGTTAACATGATCAGCTACCATTTGAAAAGATAAGAAAAACTAGAAAAATCTCTGCCCACATTCATATATGTTAGACATGAAAATTCCTGTCACAAGCAGAGTTTTGGCAAATTGGCATGCCACAAAAATTTCCTAGCTTTTGTAAACTTACAAGTTTTATCAGAATAACATCCGCTCTTGGTATATATCCAGCGCTTGCATGACCTTCTCTACGAACAACTTCCTGTGCAACCTATACCTGCATAAGTCCAGATCAGCAATTAAATCATTCAGAATGGTTTTAGTTTGCCCTAGTTTGCCCTACAGACCAAAAAGCTCTGGGATGAATAATGGGATGATTACATACTTGATTGCAGCTTCAAGCGTCCTACTAGCATCTGACATCGAATCTGTAGAGAGTAAGATGGGAAGAAACATGAATTTCCAATGCCAAGATAGAGTTGGTTTTACCCATAAGTTACCACAGAAACCAAAACAAGAAAAATATAATGGTCATGATGTTTCCCCAAATATTTGAGGATCTGCATGGCAACCTCACCTAGAATTTTTTGGTCTTGCTTAGAGTTAGTAGGATACGCTGCAAGCATCTGTCGGCATTCTTCCTGTAACTCCTTTACAGATCTTCTTTCCATGCTTGGGATTGGAGGCACATCCCCATCTGACCAAGTGGGCAATGTTCTTGCCGCTGCTATGATTGCTCCATCAACAAATGTATCTCCATCATTAGATAGGCGACCTGCTATAAGTTTTATACAGACCTTTCAAACTATGATGCTGCTGGTTTAAAATTTATATTACAACAAATATAGAACAAGGCACAGAGAGATCTCATACAGTTATGATAGTACTCTTCAGGAAGTCCAGATATATTGAATACTGACAAGAAGGAATCCAAATGAATACGTGCATTTCCAGAGAACTGAATCACATCCCAAGGATTCTGCAATTCCAAGCCAGAATAAGAGCACTCAATCTTAGAGAAGTACAAATATCACCAAAATTACGGAACATGCTCAACCGAAGTAGAAAGAATAAAAATAATCTCTTTCTTTTACCATGTTACTCTCTAACTTGACTAGATTGACAATTCAAATCAGTAAAAGAATAGGATAAAAGAAAAAAAAAGGTACATAGTATTTCTTTTTAGTAGAATATGGCCAAGAGCACATTACCACAGGTGAAGAGAAACCATATCTTTGCATCAACATGTCATTCTGTTGTCCACTCATGTAATTGACAGTCATCTGTAAATATTCCTCCAAATTAGTAGCAGATCATCTTCATATATGTAAACTAAAAGCCTTAGCATAAGACTCCTTGCAAGCATTTACCTATGAAAGGAAATTATCAACATCAATTGAGAAAACAGAGTAGGCATTACCTCGTCACCTTTCTTAATCCGTTTTCCAGCATTTATCATCACTTCAAGCATGCGATCCTTAAAACGCCAATGGAAAAAACAATTTGGCTCAAAGGAATGGTTTAGCATATCTGCAGAATTTAGCAAATTGATTAGACAGCCATCTAATAACAAAATGGGGAATATAAATAGTAAGTGAACGCAGATAGTTTAAGGAAACCATTTGCTTCGAAATCCCAACAAGTGAAAACAGAAATAGTATACGTACATAATACAACTAATGCAAAAAGAAAATGAATTTCATACACAATGTTGTGTCTTCATCAACATCTTACCAATTTCAAATGGACAAAGATGTCTAAGCGCAAAACCAAACTGAATTAAGAACATAATATATAACTCATTAGGACAAAGATAAGTTCTTGATTCCCCCCTCTAAATTGCGATTACTCATCTAATTTTATAATATATTCACGAGAAATTTTTTTTAATCAAAGAGTATAGGTGGATACAAGCTTACCTGCATATGGAATTAGCATGTTTGCATCTTGAACAAGTGCACCAATTCTCATTTGCATGCCAAAGCATCGTGATTGTGCCATACTCAATGCCCAAATGAATCTCTCAGGATCACGAGCAAGGCGTTTAATTTTTAGTGGTACACCAGAGTGCTGATTCAGGTTAGCACACATACAACATATGCACAATCAGTTAAAAGTTAGGGTAAGCATTTTATTCTGCACAATAATAATGATAACAAGAATGCTTTCTGAGATACAAGATACAGAGGCTGCTAAATACCCAATTTTTTTCCCAAAATTCCAAGGCTCGACGTTGCTGTTCTCTCATAGTTGAAGCAAGATTGGGATTCTGCAGCTCTGAAAGCTCCTCCTATAGCATATATGGAGCAAAAGCAAAGAAAAGCATGATTAAGAGTACTTATTTACAAAACTTCAAGAGGCCCAAACAATGTGGATGCATTATCGAAGGCCAGATGACAGCTATAGATGTGTCTGCGACATCAGGCACACTCAAGGCCTTGGATGCAAATCTTAATAAAAAATGACAATTTCAAGTTTAAGCTTTAAATTGGCCTTCTAAAATTTTACCTGATGCTTTGCTCAAGAAGAGCCTCAAATCTAAAAATTGCAATCCTCAAATACATGTTAAAGCTCTAGATCTTATAGGTATAAATCAACGAGGAAAGATGCATGCCTATGTTTATTTTTATCACTCGTGAATGAAGCCAAAAGAAATAAATGGTACTAAACTATGCAAGTTTTTTTCTATTTTAAAAAAATACTATAAATAAAGATTTATGTTTTGTAAATTCATCTACCTCACTAGCTAGAAGCAAGCTGGTGCACTCATCTGCACTGGGTAAAAAATCACCATACAACTGCCAAAAGTTATCTTCCCGATCAAATGCGTACAAAAGAAGGCATGCTAACCTCAGATCCCAATCTGTCTGCCACAAAAAGGAAGGCAATAGAAATTGAATGTCAATTCATAATTTGAACAAAATGCTATTTCCATGAAGAAATACTAGAATAATTGACAAATTTTTTTTCCCGGTAAATGAATGATTATACAAATCAGCTATCAATCCTTGATAGCTGAAATTAAGTAGAACACATTTACCTCTGGATCAGTTGAGTTAATGATATCAAATATTGGATGACCCACTGGTACTATATCTGGAAAAAACATCCATGGGAGCTTTTGGCTTACGGTTAACATCAGTTCTAGTGGAATTTCCATTATTACCTGTGAAATTGAGAACAAAGCAACATTAATACCAAAAACTAGTCATTGGAACTCAACACTTCATCATAAACCAAGGGCTGTCAAAACCATCACACTTAATGTGGCATTGTGCATGGAGCTGTACTCACTCACACTCTATAGTAAGTGCAACAGATTATTATAATCGGATAGAAACAACTCACTCTAGCCCGGCGAAGTGGTTCAACATCCTTGGAAGCATAAACTCCAAACCCATCTGGCCCTTCTTTAAATTCAATTCCATAAGCTCTCATACTTCTAACATACCCTATCTTGTAGAAATCAGGATCCGCTGGCTCCAACTGTAGGCATTACAAAATAAAGGTGTGAATGTTGCAGTGAAGTTTAACCAAGTATGGCTTTCTCCCCTATTGGTTGAATGCTACATATATGCTCTTCTGGTTTTTTATGAACATAATTGTGTGGTTACCACCAAACACTTCGAAGATACTAACTTTCTTTCATTTAAAAGATGCAATTTCAGTTAAGAGGCCACAAAACAAAGTGGATACAACTTAATTGTTAACAAAATGGTATCTTAAATTTTGAAAATTGTTTCAGTGTTCTAAATTCAATTTCCCTACATTTTCTGAGCAATCAAACAGAGCATAAAGGGGAACAAGAAATGGGTATTACCTCAGAGGCAGACCCTTCAGCTTCAGGAGGCTGAAACAAAGAAAACGGAGGAGCTTCGGTGGCTGCTTTTGCTTTAATGGGTTGAATTCGAATGCCTTTTACTGCGTCTTTAGTAGGGACAGTATATCCGGGTCGTGGTGACCATCCATAGTTGGAACCTTTCAACTGCTTCACACACACACCAAAATTAATCAGACAGAGATTAAAAAAATAAAGAAAATGAGAGAGAGAAAGAGATGGAACCTGAGGATTGGAGGTGAGGCAATGGGAGGGGTGATGCAGAGGAAGAGAAGAAGAGGCCATTGGAGAGAAGAGACAGTATTAGAATTGAAACTCCAACAACATATTTGATGGCAGCAAAGCAACCAAAGCAGCCGCAACAAGTGTTAGAAGTGAGTGACGAACTGGGAAACGTTATCCACTTTGACAGTCTCCTCCCCCGTTTCAGTGTTTTAAACTCGAATAAATGAGTACGAGAAAAGACATGTTTTTGTGCTATTTTTATATATATATATATATATAATAACTTTGGTTCTTCTACCGTAATTTTCTTGTTTCATTCCAAAAATCTTTTCAGGTTTAAAGATGCACTTCTCTTTTATTATTATTATTATTATTATTATTATTATTTTATTTTCCAATTAGAAGAAGAAAATATTATTGATTAGTTGAAATGCCAGTGTCCTCTTGGAGTGGCTATGGCCATTCCCACTTACATTAGAGCATTTCCAGCAGTTAGCCCATTGCCATGGCAAGAGGAGCCTTAGGCCACTTCCAGCAGTGGGAATCTTGCCATGGCATGGGGGGACTAGGGCTAATACTATTCACGGGAATAGTGTCTGCCTTTGCAAAAAGTAAGTTGTACTTCCAGCAGTTGCCATGGCAAGGGGGGTACTATTCAAAATTTTTTTTTTCACAAATTTGTTTACCTAAACAATTAATTTGGACAATATTTTCGGATGAGATTTTCTGATAAAATATTCGGATAAGATTTTCAGATAAGATAAAATATTCGGATAAGATTTTGTTTGTTTTTATATTTTTAATGCTTTGGTTGTGGTTTGTTTGTTTTTATATTTTTAATGCTTTGGTTGTGGTTAGTTTTTTTTTATGTATGGAATGTTTTGAATAAAAATGAATTTTATTTAATAGTTTCTTTGGTAACTCAAAGAAAACCAATACTACTAATAAAATAAAATACATGAATTACAACTAATTTTTAAGACAAAACATTAAAATACAATGAAATGAAAAGGCAAGCAAACTAATTAAGGGTTTTCATCATTTAACCAATCCGTATTGCTAGGTCCATCATCACGAAAAAGTCTTCGTCTCATAATAGCCTTTCGTTCTAGCTTCCAATATTGTTTTGTTTTAGGAGACATGTGGCTTGTATCCATAGCCATGGTTTCCCGATCCTTCTTTTCTTCATTTTCTTTGTGTTGATACTCCCTTTCTTTGCGTACATACTCCCTTTCTTTAGCAAATTCTATTGACATTGCCCTATCATCTTCTTGGACTTTCTTGTCTATTTCAATTCTCAAGGCGCTTTGCCTTGCAATTTCCTCCAAAAATTTAGAGGCATTACTCGTAGAATTAATTCCTCTATTTGCCTTCGCCGCCTTCCTCCCAATAGGCCTCGGCTCCTTTTCAATGGGTGAGTCTTCACTCATAGGGGATTCCATAGGCGAATCCGAAGCTTGTGAATCATGGAGTGGCGTCTCATTTAACACCACCGTTGGAGCCGTTGGAATAATGCTAAATCTCTTACAATGCTTCACCACCTCCCAACATTGGGTATGGTTGAAACTTTTTTTCCCTTGTCCAGTAGCACCAAACCACATTTGAGCTTGCACAATCTATATAAAAAAAAAAATTGAATAAGCAAGGAACTTAAAAAAAATATTGGTAATGCAATAAAGATAAACATATGAATGAAAATCCAAGAAATATTAACAAAATATAGAGAATGCAACAACCATTTAAATAAATATTAGAAATACAAGAAATAATAACAAAATATAAAAATTGCAAGAAACATTTAAATAAATATGGAAATACAAGAAATATTAACAAAATATACCAATTGCAAGAAACATTAAAATTAAAATTAATAGGACATTAAAATTAATAAAATGAAAATTACAAATAATTTACCTCATCTCTGAGATTTTCCCCGCTTGCATGGTTATTCATCGCTTTTGTGAGGGCATCTCTTCATTTCCCCAACTCTCTGTTGAGAAGTTTCCACCGACTTGACAATGCGCTTTCCGTACGGGTGGAACCCGATCTTTCAACAAATTTGTGAAGAATTTTTTTCCACATTTGACTGAATTTCATCTCATTACCCGATATGGGATCATGACTAATTTGGACCCAACACTCACACAACAAGACATCTTCCATGATGCTCCATGCCCCTCCGGTTTCTTGAGAAAAAGCCATAATGATAGAGAAAAATTAAACTTGAAAGTGAAAACAATTTAGAGTAGAAAGTGAAGAAAATATTGAGTAGAAAGTGAATAATAGTTGGAGAATGAGAAGATGTATGAGAATTTGTTGTTAAAACTGAAGAGTAGGTATTGGTATTTATAGAAAAAAAATTCATTATTTTTTGGGGTTTTTATAAAAAAATTTACGGTTTTTTTTCATAATTTTTTGCCTTGAAAAATTCCAGGGCGTTGGATTGGATGACAGGACGAAATCGGAAGGACCAGAGTGTGCCACGTCGCAGACAGCCGTTGGGGGAAAAGCTGACGCGCGCGTTTGAATTTTTTTTTAAAAGCGCCTGCTGACATCACGCTGGCATCAGCAATGACGTCAGCTCACCTTCGGGCTCTCGCTCGGGCTCCCCCCACCTTCGGGCCAGCCCAGGCCCGTGGACCCCACCCTGCCCGGGCCAGCCTTTGTTGCTGGAAAGTCGTTTTGGGCTCTTACCCCCCCTAGCCCGAGCCCTAAGGGGCTGCTGGAAGTGGCCTTAGGGTAATTACTATTTACGTGAATAGTGGTTGCTCTAGCCCCTCCCAACAAAGTGTGTTTCCAATAGTTTAGGCTTGCCATGACAAATACTATTCATTTTATTTTTTATTTTTTTCACAACTTTGTTTACTTAAATAATTAATTTGGATAATATTTTTAAATAAGATTTTTGGGTTCCTACGTGTCAATACTATTCATATCGGATAAGATTTTCGGTTTCAAATTTCAGATTTCATATACATTTCAAAATTCAAATTTCAGATAAATTCAAAATGTCAAATTTCAGATACATTTTGAAATTCAAATTTCAGATAAATTTCAAATTTCAAATTTCAGATAAGATTTTCACCCTCTAAGATTGCCCCACGTGTCATATCTATCTGTCTAAATTTTTCTATAAAATCAAAGGCTCAGCTCATACCTCCCACACCAGATCTTCTCTACATTTCCATTTATCAGATTTTAGATTTCATTCTCCATTCTCAATGACTAGAGAAAGAATGCGTCGACGAGCTGCAAACAAAAGGGCGTTGAGAGAACTAGATGAGCAACTTGGCATGGGCGTTGCTTTGCTTGAGGAAGAAAACCAGAGCCGCTGTGGTTCACGAGAAGGCCGTGGCCCAAATGTGGATAGATATAGACATTCTCGGGGTAAGAATCTTCTGGAAGATTATTTTATCCCACATTCTCTGTACTCTGATGTTCATTTTCAAGCGAGATATAGAATGAAACCCCATTTATTTAATAAAGTCATGCATGATATTTGCAATTACGATGAATACTTTGTTCAAAAGAAAAATTATGCTGGAAATTTGGGGCTTCTTCCCAGGCAAAAGTTCACAGTTGTGATACGAATGTTGGCGTATGGGTCATCTGCTGATCAGGTGGATAAGATTGCTCGGATAGGGAAGTCCACTATTTTGGAGAGCTTGGTGTGAGTTTGTGATGCAGTGGAAACTCTGTACACCAGGGACTACCTGCGCAGACCTACGCCTAGGGACCTGCAACGGCTTCTACAAAAAGCAGAGTCTCGTGGATTTCCTGGAATGATTAGTAGCATTGACTGGATGCACTGACAATGAAAAAATTGTCCAACTGCTTGGCAAAGGGATTATGGCAATAGGAAAGGGCAGAAAAGCATCATCCTTGAAGCAGTTGTTGGTTTTGATACATGGGTTTGGCACGCCTTCTTTGGAGTTGCCGGCTCTCAAAATGATTTGAACGTCCTAGGTCAATCCCCGGTGTTCAATGATGTTCTGAGAGGCCTCGGCTCCTTTTCGCCTCCTTCCTCCCAATAGACCTCGGCTCCTTTTCGATAGGTGAGTCTTGACTCATCGGGGAATCCATAGGTGAATCCAATGCCGGTGTCTCATGGAGGTGCGTCTCGTTCAATACCACCGTCAGACCCGTTGGAATAATTCGGAATCTCTTACAATTCTTCACCACCTCCCAATATTGGGTATGGTTGAAACTTTTTTTGCCTTGCTTAGTGGCACCAAACCACATTTGTGGTTGTATAAAAAAAAAAAAAAAAAAATGCAACAAACTTATAAAAAAAAAAAAAAAAAAAAAAGGAAATGCAAGGAAATTTTAACAATTTATTAGAAATGCAATAAATATAAACAAAATATAAATATTGCAAGAAACATTTAAATAAATATTGGAAATACAAGAAATATTAACAAAATATATAAATTGCAAGAAACATTTAAATAAAAATTAATATGACATAGAAATTAATAAAACAAAAATTACAAATAATTTACCTCATTGCTAAGGTTTTCCCCGCTTCTATGGTTATCCATCCCTTTTGCCAAAACATCTCTCCGTTTCGCCAACTCTTTATTTAGAATTTTTCACCTACTAAATAATGTCATTTCCGTACGGGTCGAACCAATTTCCCTTTCACAAAATTCCTGATGAATTTTTCTCCACATATGAGAGAATGTCATCTCATTGCCCATTATGGGACAATGACTAATTTGGAGCCAACACTCACACAACAAAACATCTTCCGTCATGCTCCATGCCCCTCCAGGTTCACTAGAAGAACCCATAATATGATAGAGAAAAATACAACTTGAAAGTGAAAAAAAGATTGAGTAGAAAGTGAATAATAGTAGAAGGAGAAGAAAATGTATGAGGATTTGGTGTTAAAAGTGAAGAGTATTGGTTGGTATTTATAGAAAAAAAATTCAGTATTTTTTTTTGTATTTTTTTAAATTTTTTCAGATTTTTTTTCATTTTTTTATTGCATAAAAATTGGATGCAGTTGGATTGGAGAAAAATGTCTTATCGGAGAGCCCAGGACGCGACACGTGGCATATAACAGTTGGCGGGGCACTGTAGTGGAGCGTTCAAATTTTTTTTAACGTTGGCGCGTGCAACGTTAACAAAAATTTGACCGCTAGGCTGACGTCGTTGTGACGTCAGCACGCTGATGTAAGCATTGCCCTTGGTCTAGCACTCGGGCCAGCCCAGTTCACTGGGTCCCACTCCTTACCCGGGCCACTTTTTGTTGCTAGAAATAGCATTTTGGGCTTGGCCCCCACCAGCCCTCCCCCAGGTCCCCTTGCTAGAAATGCTCTTATGTCGTTCACAATTTACGGGTGTGCAAAAGTTTTCCCCTTTGTATTTTCGATGAGTCGTTTTTGTGTATGTGCCAAACTATGATTTGTAAGACAGAAGTAGTGTCGTTTTTATATCAAGAGTGAGAGGAGATTTAATTTTGAAATCATTCCCACATTAAGCAGAGAAATAAGAGGGAAGGGATTCAAATTTATAATTGAGAAGAGAAATAACTTTGTACTAAAAGTTCTTCTTATGTGCATTGTTAAGTATGAACAAAGCCCATAAAAATCCTCTGAGGACTCTTGAATATTGACATAAAATGTAGCATCTTTTCCGGTTATGGAATCCAAGTGCCCCCTCAAGTGATGGAGTTGAACATTGCATTCACATGCTGTCTCAGTCAAAATTTACATACCAATATCAGTTTATATAACTTGGCATATTTGGCAATGTCACAAATACACCATTACAATATCAAGTTCGAGGGATCAAGGGAAAAAACAGACAACATTTTTCATCCCCTCTGAGGCTTTTCTTCTTTTTCAGTTACAATTGATTGTAGAAAGACTCAGCCACAGGTCCACTCAAACAGAGGCCTCCGTCAAAGAATGGGAGCACAACAAAAACCAATGTGCCATAGGCATGATGCTATCTGTGATTTCTTCACGTCCCAGTGCCATGCTTTTACCCTGCTGGTACTCAGCAACAATCACCATTTCACAAACGCACTAAGGCAATCTTTTCTGCTCAAACTGCCTCTAAAACAGAAGATGAAAATGGCATACGAAAGGACAGACATGGTACAGAATGCAGGATTATATAACGGCCAGACCCTGTGCAGAATGCAAGACTTTGTTTACAGCTTTGAAGCCCTTAGCTATGGAACATGTAATAGTAACAGCAGATCCCCAAACATCATGCAGTAGTAAACAGCAATCTTCACAAAAGTGCGGCATCTTACACCTTTCCAAGAGCCAGTTACAGAAATACCAGCATCAATGAAAAGATCAAACAAACACAATTAAACAGGCTTAAGTAGTGCATGCGACTTGCTGACTTACAACTTAATAAACAATTTAAAATACAACTCACAATTGCATACCCACTAAAAGAGACTGGCCATTTTTTTAATTTGGTATGACCTAAATATAATGCTTACTACATAGAAGAAGGCCAGTGATGATACAGACCTAGAGTTTAAGAATGCATGAATCATGTTACCAATTTAAAGAAAACACCTGTTCTCTTGTAGAAAGCTACTCTCTTTAACAGTAATAACAGTGGTCTTTACTTGAAAATTGAAATCAAGCAAGATGTTTGACCCAAAAACAAATAAACATCAAGCAAAATGGCATCAAGTCTACTAGAGATAGAGCAAGTAATCAGAATTGAGTTCATCCTGACAGAGGCAATAGCCAGTAGTCTTTGCAACTATTACGGAGCACAAATGGATCACATGATGGATTGCATACACACAGAGCATGGTAAAATACTGTTCACATTTTGGTATTTAAAATTAGTTAGCCGGATGGAAAAAATATAATCCTTTCTGGAATGCTAAGGCCGATTATCAAACTTTACATAGGAAATATGAACAATATACCTATTGTTGAACAATTGAAGGAGGAGAACTTAATTCTAAGAACTTAATTCTAAGCCACACAACAATTCAAAACCAAACATGTAGTTGAGTACCACATCATGTAAGAAAGAAAATTCTTCATCTTGAGTTATTAAGTCGAGACAGTAGATACCATCACAATCAACACTGTTCTAAAGATACCTACTCCGGTACATATGAAAAGGAATTATGTTTAGATCGACACAGTACCTGAAATCACACAGAAATGGCTCCCTGTTGGTAAGTGAATATATAGTTCTATCATAGCATCATCCTACCAAACGGAAGACTGAACAAAAGAAACACTCCAAGAAAGCACTTAAGGTGAGTACTAGCTTGCCAAGACATTCGTTTCAGAAAATCTCATTTTCTGAAAGCACACGAAAGCAGAAGAACATTCCTATCAGCTGAGAACGCTATTTATTGGCTATTTTAGTTCATGAAAAAAATTCAGTTCAAATTTTGGCCATATCAATGCAAATATTACAAACTTAGGGTCAAGAAAAAAAAATTGTTCTTCAATTGACAACTAATACAAAAGGTTTCAATACCACTCAGATATATTGTCCGCATCTTATAACAAAGATAAGTAATTTGTAAAAGGTATTCATAAAAGGACCTCTAATTGAAAGCAAAGATAAGTCATTTGTAAGCAATCGTCCAGAAACCTATACCTGCTCTATTCTGCCCAATTGCCAATCATGTGATCCAACAAAGCCAAAACCTTCTTCACACACTCTGATTCATCACCTTTCTCTCTATCCCCAACACAACCCAAAGCCTCATTCAACTCCACTGCCTCCTTAATCCTAGCCTCCCTCAACAAAACCTTATAAACCCACTTCTTCAGATCACATCCCGGCACGATATTCGTACTCAGCATGGCCCTCAAAACCTTCAAAACCTCAAGAACCATCCCATTCTTACAGAATCCATTAACCAAAACCTCACAAACTCTCTCGTCGAGCACACATGGAGAGCCTGGCCTTACCAACCAGTTGAACATTTTGAGGGCCTCTTTGGGTTTATTTTTCTTGAAATATGAGGCAATGAACATGGTTGTGATGGGCGTGAGATAGGGATGTGAAGGTGGGTTGTGCCTGAGGCGGGTTAAAAGTGACATGGGTCGGGCCATGTCGGGTTGGGAAGTGAAGGAGTGGATGAGAATGGACAAAGAGAGAGATTTGAGAGGTGGGTTTGTGAGCAGGGCTGTGATGGTGAGGTGGGTTGCTGTGTCGAGGTGGTTTAAGAGGCAGAGGCGTGGGAGGAGGAGGTTGATCTTTGTGTGCTCTTCTTGAGTTAGACTTTGAGTTTGAGCTTGATTGGTTGGTTTCGGTGCAGTAATTGAATCAATGGCAGAAGTGGAAGTGGAAAATGAGCGTGGTGTGATGGTGGATTTTGAGGCAAGGGAGAGAATATGCAGTGGTTTCTGAACTGATATCATTCTCAGCCCTGCAATTGGCTTCGAATTGGTTTGATTCTCAGTTGTTGAACTATGCTTTGTTGCTGTTTAAAAAAAACTAAACAACTTTGCTTTGTAGTTTATCCTTTTTTTTTTTTTGGGTAACTGGTGATTTTGCCTTTGAACTTATACTTCAGTTTTTATATACCCCTTATCTTTTTTTTAAGAAAATTCAGGACTCGAACTAATTTTTTTCACCAATTTTCCCCCGGACGTCAAAATCTGCCACTTCCCAATCATCCTGCCGTCAAGTTGGAGGTTACTTTTTTCATTTCGCATCTCCACCAAAACACCAACTTGACGGTAGAATGGATGGGAAGTGGCAAATTTTGACATTGCGGTTTTAAATTGGCGAAAAAAATTAGTTCGGCTCCTTAATTTTCAAATTTAAAAAAAAAGAAAAAAGGATATGGGATAAAACCAAACTTGGGTACAAGTTCAAGGGACAAATCACCAGTTAAAACTTTTTTTTTTAATAAGAATTTTGCTAGTTAATAACCTCAATTTTCATTCATTAGGCATCAAATTACCCACTGAACTTGTACATAATTATTAATTTACCCCACGACCTTTTTTTTATATAGAAAACTAAGGTCTCAAACTAAATTTTATTCTTAATGTTCCCCTTACCGTCTAAATTATCAACATTTCATCCAATTTGCCGTTAAATCATTGGGAAAAAATTAAAGATAGGAGAAAAAAAAAAACTCCCCATAGCTGTAGCAATCATGATCATGATCCTTGCAATTACTTAGGTTAAAAAAGAAGGCAGAGCTAATGGATGGACCCTACCTCTTGCCTCTTGTTGTACGAAAGTACTAGTGAATTCTGTATTTCCTTATGTTCTCGAGATTGACATCAGCCATAGTTATGAGCTGTACTAGTGAATACTATCTTTCTGTGAATTTATCATGAGTGGTGATTTCCCCACTCCAATTTTATCCACTTACACTCCATTTTATAACTAAAAAAGGAGTGTAAGTGGATAAATTGGAGTAGGAAAATCATTACCATTTATCATTTGTTAGGTTTTTTGTATTTCTTACCTCTTTCTCTCCTAAATACTTTTGCCATTGAATTCAAGTAGTCCTACTACAAAAACGAGCTTCACTGCGTCTTACCTAGGCCTCATCATTTAGCCCGCGGGCTCATGGGCCAATGGGGGCATGCCCGGCCCATCGAAAAAAAGCTCGGCCAGGCCCGTTATGGGCTTTGAGATGATCCGGCCCGATTAAGCCCAAGAAAGCCCGGCCCTGCCCCGCCCACAAAAGCCCGGCCCGTTAGGCCCGCATACATTTATAATTATGTATAAATAAGAGTTTAGGTTTAGGATTTTATCACTTAAATCACATATATAATTTGTTTCATTTCATTTACTTTTCTTTACTCATTCCTAGTTTATAATTGGATGATTAGCACATTAATTTGTGTCAATTATTAATTCAACAATTATATATATATATATATATATATATAAGATGAACAACATATCACATCACCAAATATAATCATATCACGAAACATAATCGTACCACCAAATATAATCATACTTTTCTTGAACACATTACCAAATATTTGCATATTTATTCATACCATCCTTTAAAAAAAATATTTGTTTGATACTTATTATTTTTTAAAATTATTTCTTAAAACGTATTATGGTCTAATTATGTAATAACCTAAAAAATAATACTTGGTTTTATTATTTTTGTGGAAAGTCTTATTAAGTTGTGTGACTTTATTGGGTGTTTTATGAATTCGGTTTGATGTGAAAATATTGGAATTAAGTGAGTTTAATCTCAAATTTGGACTAAAATGCTCTTATGATTAAGTTTATGATTTTTTTTTAATGAAGTAGGCCCGTTTAGGCCTGGCCCGTTGGGTTTAGCCCGGCTCAGCCCGATGGGCTTTCTCAAGCCCGGCTTATGGGTCGGGCTTGGGCTTTGAATTTTCTAAAAAAACTCGGCCCGGCCCGGCCTAATATTTTCTCTCTCCTTTTTAAAGCCCAGCCCGACCCGGCCTAAGCCCATTGAATTTGGGCTGGGCTAGCCCTGGCCGGCCCATTGACGAGCCCTAGTCTTACCTTATTTTCTGCACATTTATCATTTGTTAGGTTTCTTTCATTTCTTACCTTTTCCTCTCCAAAATACTTCTGCCATTGCATTCAAGTAGTCATACTACACAAACGAGCTTCACTGCTTCACTACTTGCCTTCTTTTATGCACATTTATCATTTGTTAGGTTTTTTGCATTTCTTACCTCTTCCTCTCCTAACTGCTTATTGAATTCAAGTAGTCCTACTACACAAATGAAATCCTATTAGCTTTATATAGCTTCACTTCTTCTTGCCTTCTTTTCATATATCATTTGTTAGGTTTCTTCTTCCTCTCCCAAAGACTTCTGCCCATTGAATTCCAAAATGGGCCGATTGAAAAAAGTACTCAAGTCAAGGCTTGAGATGATTGTCAAAGCTCTTCGAATCAGAAAAAAAAGTGAAGAAACATAAGAAGTCCAAAAGAACCCGAAGCAAGTTGAGAAACTCAAAAGTGACATCAAAACTATTGGAGAAGATTTCAAGGGCAAAGAGTCTTTTTTCTGCATAGATAAAATTGCCGTAGAAGCTGCTGGATACGTCAAGGCCCAAACCAATTGGAAAGGCAAAGACATATCCTTTCATCCAAATAGCTCTAGAAGGTTCGAGGTGATAGAGGTGGCAAGAGAAGCAAACTTTAATCCCATCGAGGAATACAGATGGGCCGATGTTACAGTGGAAGACATAGCATTTCTGGTGATGGAAGTAGTGGCAGTGGATATGATGGAAGTGCTGTAAGGCGGGTGAAATCAAAGAGGTTTGACAACAATAGGGTCGTGTCTCTGAGTTCCGGGTTTTGATGCTTTTTTTTTTCTTTTTAATAACCAATTATTATTATTATATATGTTCAAATCCAACAAGAAGAAAAAGGAAAATCTCAACACATATATTTACTTAATGGTACTCGAGTTCAAAAGCAATTATCCTCTCTATTGCACAAATGCAAAGGCGGAAAAAATTGCCAAAATGGTCAAGAAGTATGCTGGAAACACCGGAGATAATGTAACCTATCATTCCTCTATTTGTTTTCTCTTTTCTTTTCATTGCTTTGCTTTGCTCGCTAACTTTTTTCACTTTGCCTTTTTCCATGTTATCTTTGTCGCTTTCTAATAAAGTATTTTGTCCACACAAAAAAGTAACAACTTGCCTAGACTCATAAATATTATTAAGCCTAATGCAACTTATAGCACCAAAAAGAGAGCTATCAAATTGCGAAAACAAATTGGCGAGGCAAGAACGTCATACTTCTGCAATTGTAGTTATGTGATTAATCACTAATAGTTATCCTTAAGTGAATTTATCACTTGTTAGGTTTCTTCTTCCTCTCCCAAAGACTTCTGCCCATTGAATTCCAAAATGGGCCGATTGAAAAAAAGTACTCAAGTGAGTGCTTGAGATGATTGCCAAAGCTCTTCGAATAAGAAAAAAAGTGAAGAAACATGAGAAGTCCAAAAGAACCCGAAGCAAGTTGAGAAGCTAAAAAGTGACATCAAAACGATTGGAGAAGATTTCAAGGGCAAAGAGTCTTTTTTTCTGCATAGACGTAGAAGCTGTCGGATACGTCAAGGCCCAAACCAATTGGAAAGGCAAGGACATAACCTTTCATCCAAACAACTCTGAAAGGTTCGAGGTGATAGAGATGGTAAGAGAAGTAAATATTAATCCCATCGCGGAATACATATGGGTTGATGATTACAGTGGAAGACAAAGCATTTCTGGTGATGAAAGTAGTGATAGTGGATATGATGGAAGTGTTGTAAGGCAGGTGAAATCAGAGAGGTTTGACAACAATAGGTTCGTGTCTCTGAGTTTCGGGTTTTGATGCTTTTTTTTCTTTTTAATAACCAATTATTATTATTATATATGTTCAAATCCAACAAGAAGAAAAAGGAAAGCTCAACACATATATTCACTTAACGGTACTCGAGTTCAAAAGCAATGATCCTCTCTATTGCACAAATGCAATGGCGGAAAAAATTGTCAAAATGGTCAAGAAGTATGCTGGAAACACCGGAGATAATGTAACCTCTCATTCCTCTATCTGTTTTCTCTTTTCTTTTCATTGCTTTGCTTTGCTCGCTGACTTTTTTCACTTTGCCTTTTTCCATGTCATCTTTGTTGCTTTCTAATGAAGTATTTTGTCCACACAAAAAAGTAACAACTTGCCTAGATATTATTAAGCCTAATGCAACTTATAGCACCAAAGAGAGAGCTATCAAATTGCAGAAACGAATTGGCGAGGCAAGAACGTCATACTTCTGCAATTGTAGTTATGTGATTAATCACTAATAGTTATCCTTAAGTGAATTTATCATTTGTTAGGTTTCTTCTTCCTCTCCCAAAGGCTTCTGCCCATTGAAATCCAAAATGGGCCAATTGAAAAAAAGTACTCAAGTGCTTGAGATGATTGCCAAAGCTCTTCGAATCAGAAAAAAAGTAAAGAAACATGTGAAGTCCAAAAGAACCCAAGCAAGTTGAGAAGCTCAAAAGTGACATCAAAACGATGGGAGAAGATTTCAAGGGCAAAGATTCTTTTTTTTGCATAGATAAAACTGCCGTAGAAGCTGCTGGATACGTCAAGGCCCAAACCAATTGGGAAGGCAAAGACATAACCTTTCATCCAAACAGCTCTGGAAGGTTCGAGGTGATAGAGATGGCAAGAGAAGCAAACTTTAATCCCATCGAGGAATACAGATGGGCCGATGATTACAGTGGAATACATAACATTTATGGTGATGGAAGTAGTGGTAGTGGATATGATGGAAGTGTTGTAAGGCGGGTGAAATCATAGAGGTTCGATAGAAATCAGAGAGGTTTGACAACAATAGGTTCATGTCTCTGAGTTCCGGGTTTTGATGCATTTTTTTTCTTTTTAATAACCAATTATTATTATTATATATGTTCAAATCCAACAAGAAGAAAAAGGAAAAGCTCAACACATATATTTACTTAATGGTACTCGAGTTCAAAAGCAATGATCCTCTCTATTGCACAAATGCAAAGGCGGAAAAAATTGTCAAAATGATCAAGAAGTATGCTGGAAACACCAGAGATAATGTAACCTATCATTCCTCTATTTGTTTTTTATTTTCTTTTCATTGCTTTGCTTTGCTCGTTGACTTTTTTCACTTTGCCTTTTTCCATGTTATCTTTGTCGCTTTCTAATAAAGTATTTTGTCCACAAAAAAAAGTAACAACTTGCCTAGACTCATAAATATTATTAAGCCTAATGCAACTTATAGCACCAAAGAGAGATCTATCAAATTGTGGAAACAAATTGGCGAGGCAAGAACGTTATACTTCTGCAATTGTAGTTATGTGATTAATCACTAATAGTTATCCTTAAGTGAATTTATCATTTGTTAGGTTTCTTCTTCCTCTCCCAAAGACTTCTACCCATTGAATTCCAAAATGGGCCGATTGAAAAAAAGTACTCAAGTGAGTGCTTGAGATGATTGCCAGAGCTCTTCGAATCAGAAAAAAAGTGAAGAAACATGAGAAGTCCAAAAAAACCCAAAGCAAGTTGAGAAGCTAAAAAGTGACATCAAAACGATTGGAGAAGATTTCAAGGGCAAAAAGTCTTTTTTCTGCATAGATAAAACTATCGTAGAAGCTGCCGGATACGTCAAGGCCCAAACCAATTGGAAAGGCAAGAACATAACGTTTCATCCAAAAAACTCTGGAAGGTTCGAGGTGATAGAGATGGCAAGAGAAGCAAACTTTAATCCCATCTCGGAATACAGATGGGCTGATGATTACAGTGGAAGACAAAGCATTTCTGGTGATGGAAGTAGTGGTAGTGGATATGATGGAAGTGCTATAAGGCGGGTGAAATCAGAGAGGTTTGACAACAATAGGTTCATGTCTTTGAGTTCTGGGTTTTGATGGTTTGTTTTTTCTTTTTAATAACCAATTATTATTATTATATATGTTCAAATCCGACAAGAAGAAAAACAAAAAGCTCAACACATATATTCACTTAATGGACTCGAGTTCAAAAGCAATGATCCTCTCTATTGTACAAATGCAATGGCGAAAAAAATTGCCAAAATGGTCAAGAAGTATGCTGGAAACACCAGATATAATGTAACTTATCATTCATCTATTTGTTTTCTCTTTTATTTTGATTACTTGGCTTCGCTCGCTGACTTTTTTCACTTTGCCTTTTTCCCTGTTATCTTTGTCGCTTTCTAATGAAGTATCTTGTCCGCACAAAAAAAGTAACAACTTGCCTAGATTCATAAATATTATTAAGTCTAATGCAACTTATAGCACCAAAGAGAGAGCTATCAAATTAAGAAAATGAATTGGCGAGGCAAGAACGTCATATTTTTGCAATTGTAGTTATGTGATTAATCACTAATAGTTATCCTTAAGTTCTAGTTTGATTGATGGTATCGTTTCCTCAAAGTTTAATTCTTAACTCAACCACCCTTATTATTAATAGTACTCACTCACTCACTCTCTCTCTCTCTCTCCGTTCTCACTACCACCCTTATTATTAAGAGCACTCGTGTTTCGAAAGAAGAACATGTAATGGGAAGCTTGCAACAAATCCACCATGAAACAAATGGCAAAGTGGGAACAAAATATGAACTCGATGGGATCAGAGTTCAAAGGCAATGATACATCAAAATGATGGTGTATTAATCCTCTCTATTATGAAGATGCAATGGCGGTAGAATATGTCAAAATGGTCAAGAAGTATACCAGATACACCGAAGATAAGGTAACATATTTCTACAATTATAGTTATGTGATTAATCACTAATGGTTATCATTAAGTTCTAGTTGGATTGATTGTATCGTTTCCTCATTTGTGAGCATCGTAGAGGTGATAGTTTACCACTAAACTTCTATCACGATAAATACGGTGGAGAGGTGCTTGGTGCTGTTTTTGAGTTTTTCGGCCGTCGAAATGATATTTGCAGAATAGGTAGCATCCGCAACATTCTTCATCAGGGGGAAGCAGAATCTTCCAAGGGGACCTGTCATTGCAACCCACAAAGAGAATAGAGTAGGATAAGAAAAATACAATAAGAAAATATTAAAGACTAGTGTCTTGCTAAGCTTCTATGCAAATAGCGAGAGACAGAGAGAGAGAGGATATGAAGGGGGATGGAAGTGGAAGAAGACAAGGGGGTATTTATAGAGCTAAGTCACTTCCCATGCAGATACATCAATTGAGTGCGAAGGTGGTTGGCTCTAGTTATGAGGAGATATCAAGTGCGAAGGTGGCTCTGAGGGGGGAGTGGTAGTGAAGGTGGCTATGCAGATACATATGAGTCTCAACGTACGTTTTGAGTTTGAATGAAAATTTTAATTCTCTTTCAACTACCACACAGGCTAATGTTAGAGTAGATGGAAGAGAAAATGTCTTTAGCTGAGAAAATCTCTTGCTTTTAATATATGATGATGGTTTTTTTTCTTTTCTTTTCGCAGGCTAAAACGTAATTGAAAATGGAAATTGAAAGCTGTTAATTAATAAGTTATAGTTAATGGTAGTGGACAAATATGGCATGGGAGTGAAGTATAGTTGGCTGGCAATGGAGACTCTGGTTGATATTACTACTGACCAAAACCAAGGTACTGAATTTACTGACAGAAACTACAATGACATACCAGAATACCCATTTGGGATGGGAATGGAGGCTTCTTGCAACTTCCTTCCTCTGAAATTGGCTTACTTCGTCTTTAAACCCTCAGACTCACTTCCTTCATCAGCCCCAAGAAAAACCCATTACTCAGTTATGTCATATAAGTGTTTGCGCAATTGTCTGTGAGAAAAAGAGGGCATATATATTACCTACCAGTGGGTTTGGGTTTGAAGTAGTGGGAAACAGAGGAAGGGCCAGAGTATTTGACGGAGCAGGGGAGCAGGTGCACCTGACCACTCAAGTCCGCCACTTGTTCTTCTTCTTCTTATGACTCTCCCTTTGGATTTCTTCTCAGAACTATGGTCCCTTGGGTTCCCTTCTCCATTTTCCCTCAATTCTTTCAGACAAAATCCCTAATCTGTGTATCGGCATCTCCTTTGCCGTTCTTCAAATTCGGCTACATATGGGCCTTCTTTCCCGCGCTTTTTCAGCCTACCGTCCACTCCAATCCCTCAACACTTTGTAAAGCTTGGGGTTTCTAGGCTGAAGATTTGGGCCAAGGCAAATTACATTTAGGCCCAGCCCACCACCATATCTTGGAACAATATTTGGGCACTCCTGTCACAGCTTATACTCTTCTAGTTTTGATTTATCATTTTTTATCTCTTGAATTAATGATTTGGCTTGTGCCACATCATTTGGAATTTATAATATCCATTACATATTAAAAGCAGGATATATGTGAGATCTCTCTTAAAACTTGCCGTATGTTTAGCGTATGTAACTACATAGTTAAATGTTTTTCTATTAATCTATATTATATACCTCCATTATTATAGTCAGGCCTTCATCTACATATCTATATATATATATATTTATATATAAGCAAAATACATAAAATTGTGAAATATTCAAAATATCATAAAATGCTCTTATTTAATACAAACATTAAGATAATTTCAATCAAATGAGGATAACATGATAAATTCACACTTTTTCATATTTAAACAATTAAATTAAAATCAAAATCCGATAATAGTTTCTATTTTTATGAAATAAAACTGCCCATTATATTTTTTAATTCTAAAATATAATACAAATTTATAAATAAAAACAATTGCCAAGGGGATTTGATTTGTTTAACAAAACTGTTCACAACTGTAGGAACAACAATTTCATTATGAAGTATGCATGCAAAAATTTGCACACTAACTTCTCATAAAACCAATTTTCTTGGTTATCCACTCCTACTAATTTCACCATTTAAAATGAAATTGACGTTACTGATTTCAATAATCTCATACCCTAGTTAGGTTAATAAATGATATATTTAGTGATATAGCCATTCTTAGCACTAATATTATAAATAAACCATACACCATTGAATTTCTATAAACAAACCAAAAAAAAACCCAAAAAATGATAGCTGGCCTTATTGAATTTAATATTGATTATTAAATTACTTTGATGCCCTATTGAGTGTCTTTTGTATTTTTATAAGATTTTGGGATTGGACTTGTTTTAAGAAACTGACGGTAGTTTTGTAATTTATAATAAGTTAAAAGCCTCTTTGTTATGTTGTAAATGGGTTTTGGGTGTGTTTCTAAAGTCTATTTCATATGAGATATTTTTATAATTTGGGCCCATATATTGGGTATAATAGTGAATCTCCCTAATAAAATCTATAAAATTTGTACTTTTCTAAGTAGCCAATAAAGTAATCAGAAAATATTCTAAAGGTCCAATCCCTTCTCATGTGAACATGAAATTCTTGGAGACAAGTCATTAATTGGAATATTTGTAAGTGCGATAATAAATGAATCTCTCAATGCGGAGGTGTACCTACCAGATACAAGCGCCCAGTAAATGCTCATACTCATTGACAGAAAAAGAAAAACCCTAAACCCACTCACCTACGTACCCTCATCAATCCCTATTGACTTGACCCGGCATCGTACAGCAAAGATCTAATCTAACCTTAAAAACTGCCTAAATCTAAAAGGAAATCTATTGTTTCAAATGATATAAAATAAAAAAATTAATAAAAGAAAGAAATTAATTGAAATCTAAGCATAGGGGATCTGGGCCCACACCCCTTGGTGCCCAAGTAAAACTTTGAAAACGAGGATGGATGGATGGATGATATATGGAGAGAGGGCAAGACAGACGCCGTCACTCTCCTCCATTTCAATATTTCGTAGAAAAAAGACAAAATAAAAATAAAAATGAAGGCAGTGCGAGTGAAACAGATCTCGGTTCTGAAAGCATCCCAACCCATTCGGTTGTGACGCATCCCAATCCATGTTGTTGGGTTTGTACACATTTGAACTCATGTTGTTTTTCTTATACTTGAGTTTATTTCTATTGTGTGAAGCTGTTATTATTTCTTTAATCCAATTTAAACCCCAATAAAAGAACCTATATATGCACACATATTTGATAAACATCAACATCTTTTATGATTAATTGACTAAAATCCTATTCTGATGGGAAAGTGCATAGGAGATTCTGATTCTTAGACAATCAAGTAAGTTCCTCTCTTTCTTTTTGCGATTTTAATCTTGAAATAAACTTTTATTCACCAATTATGTTATGAGTGTATGAGTATGACCATGACCTCACTCTCTTGATTCAAAATAAAAACTATAATACCATACAATAGTGACAACACAAATAGCTATCGAGCAGCAGATAGACGAACCATATTTACTGTATTTCTCCCACTTAATGAATATGTTCAATTTTTAATATTTTTTACATTTTATAATTCAAAAGGATAAAAATGATAGCTTCGAGAGTACTTGTCCTTCAAAAGAGGGTCAAGTAACTTGGCACTTTCGGATCCAACAAGACAACGGAAAAGCTCAAAACATATATTAACTTGATGAGACTAGAGTTCAAAAGCAATTATCCTCTTTATTGTGCATATGCAGTAGCGGTAGAAGTTGCCAAAATGGTCAAAGACTATATTAGATACACCGGAAAGAAGGTAACATATCATCCATTGAGGACGGATGGGCAGGACATAAGGATGTATAAATCATGCTAAAATTTCAAGATAAATACCTGCAATTGAAATAGGCAAAACCAATTTCTACTCTTGATATTGAATTACCCTCATATTCTTATATTAAATACCTACAATTGTCTTATATTCTCATTTAAATGTCTTCTCTATTTTTGGTTCACTAGAACTACATAAGTTGTTGCAATTTGAAAAAAAAAAATGGTTGTTTTAGTTGGTCCCATTTCATTTCCCATTTAAACATTCTAGATAGTCCATGTATTCTTTCTTGTCTTTACACTTTAAAGAAGAAAAACAAGAACAAAAAGGTTAAACTAAAGTTTATCAATCTTATTGTAGTGTCTTTTGTGAAGCAACCGATGAAAACTCAACCCAAGGGAGTAAGTTGGGTTATTGAAAGTTATACAAGATCAAGCCTCAATCATGTTTGTCTTATTTCGCAATTCATGTGGTCATGAAAATATGCGCAACTAAATGGACTGTTAGCAGTTTCGTATTAAGTTAATCTCACTTCAGATGATGTTCTAAAATAAAAAAAATTAATAAAAGAAAGAAATTAATTGAAATCTAAGTACAGGGGATCTGGGCCCACACCCCTTGGTGCCCAAGTAAAACTTTGAAAACGAGGTGGATGGATGGATGATATATGGAGAGAGGGCAAGACAGACGCCGTCACTCTCCTCCATTTCAATATTTCGAAGAAGAAGAAGACAAAAAAAAAAAAAAACAAATGAAGGAGTGAGTGAACAGATCTCAGTCTCTGAAAGCATTCGGGGAAACCAATTTTACAACGAAGCACTCCTCCTCTTGTTGCTGCTCCTTCACCTTTGCCCACCCAATTATCCGGATCCCAAATGCCCCGACCCGGAATCCGAATTCTCCCAAACAACCCCTGCCTCGACCTCTATTTCCACCGCCCCATGGGATCAGGCATCCACTCCAACTTGGAATTCCATGAGACTCTGACGAAGCAGCTGCTGCCGCGGGCCTGGTCTCACGATCCCCTCACCACCCTCAAGCTCATTTGAAACCTCCTAGCCAAGTGGAGGGACAATGGAAAACCCTATGAGGAGGCCTTCTACGCGGCAGTGTTTTGGCTCCACCACAACCACCCCAAGACCCTTGCCTGCAACCTCCTGCCTATTGCCGGCGCCTTTGGCCATATTATCCACGTTCTGGACATTCTGTCACGAGTTCTTCTACAAGGGAATGGCCTGCAGCAGGTTGATCAATACTCTCTGACTTGGACCAGGAAGAAGAAGAACAAAGACTTCCGGTCCCGACAGTACCAGTTCCAGTTAACACAAAATGCAAGGAAGAAAAACAGGACAACTTGTCCTCTTCCTCCTCCTAGTCCTAGACAGATTCGGCAAATCAAGGTGGAAAAAGCCAAGAAGAAAGCGAGCGCCTTGTTGAAGAGAAGGAAGACAATTGCCACGGCCAACAAGGCTGCTGACAGGTACCACGGCGACCCGGATTATTGGTTCTTGCACGACCGGGTTTCTGATCTTATGGCCGAGTGCTTGAAGCATGATATCCAACAATTCAACCAGCATCTGCAGCAGCGTCGTGAGCGTGAGCGTGAGCAAGGCCAAGACCAAGACCCAAATGAGAAGAAGATGCAGACGTTGGAGTTTAACGTAACCAGTGTTGCTTCTTGCTTCGAATTCGTGCTGCCCCCCGCGGATCAACTGCTGTATGAAAGCATTGCTAGGAAGGTTTTCCCGCCAGGAGAGTCAGACTCAGAATCAGAATTTTTGAACCCAATGTCTCTGTGGCGGCGGCGGCTGCGGAAAGAGATTTTGGTACCCTTGAGACAAGCCTTGGCTCCTGCCAACCAAACAGGTGCCAACAAGTGGGGTTATGATCCGTGTTATGAACGAGAGCCCTCTGATGTCGCTGCCTCTGCGGTTCACAAGTATATGGTGGCGCTGCAAAAAGCCACTGCCGCCGCCGAGGACAAGCCCGTGTCCTTGTCTGAGAGCATGATTGAGGCCGGTGCTGTGCTTCCACACACGATCGTACGCTACGCCGTGAATTATAATGCTCGTTACGAGCGAGCAGCTGAGCTTCAGTGGAAGAGAATGGTGGAGGACGTGTACAAAAAGCAGGGGAGACTGAACAATTGCTTGGCTGTTTGTGACGTGCGGGCGTCGGAGGCGGAGGCTCTGGGGCTGTTTGTGTCTCAACTGAGCGAAGGGCCTTGGGAAGGAAAGGTGGTGAGTTACAGCGAAAACCCTCAACTGCATTTGGTACGAGGCGAAGATCTCAAGTCCAAGTTCAGCTTTATGCAGAGTTTGGTTGAGTGTCAGGGTCGCGGAGTTCCTCGTTGCACCTAAATTCTGCATGCATATGTCTATATTTCAATTGATTTGATTCGAGAGAGTTTAGATATTAAATCTAACTAGCAAGATTTAACGTATTGAAATTAATGTAACGGGAATAATAATAATAATAATGTCAGAAGAGAGAATGTAAAATATGTTGGGCGATGATACAAAATGGAGGTGGACCGTGTTTGGCTTGGCCAAACAAAAGTCGTTTTGAGCTAAATTAGTCTTAAATGGGTCTCGTTGGTGCTAAATTGGGGTCAAGTCAACCCTTAACATCGTAAGATTTAGCAATAATTTTTTTAGAAAAAAATAATATAAATTATAATAATTTAATTAATTACGTATTATTTTATTTCAAAATCGAATGTTAAATGAAAAAGTTATAAAGGTGTAAGAATCAAACCAACAAAACAAAATAATGAATATTAAGCAAGGTTAGTTCGTCCGAGTAAATTAATATTGAGTGCACATGAAAGCTACCCTCTTACAATTCTCATTTCGAGAAAACCTGTGAAGCGAGAGAGAGAGAGAGAGGAGAGAGAGAGAGAGAGAGAGAGAGATAGATGAAAGTAGAAAATAGACGTTGGGATCTCTCTCCCCTTCCCTATTAGAGATCTCAAAACCAAAAACATAAACATCTATATATATTTACTTTTCTTCTTCTTGGGCAAGGAAATAGCACGTGACTATGACCTCCTTATGTTATAATGACCAGAACTCAAATACATATACATATGTGTGTGTATATTTTCTCTTGTTGTTTAATGCGAGGATGGAGGCCTGTACAGCTAGATCCGGCTCAGGGAGGATCAATCCTTAATACCCTTCCAGTATCTCAGATGAAGGAAGGTCCCTCAGGTCCTGTTGTGGTACCTTTCCCAGGTGCTTCAAAGGTAAGAAATGCCTTATTGAACCTTGAGTTGGTAAGTACTTTTAGGTAATTCAAGTATTAACCATATTTATTTCTCAAAACATGGTCATCTGAATATTGATGGTTACACAAATGCAGATTGGGCAGAAAGTATAACATATAAGAAATCCACATCAAGTTACTTCACATTCATGGGAGGTAATTTGGTTACATGGAGGAGCAAGAAACAGAATGTGGTCGCCTTATCCAGTGCAGAAGCCGAGTTCAAAGATATGAGCAAAGGAATTTGCGAACTCATTTGGTTAAAGATGTTACTTACTGAACTTGGATATAGACCTACATTTGTAATGAATCCAACAAGGCTGCAATATGTATTGCACATAATCTAGTTCAACATGATCGCACCAAACATGTTGAGATAGATCGGCCTCGAAGCTAAAGTGATTCAGTTTCCTTTAGTAAAGTCGGAGGATTAATTGGTAGATATTTTGACAAAGGTGATTTCCAATAAAACATTCCACAATTCACTAGATTGGTTAGGCATTGGTGACATTTATGCACCAACGTAAGGAGGAGTGTTGGCGTGACTTGTGGACCATTGACTTACTTTCCTTTCACACCAAGAATTCCTATTATAATTGTGATTAACTTACTTTAATTCCTGATTTCCTACTATAAATATAAATATGAATTTATTATTTACTTGCATATTAAAGTTCCATTGTATTATAAATATGACCTCCTACACCAAAGAGAAGAACACATAGAAAATTTCCACAAATAAATATTCTCATATTAGGTTTCATATTTTAGCAGGTATGTCCTTCCATTTTCTGCAAGCCTATCAAAGATAATGCTGCAACCAAAATCAATATAAATAAGTTAGTTGATGGAATAGTATTGAGCTTTTCCAACTTGGAACAAAAAGACTGATACCTTCAACCAAAAAAGGGAAGAATAATAAGAAAGATGGTGCAGACATCAATAGATGAATTGTTAAAGAAGAAAACATACTTATCTGCACCTTCGAAGAGTAGAAAGATTTGACCGTCTTCGTTGCTTAATATAACAGACATCCTCTCCCGAGCCCTACAGAACTCTAAAAGGTTCAAAAGTTTGTACTTCCTGACAATAACCATCACATCATGCTGGGCCATCCTACCGTAAAGAACTTATAGGAAGTGTAGTCTTAACCAGAAAAATTCAATTATAGGACTTGCCTCTCAACCTCCTTTGCAGTGGAGAGATCAAACTCTTCGAAAAAATTGAAATCCAAATTCTTGTGCAGCATTTAGAAAAGATACTTCTTCTGGTGACTCTGCCTTATACTTTAGCTTATGAATTTGATCATCCTCCTCAACAGGTATGTTTGTGTGACATAAAGCCTTGACTCTAAAGAACAGTGTCGCATCAGATAAGTTGGACCTATAAATCCACTTTTTGTTCATAGGTTTATCATCCCTAAAGTTGAAACCCTTGATGGCAGTTTCTTCCTCCACATAAGAGATTCTTGAGTTGTTTGCACTCGAATTCTGCCTATGTCTTTGTCCACCTAGAACAGCTCTTTCGGTGCTAATGTCCCCAACTGAGAACTCAAACATTACACAGCTTTGGCTTGCTGTTTCAAATTCATCAATACTAAAATGATATGACTCAACATCAACATTCATTCGTTTAGATGCTACACGATCGATTTCATTTTAACACCCCCATATTTCCAGCAATAGAGCATTTCCTACCTGACCAAGTTCCTCATTTAGATTTGATGTCCGGGTTTGGACTGATTTATGTATAGCTTCATCATACAATTCTATATCCTTGTTAATGAGCATGGCTTGTAAAACTTTGACAACCTCAGTAGAGACATAAGAGAAATGGGGATCAAGTAGCCATACAAAAATAAAGGCCCTTATGAATTGTAGAAAAATCAGATACCTCTGGCTTTGACGGGTTAAAGAATGGATCATCATCTTCCAGAAAAAGATACCACCACTTAACTATCTCAGACTTCAGAAACTGCACAAAACCGGATGCAGTGACCACTGAAATTGAGAGAAGCACTGAAAAGAGAAGGTAGAGAAGCATTTCCTGCTCCTTTCCTCCCACTGATGTGCATTGCATGTACATCCGCGACTACGCCGCTGCCCAATATTCGTATTCTCATGACACCGGAGAGTTCACATTGGAAACTAGAGAAGCCATATAGATATGTGCCTTGGTGCATTGTTGATCTTTACCTTCTCCTCAGGACAGAGATAAGCAGCTCTCTAACTTTCCTTTGTACCTTAATGATCCTAAAACTTTTCGCTGTACTCTCAACCCTGGAGAGATTCTATACTAGTAAGTTTCGGCCTCCTTTTTGGGTGTCTAAATCTCATCAGACTTGAGCCACTTCCAATTTTGTTTCAAATATGGGAATCCTAATTGCTTCCATTCCATTGATACATGGTTCTTTCCACAGACTAAAGATGTTTGCTTTGGATTGGTACACAACATATGAAATATGAAAATAATTGACAAATCAAGATGTGCATATTGTTTTTGTTACTTTGACACTTGTATGATATGGAACTTTATGCTTATGGCACACACTATTTTTTAAATCTTGATCTGTTAGAGTTAATGCAGGCCAAGTATGTGGTTAGACAAAGTCCAAATAGCAGAGGACGCACTATTGCTGTGAACTTAATACTTTTCTCACCTTTTAGTTTCAGCTCTGTATATGGTTAGATATTGAGGTTCCATTATGTATGGCATGGTATGATATATAGTTTGATATCAGGTATGCTTACTTCAATTTCTTGCAATCAATTCATTGCCTATCAATTAAAACTCCAACGCTGGCCGATTCAGTGCATGAGGATCAGATTCTGATGCATTGGGTGTGCATAGGCATGTACCCTAATAGGATCAGGGAAAATAACTACATAATCCCACTATAATTTCAACCCAAAAAGGAGGGCAGAAACCAGGTATCGACAGATGGTTGGCAATCCACATGTTGACTGCATCGGGGAGGCAGCTGAGGGCCACAAATATAACACCGAGATAATGTATATCAGACAGCAAGTATTTAGTTATCTCACGGCTAGAAATAACAAGTCCAAGTGAAGTTTTCTCTCAGTTACTTCCACCGGTGCTTCATCACCAATCATTTAGGTAACTGGCTTAATTTCAATATATATACTTGATCATATCAGAAGCAAACCACCACAAGTCTTTTAATTCCAATTCCCAAAGCAAGCTTAATTTCTCTCTTCCTCATTGTTAATTTGCATTGTTTTTAGAAGTTTTAAAACCATCGGTTTCCGGTTTGCCTGGTATTGTACACGCTAAGAAAAATCAAGTACCTTCAAACGGCTTGGATGTTCCTAAAGGCTACTTGCAGTGTATGTTGGGGCGAGCCAGAGAAGAAGCGGTTTGTGATTCCAGTTTCATTCTTGAACCAACCTTCATTCCAAAAATTTGTTAAGTCAAGCTGAAGATGAATTTGGGTATGATCATCCAAGGGTGGTATCACAACAATCCCCTGCAGTGAAGACACCTTCCTTCATCTCATCTCTCACTTTGGTGTATGAGCACAACATGCTAAAGTTCACCATACATGCACAATTTTGACACCACACAAGGACAAATTTTTGGATCTGAATTTGCAGCCAAGACATCCTTCATGAGGAGATGCTAACTGCGGATGAATTGAAGACAACTTCAATAATTCTCAGTTCATAACTTCAAACCGCTTGTGAGAGCCGAGGAGAAAATGGCCAGCCTAGCAGATAAAATTAACTGACACCCTTGTTCAAGAATGTCACTGCTTTACTTGGAATGTGAAAGCTGGCAAGATCAGTTATTCAACCCCATGTACTTCGTTGTCCTAAGAAAAATTGAGATTAACTATTTTCCTTTTGATTGAACAATTTACAGTTCTGTACGTGATGATCATTTTTCATTTAATTGATATCTAATGGCTACCATGTAATGTTTAATTAATCAGCATAGGGGAGCAGATTTACAACAAAGTGACTAATGGAATATTTGACAGAAGTTGTTTCTAGCAGCAACGGGCTTTGAATTCGCCATGAATAGCTCGATAATCCATGCTTAATTACCAATCAACATACTATTGTTGTCCCACTCTCATAAAAGTCAAATATCTGATTTTGGCTGCACTAAATCAAATTCATTCGACCATCCATAAATTGAACTATCCACCTTGTAATCATTTGTCTTTGAACCTAAGATCTAGGAAGCACTTTGCCAACCTATCCCATTGCACTTGAGCTAGAGTAATGGGCAAGGTCAAAGAAAAGTATGGAAAGGCAATAAAATTCTCCCTGTAAAAAAAAAAGAAAAAGAAAAAGGCTATATGGTTTTGGTTAAGTCAGTTTAAAACAGGCCAGGCCTGATGGAAGAGAGACTGATCAGGTCTATGAAACTGCCATTGATGTGTACTGTCAAGGTATAAGAAAAAGAGATGTTTGGTAATATCAAGATACGTGTCATCATGCTGATGCAGCTTATTAAATTACAGACTTTTCCTATCCACAACTAGGCACATTCTGATTGCCAGAGTGAACATACTAGTGCTTCAACTGTAGTAAATTAGTTTTTGCTTTCAGCAAAAGACAGAACCATCTGATCTTCAAATGCTTATGTCTCCCAACCGTGATCATGATTCAAACCAGCTGCTGATGGCTGGAGAACCACAAATTCATGCATGGAAAGGCAGAGCCACATCACTATCTAGCTACAATGGTCAAGAGATACAGAGAAGCCTTAGGAGAACATGCACATACAGCACAGCATCCTCTTCACAAGGATTGTCTAGAAGGTTGATTACTATGCATATGCAATGACCTTTGGAACGTTAGGTATACCAGCTAATGCAGGGTTTTTCGGTTGAGAATACCTGATATATGCAACTGTTCACATCCTGTTTTTTACCTGCAAATCTTCAAAATTTGCTTAGACATGTAATGTAATCTACTTTAACTCCAGAGAGGTTTTCTTTTCAATTGGTTAAGATGAAACATCTATTCAGACAGAACTTCATAATTAAAGCCATGCATAAAACTTGATAACTACGCAAAATTTTGCAGATTAACAAAAATATAATGATTGAATAGTTTCAAATTAGAAAGTATCAAGCAAGTCATCCAGCAAGAGGTCAACCAACTTATTAAGAAGAAAGATGCATGCTCTATTGATGTTACGGCAAAGCATGGATTAGTATTATATGTGGAGAATTCAGTACTCAATATGTTTAACTCTGATACCTATAGTGATGCTTGCATCACTTGGCTACCATAAGATAAAAATGAAATTAAATTATGAATCAGAATAGTAAATCATTCTCTTAACGAGTTTGAGTTTTGTAGACAACAACTAAGTACATGGTTGACACTAAATTTTTGCTATTTATCAATCTCTATTCAAAGCAACATTGTACTTGGCCAATGGTTCGCAAGTTTATATCCGCAGGCCCTGGCCATTTCTCCTCAGCACACAAGCGATTTGGAATTTCTAGCCCATTAATTATCCAAGGTGTCTTCAATCAAGGGATGAGATTCATTAGTAATGCAAGATAAACCCAAGCCCTCTTCATCCAGAGATAACGATCTCTTCAATCCTCATTCTCCTGCTTACTTGCAAAGGTTAGATCAAATTGCCCCTTAAGTAGCTCAAGTACATATGCAGCCAATGGTGTGTCAAAATTGTGTTATATGTCAGCCTCACTCATAGACCAACGGAGAGGTGAGATCAAGAAAGGTGTTTTCGTGGCAGGGGATCGGGATACCACCATGGGATGAATCGTAGCCAAAATTCTTCTTCGGATGACTTAACAAATCTTGGAAAGAAGGGTGGTTCAAGTACTACACACTGGAATGACAAACCTCTTCTGCTGGCTCTCCCAACATAGACTGCAAAAGCGCCTTTAGGGACATCTAAGGCCTTTGAATGTACTTGGTTTGAAGTTGGTAAAGACTGCTGAAGAAGATTTTTCTTAACATGTAGAATACCAGGCAACCGGAAACCCATGGTTTTGAAATTTCTCATGACGAGAACGAAAATGAAGATTTCAAATAAATTGCAAAACAGAGAAATCTTCGAATATGTGTGATCAATGAAAGACTCGTTTTGCTTCGTTCCTCAATCTGATCATATGTGTATATATAGATGAGGTAGTATACTGAAAACAATCTGTTACCTAAAATGATTGGTGATGAGACATCAGGACGGACCTAATTAGTGAGAGACGTTAGCTCATGGAGTATCGCATGGACTTGTCTCCTAATAAATCAAGAAAAACTCACAAGACAACGCCCAAAATGAAGAGAAACATCATGTCCTACCACTCTTAATAGCTGAAAAGAGCAACCGAAGTAATTAAAAGACTAATACCAATTTGTACATCCTATGTAAAGTGTAAGCCTTAGCACAGATCAAAGACATGCTTGAGACCAAGTAGACCCAGTGCGCATAGGCATGTACCCTATAGGATCAGGGAAAATAACTACATAATCCCACTATAATTCGACCCAAAAAGGAGGGCAGAAACCAGGTATCGACAGATGGTTGCCAATCCACATGTTGACTGCATCGGGGCGGCAGCTGAGGGCCACAATATAACACCCAGATAATGTATATCAGACAGCAAGTACTTAGTTATCTCACAGCTAGAAATAATTAATAATAAAATTTTCAGACTTTCAGTATTATAGCTACAACACAACCAAATAACTGCTACTAGAAAACAACAACAACAAAATCTGTGTTATAACAAGCGCAATGCAGAGCAAATAAAGAAAAGGTTGAGCTAAATTAAAACGATTAGATCAATTTCTCATTAAATTAAAGTAGTAATCAATCACTAATTGGTAGCTAGCTAGCAAGGTTAACTAAATAAGTAACTAATCTTTAGTGCCTCTGTTTGAATGCAATAGTTTTCAGGGCCACAGCTAGATTAAAACAGATAATGATTATGCTCCTCGTACTTGAGATTCCACTCAGTCAACCACAACCAGAGTTTGATACAGTTGAGTAGAGAAGGCTGCTTCCATGACATGGTCTAGGCTAATATCCCCATCATTTTCCAAGAAGGAATTGACCAAGTTGTTGTTGATGAAGGGACCGAGCATGGTCACCCCCGGTTGCGTACAAGGCACGGCCGGGGTAGACTTGTGTCTGCTTAGATTCCAAACATTCTCTCGGCTTAGATTCCAAACCACCAAGTGTGGCACCACATTCCCGTATCCTTTCTCTTTGAACTTGATTGTATTGCCTCATAATCACTCTCCCATCGATTGGCCGAAATCTCATCAAAGTCAAAGTAGATGGTGAACACAAACACCTTGGTGATCATTTGCTCTGGTCTCAAATTCCCATTTACAGCCGCTTGCAGAATCAAATCAAATACCTTTCGAAAATCAACCTTGCAATGCCACTCCTGGCTGTCCATCCTCCTCACAAACGCGCATTTGGACCTGAGATCATCCCCTTGTATCGCAAGCAACTGAGGGTTTCGATTGAAAGTGATCACCTTTCCTTTCCATGCCGGCTCCTGGTTCAGTTCAGACACCAAAAGCCCCAGAGCCACTGACACATGCAGAGGAACCCTCTTCATGCTCTCGGAGACGTCGCATATGGCCAAGCAGTTTCTAAACTTGCCTTGCTTCAAGTAGATGTCCTCCACCATAGCCTTCCACTGAAGCTCAGCGACTTGGCGCAGCTCATCACAATCGTAAACATATTCTATGATCTCATGTGGAAGCAGAGCGTCGGCCTCAATCATGGAGTTGCCTCCGGTTTTCACCTCCTCCAAATACACGCGAACCGGGCAGGGAGCTCCATGATTGGTCCTCCTACATTCATAACCCGACTCTTCCTCCAAGGGGACATGCAAGGGCAACAAACCTCCTTCATCAGCAGCTGTCGGGCTCTGTCGGCGTGATCGGCCTCGTCTTCCTCAACACCCTGGTATGAAATTCGAGGGAAAATCTCTTGGCAATGCTCTCACAAAGCAGAGTAGTGCAGTCGAACATAGAGTCGACGAAAGGGCAATCCATTGCGGGCCCAGTTAAGTCCAGCAGTAGTAGTGATCATCTTCCTCATCATCATCATCAGATTGGGTTAAATTCAATTCTTTTGATTTCAGTTTCAATTGTATCTGCTTCAAGTTTTCAATATCAAACTTTAGGCAGTCCGCGAACAACTCGGAAACGCGGTCGTGCAAGAACCGATAATGGGGGTCGCGCTCGTACTGTCAAGAGCCTTTTTGGCCATGGCCATCTTATCCTCTGTCTCCTCGATGGCTTCTGTGAAGAAGCATCGGAATCAGGTGGGGGTGGCCTTCTAGTATCCGGTAAGGAATTTCGAGAACATCGTCAAGATGCATGAACTCGCCTGCAATAACCGGGAGGTTGAAGGCCAGGGTTTCGGGGTGGTTCAGGTGGAGCCAGGAAGCCGCCGTTTGGAAGCCTTCTGTATCGTTGATGCCGCGGCCGCCGCGAGGATGGAAGAGGAGGCTGCAAATGATCTTGAGGGTGGTGAGGGGATTATGGGACCAGGCCGAGGGAAGGAGCTGGTTCAGATAGTTAAGGTTGGCCTGCTGCTTGGCCGGGGTCCATGGGTTGATGAGGCGGTAAAATAGATCAAGGCAGGGGTTGCCGAAGGTGGGAGAGGAAGGTGGAAGATTTGGAGCTTCTGGAGTTGGAGTTGGAGTTGGAGGAGCCATTCTTGGGGTTGGAGGAACCCAATGCGCATGTTTTCGACATACATGCAGAGCCGAGATGAGTCGCATTTCCGCCACTTTCATCGTCGAAATTCAAATTCAACAGTGAACAAAAACAAGAAGGGAACTTGTTTTTTGCTTTGCTGAGAGGAGAGGAGAGAAATAAGACTACTAGTAAGTAGTGTTTATTTTGACGGATTTATTTTATTAATTCCATACTCTTGTCTTATATTCTAGAGAGAGATGGCTTACCTACATCATCTACCTAAACCCTAAACCCTACGCACCTAAGCCTTAAACCTTAGAATACCATCCTAGTACAAATACAAAAAGTAAAGTAATTATTACAGCACATGGCGAAGGAAAGAATCTTAAAACTTGTACAAGAAACAAACCCTTCTTTACTAGATCTACAGTCTACTGTCTACAGAGGATGGACAGATTTCAAAGAAAGAAAGAATGTGACCCCATATAAAAAGGGATTCTCTTTAATAATATAAAAATAAAAAATAAAAAATAAAGATTCTTTTTAATAAAATATTAATTTTTACTTTTCTTCAGTTCCAAGTCTATCCGCCCTTTTATCCTAAAAAATTCATAGAAAAAATCAAATCTCCCCATCTCGCAAAATTGGTTGAGTAAAGGAAATTCATCATGAATCAAGTGCCAGTACGAATCATCTCACTTCTGAAAGCATGCCGCGGCAGCCACTTGAATGTCATGGGCGGTAGACTCACAAGATTAATGGTGTCTCCTCCTCCTCCAGAGCTACAACTGCTAAAATCACCACCCCCCTCACCCTCAACAACAGCAACAGTCCACCACATTTACCCCTGCCTTGACCTGTATTCAGCGTCTACCAACACGACGAATATGACACCCCGGCCAAAAACAAAGGCCTACCGCAGGTATCTGAAGCAACTCCTCCCGGTTGCTTGGTCCCACAATCCCTTAACCACCCTCAAGCTCATCTGCCACATCGTAGACCATTCAACGACAGATGCCAAAGCCTTCTACACGGCGGCTTTTTGGCTCCATCACAACCACCCGAAGACCCTCGCCTCCAACCTTCTGCTTATTGCCGCCGGGTTCGGGCATGGGCGTGGTTTGTATGACCTTGTGCGGATTCTCTACCGGATTCTTGCAGGCCAAGACGAGGTCGATGAAGAGATGATGTTCGCCATGGATGACAAGGTGGCTGTCGAGAGGTACGAGACTGACCCCGATTATCGCTTGTTACACGACCTCGTTTCGGATCTTTTTGCCCACTGCCTGAACCGTGATATTCAACTTTTGAAGAAGAAGCGGATGCAAATGGATAATAATATTCATGATGAGTCTTCTTCTAATACGTGCTTGGAGACCACTAACGCGGCCTTTTGGCTCGACGATCGAGCCACTTTCCTATGCGAGAGTATTGCGAGGAAGATTTTCCAGCATCCACACCCACAAAGAGATGTTAAGGAGGAGGAGGAGGAGGAGGCCGGTTACGCCTACAGACTCCGAGAGCGGCTGATGAAGGAGGTTGTAGAGCCCTTGAGGAAGCCAACTGCCTCGGCTGACGAAGGAGGTTATGTTCTTCAGTCGTTTGATGGAGGACCTGACTGCGTGTTTCAGATGTATTTGGAGGACCTGAAAGCTGAAGCTTCCAAGATTGAGAACCCGTCGGCTCTGCTTCCACATCAGATCATACGCTATGTGAACGATGAGGATCTCGGGCAAGTGGCTGAGCTTCAGTGGAACGCAATGCTGGGGGACATGATCAAGGGCACATGCACAGGCAAAACTAAGAAAAAGAAGAAGAATTTGAACAACAGCTTGGCTGTTTGTGATGTCTGCCCCTCAAGAATGAGTGGATCCTCCGCTGATGTATCGGTGGGCTTGGGACTGTTAGTGTCTGATCTGAGTGAAGAGCCGGCATGGAAAGGAAAGGTGATCAACTTCAGCCGAAACCCTCATCTGCATTCCATACCACAAGGCGATGGCCTCAAGCCCAAGTGCGACTTTTTGAGGAGGATGGACTGCCTGGAGGGGGAGGTTGATATTCAAAAGGTGTTCGATTTGATTCTGCAAGTTGCTGTGCATGGGAATTTGAAGCCGGAACAGATGATCAACAAGGTGTTTGTGATCACCAGCCGGCTAGACTATGACTTGAATTGGGCACATCCATGGGAGAGTGATTATGAGGCAATACGAAGCAAGTTCAAGGAACAAGGGTACGGGGATGTGGTACCACAGATAGAGTTTTTGAGTATGGAGGTCATTCCATACAGGAATGACGAGTTGGTCGAGTGCTTCTTGGACACTGATGGGAAATGAAGGGGATTCCCAAAAAGACCATGGAAGCACACATCTCTGCCTACCCTATCAATTTCTGGTTGTAGTGACTGATCGACTCACTCACTCAAGCCAATGGCTCACCCTATCCAACTATGGATCATCATCATCTGTTTCTTTCTCTTTAAGTGAAAACTATTGCTCTAAGAGGCACTAAATTAAGATTGGTTACCAGTTTAATTCAATTAGAAATTAATTCATATTTATACAGTACATCAATTCCAACTTGGATTATGATTTAGTAACTTCTACAGCTTCTACGCCAAGCGGCCCCATCTTATATTCATTTGGAATTATGACCATGTATATTCATTTGGAATTTAAGTAGTTTTAAAAAGTAATGACATGTCATTTGACACATCATTTGGGGAGAAATTGCAAATCTCAGCATTGGAAGACCACCTTTTAAAAGCTAGCCAAAGTGAGAGAAGAGGACGGTATATATAAGAAGACAATTTTCTTGTACCATTGTTTATTTGGCTTTCGATGTTTCCCATGATGAAGGCCAATGTTATAACCAACAGTGCTGGTTCTGTTATGAAAGTCTGTTCGATGAGTGGAAGGGACAGACGGTTAGCTTCAGTCAGATTTTCTTACAGTTGAAGCGAAGTTGGCCTGCAAATGTAAAAGAGTGAAGCTCTTAAATTCATTCATTGGTCAGAAAATGCCAGGGTCATCAGATGGAGCAAACTGTATTCTTTTGCATGCTTGTGACATTTCTTCCAAAAGCACTTTTTCGAGGTTGCCAATCTTTATTTTCTGTTACTGGCTTTGGTTCTTGACTTCTTTTTCTCCATAAGTTTGATTGCCCCTTTGGTCTTTGTTAGTATGATTAAAGAGGCCGTGGAGGATCGGCACATGTTCTTGCAGGTAAAACCAAATCACAGGATACAAAGTTCCAGCCAAATCACATTATAACCAAAGCCACGGACCATAGCCGATTGCTTTGCTAGCAATTGCTCCCTTGCATTCTCCAAAATCCTATTATAATATTATAAAAATAAAGTGATAATCACTAATTTTAACTTAATAAGTTATAATTGAATTCATGGTTATTTGGTTAATTTTATTTGTGGCTAACACAGCTATGATCCCCTTGTATACAAACTGCATTTGTGGTTAATTTCATTTAAGACGGGTGGTTCGGCCACTTTGGGCCTAAGTCCAATTCCCTTTCATTTTGTATTTTTTTCAATATTGTTAGTCCAATTACAACCAACAATTTTTTTAACTTGCTCCATACGTAAATCATTTTCTAGAGTACGAAACCATCCTAAAGCTCAACATGCCATAAAATTTCACATTTCAATAACTAATATAGCTCAATTCAACTCCATATATAGTTATTACCTCATTGGAGTATTACATGTAAATTAAAAATATAATTAAATAAATATACACGGTCCGGTTTGGTTTATGCCGATTTTATAGCTCAAAACTACATATATGCCGATTTATAGTTCAAAACTAAAATATAAAAAAAAACAAACTCATCGCATGCAAGTGTGATAGAGAGGAGGAGGAAGAAGTTATGTGCCATTCCATCCTCTCCGCGGTATCATCATCAACTACAAGTGTGATAGATAAGAAAACTCGTCCGCATACGAACATCTTTCATGAAGAAGGCAAACTCATTCGGACACTCCGAGGCCCTCATCGGACAGAATATATAATGTAGTTGACTGATACTGAAGAGCCCCTTGAACAGGCTCCTCTTCGGACATGAATCTGAGATGGCTACACTTATCCAAATGCTCCCCAAATTCGGACAGGATGTAGTAGACATTTGGGGAAACAACGCTTATGAAGAAGTGAACTTCATTCGAGTAGTGGAAGAGGCCCATCGGACAGAATTCCCTCCGACTGACAGACAGACGAATTCGTTCGATGGGCTCTTCCACTGCTCGAATGAAGTTCACTATCATTAGAGTTGTTCCTCCAAACGTCTGCTACATTGAATCCGAATTTGGAAGCATTTGGATAAGTTTAGCCTTCTCATATTCATGTCCGAAGACTGCAGTAATATGAATTTTGTCCGATGAGGGCTTTTAGAGTGTCCGAATGAGTTTGCCTTCTCCATGAATGATGCTCTTACAGATGTCTAGAAGAAGGGCAATGATGATACAGACCTAGAGTTTATGGATGCATGAAACATGCTACCGATTTAAAGAAAACACCTGTTCTCCTGTAGACAGCCACTCTCTTTAACAATAATAACAATGATCTTTACTTGAAATCGAGCAAGATGGTATCAAGTCTGCTGGAGATTGAGAAAGCAATCAGAATCGAGTTCATCCTAACAGAGGCAATAGCAAGTAGTCTTTGCAACTATTACGGAGTACAAATGGATCGCATGCTGGAGTGCATACACACGTAGCATGGTAAACTACTGTTCACAGTTTGGTATTTAAAATTAGTTAGCCGGATGGAGAAGATATAATCCTTTCTGGAAGCCAAAGGTCGATGATGCCACGCCCACCATGGAAAATATTGTTGACCTAGTTGTTGCCATGCCCACCATGGAAAATATTGTTGACCTAGTTGTTGACATGCCCACGACCCCACCCACGACGCCCACTGAGTCGAAAGCGCTCGGATTGTGAGCGTCTTATCCCGCTTCCCTCACCACCGCAATCACCATCAACGGCGTTTGAAGTGCTTTTTCTAGAACTGTAATAAAACAACAATTGTGTCAATTAAGGAACCTTCTAATACTCTGAAGTAAAAACTGAATGATAGGTACATATTTTGGTTCATCGCAGGGGTCAACTTAATTTATTAATGAAGAGTAATTGTTTAAGTACAACTTTACTAATTGTTTTATGTCATACTGATGAAGTTGTGTTGTTAGTTTTATTTTGGCGAGAGTTACAGCAAACTAAAGAGAACTTTGCAAGTATTTATCTTGAGATATTGGCATGCTTTATATATACAAGACAATAAAAATAATTATACCCGTCTAAATTGAATCTTGACCATCGTTATCCGGGATGGCTGGCGTTTGTTTGAGCAGGAAAAAGTAAAGTTTTTTTTTTTGCTTTTGGTTTTTTTTTTTTTTGGGGCCAAGAAGGCCAAAACCAAAAGAAACTAAACAGCCACAACTCTAGGCTTAGCCAGACTGCAAACATCAGCAGCAAGGCTCTCACGGACACAAGGAGGCGCGAGCTCCAACCGATGAAGGCCAGGAAACATACCATGACTCATGTGAGCCAAACCATCAGCAACACAGTTTTGCTCACGAAACACATGAGTGAGAGAACAAACCCAATCTTGCTGCAACTTCAACTTGCAACAACTTAGCAAGCTAAAGAGAGGATGTGTGGAAGCAATGGAGCCAGTGAGAAGAGACACCACAGAATTAGCATCACATTCCACCTCAATATGTCTGCAACCAATCTCCCAAGCCAGATGAAGCCCCCAAAAAACACCCCAAAGCTCAGCCTCAAGAGTAGAACCAACACCTTGATTGACAGCAAATCCCGTAATCCAAACCCCTGCAGAGTTTCTAATCACACCACCTGCTCCAATAGCACCAGAAACAGAATTCCTACTCCCATTAGTGTTCAACTTAAAAACACCAGGAAGAGGGGCATGCCAATGCACCTGCACAACACACTTCTTGGGAGAGCTAAGCATAGGCTTACAAGCTATAAACCAGTCCATAGCATACTGCTGAATCATCTTATGAGGCTCAGAAGGCATGACAAACCCAGCCTCAAAAACAATTTTACACCGCCACTTCCAGATGAACCAGAGGCAAACAGCAAAAACTAAGGGCCAAGATAAATTATCACAACCAACATGTTTAGACTGCAGATTGTGCAAAAGCCAAACATCAAAGTCACCGTCATGGCAATGAACCCACTCATCATTAAGCCCAAAGCCACTCCAAATATACATAGAGCAACAGCAACCACAAACTAAATGCTCAATAGTTTCAACAGGGTAACTGCATCTAGGACAAGCAGCACAAGAAGCAAGGCCCCTCTTTTGTCTTTGATAATTGGTAAGCAACTTCTTATGGCACAACAACCACAGAAAGGCTTTAATCTTAGGAGGGATTTTAAGCTTCCAAATAAAGCCCCACTGCCACGGAAGCACATTCCCTTCAAGAAAACTGATACCATAAACTGACTTAACAGAGAAGTCACCATTAGGAGTGCACTTCCAGATTCTTTTATCCGGGCCACTTCCAAGGAAACCGGCATGAGTGCTTAAAATCATCTGAACAATCTCATTAGGCAAGCATTCCTGCAGACAATTCAAATCCCAACAACCATCTTCCAAAAAATCACTAACGTTAAGCTGGAGCATATCCTCAGATAAATCAATTAAGGCATGACTCAGCAAAGGACCACAGCTTAACCAAGAATCAGTCCAAAATAAGATATTGTCACCAGAACCTACCCTCCATTGAAGGCCATGAGGGAGGAGCTTAGCACCATATAAAACACCCCTCCAAGCACTAGAACTGCAACTCAAATGAAGATCCTTGGCAGCAAGAAGATCATACTGCCTTAAATACTTAGCGTTCAAAATTTGAGACCAAAGACCTTGGTCATTTTGAAGCAATCTCCAACCAGTCTTAGCCAACAAAGCTTGATTCATCCAAGCAGTTTTCTTGATTCCCAAACCACCACCAGTCTTAGGTTGACCAACAATCTCCCACTTAACAAGATGAACCTTACTCTATCCACAGTATGGCCCCAGAGGAAATTCCTATTTAACTGATCAAGTTTATCACAAACAGAGATAGGAAGTTGGGCAGATTGCGTTGCATAAATGGGGATTGCAGAAGCAACTGACTGCAGCAAGGTAATCCTACCAGCCATAGAAAGAGTATGACTCTTCCACGCAGACAACCTTCTTTGAACCTTCTCAACAATCTCAAGATAAGTAGCCTTAGTAACTCTCTTATGAATCAAAGGAACCCCAAGGTATTTACCAAGACTATCAGTAAGAGGAGAACCACTGATAGCAGCAACTTGATGGGCTAAATCAGAGCAGGTATTTGGGGAAACACAAATCGCAGATTTCTCAAAACTAACCCTTTGACCAGAGAGATTACAGAAATCATCTAAGCATTGCTTCATAACCTTAGCCTGAGTAACAGAAGCTTTGCCAAAAAGGATGAGATCATCAGCAAAGAATAAATGCGACACCATAGGACCCTCTTGACAGATCTGAACAGGCTTCCAGATATTATCCTGAACTCTTTGATGAATAAGATGAGAAAGTTTCTCCATGCACAAGACAAAAATATAAGGGGAAAGAGGATCACCTTGCCTAATCCCACATTTAGGAACAAAAGTTTCAGTTAACACACCATTAGGGACAACTCTATACTGAACAGAACAAATACAACTCATAAGAAGCTCAAGAATCCTGCCTCGAATTCCAACTTCCCAAAGCACTTCCCTAATAAAATTCCATCTTAAACGATCATATGCCTTGGATAGATCAATTTTCCAAGCCACAAACCCTTTTTTCCCTTTCGAAACTTTAAATTTATGTAACATTTCCTGGGCCACAACAATATTATCAGTAATATGTCTGCCTGGCACAAAACTCACTTGAGAGGGACTAACAAGCTTAGTCATAAGAGGTCTAAGTCTTGCCACAAGAATCTTAGAAACCACTTTATAAAGAGTGTTACACAGACTGATAGGCCTTAACTGAGGCATAGAAGTAGGCCTATCCACCTTAGGGACCAAAGCAATCAAGGTATCATTGAGATGCACAAGAAGAGAGGCAGATATAAAACAATCCATAACAACTGATTTGATATCACTAGAACAGAGGTCCCAAAAATTCTGATAAAAAATAGCAGGGAAACCATCTGGCCCAGGGGTTTTAAGGCCTCCAATAGCAAACAAACTATGTTTAATTTCTAATTCCGTGACAGCGCCACTTAAACTGGCTAACTCATCACAATCAAGCTGAGGAAACAAATGAGGAAGCAAGGAATATGCACCAGCTGAGACAGAGACGTTAAACAACCCTTGAAAATATTCACAAACAATCTGCTTCATACCACTCTTCTCAGTCACCCACACCCCATCATCATTATTCAACCCTTCCAACTTATTCCTTCTTCTTCTGATGACAGTAAACAGATGAAAAAACTTAGTGTTCCGATCTCCTTCCCTTAGCCAAGTATTTCGAGATTTTTGAAGCCAGAACATCTCTTCCTGATCAAGAATGAGATTATACTCTTTAGTCAACTCAACCTCAAGATTATAGAGAAAGGGATTGGACTGCAAACACAAATTCCGTTGAATACCAGCAAGCCTAGCTAAGAGCTTCTTTTTCTTTTGAAAAAGGCAGCCAAAAACATGCTTATTCCAATGATGGAGAGAAGGAATAAGACTAATAGATTTATGAACAGCATGACCCTCACTAGAACTCCAAATATCAGATATGAACTCAGAGAAATCAGGATGGTTTAACCACATAGCTTGAAACCTAAAAGGCAAAGAAGCTCTGGCTGGAGCATGATTAGACAATAACTTCACCAAAAGAGGGCAATGATCCGAATTCACCCTAGGAAGATGAGATAAATGGGCTTCAGGAAACAAAAGCCGCCACTTAATATTACATAAACCTCTATCAAGCCTTTTCCAAATAACACCCTCAGAATTCCTTTTGTTACACCAAGTAAAATTAGCTCCAGAGAAGCCCAAGTCAACAAGATGATTACGATCAATCCACTCAATGAACCTCTGACCACCATTATCCAAATTACCACCACACTTCTCCTTAGCACACACAATGTCATTAAAATCTCCAAGGACAAGCCACGGCAGGTTAGAAGCTTGGGCAAGCCCATCAAAGTAACGCCAAAGAGACTCACGAATCCCAGGACAAGGGTTAGCATAAACCACAAAGAGCAACCACAAATGAGTCCCTGAACAAACAAGAGCAGTAATGGATTGGTTAGAGTGAGCAATGACATGAAGAGTGACATCATTCCCATTCCACAAAAGCCAAACACCCCCCGAAAACCCAACAGCATCCACAATATGGAAATGAGAGAACCCCAAAGACTTGGCAACGTTAAGAGCCCTAGGCCCACTAATCCTAGGCTCAAGCACAGCAAAAATATCCACAGCATAAATCTTTTTAAGATCCTTAATAGTACTAGCACATTTATCCTTACCAGCACCCCTTACATTCCAAGACACAATCATCATTAAAAATAAGGAATAAGGGAAGAACTTAGGAAAAATCCTAGATATGCAATAGCTCTGCCTCAAGAGCAGAGCCATCATGCTCACAAACCATACCAGTAGGCAAACCAAAAGCAGACAAACCAGAATCCGTGAAGTCCCTATGTTGATCCATATCATCAGAGGCAGAACTCACACCAGGAGACTCAGCTTCATGCAGCTTCATTTGGCTAAAATCAGGAGAACCAACAACATTAAACGAAAAAAACCCCACGAACATCATCTTGCACCTCAGAACCACTGATTTGCAACCCCATAGATTCCAACCCATGAGCATTAACAGGTTTAGCCCCCACATTATTTCTCCAAGGCTTCCTCAAATTTGGGCCACCCTTAACCACAACACCTCCCACATTGGATGAGGAAGCATTGCTGATGTCCTTCAAAGGCTTTTTAAAAACCCAAGGTGAAGACTCACGAGGATGCGAAGGTTGCTTTCCAAATGATTTAGCCTTAAAAAGTAGATTAGCCCTAGGAGGAGTGGCAGACCTCACATTCCTCCTTGTGCTAACAGGAGTAAACCCCTCCATATCATTCTTCCCACTATCCTCCTCAACAAGAACATTGAACCTAGACCCAGAAAGGATATCAGCGTCCTTAGACCCAGACTCCTTTGAATTAAATTTTCCTAACTCAGGAACCTTCCTTGACTCACTCACCACCTTCTTTTTATTAAAACTTCTTGGTTTCATTAACATCCACTGCCCATGCATCTTAGCTGGAACCTCAGCATCTTTGGTAATAGGATTATTCACACTGAGCCCACCACTCTTAGCCGAAGTATTAACCTCCATATTCTCAGCATGACCTGAATTTGACTCCTGTTTTTTGGCTTGCAAAATAACAGGGCAAGAGTCTCTACCATGACCATAACACCCACATTCAAAACAGACTAATTGAATACCCTCATATACCACCCCATAAGAACGACCTTCCACCTTAATGAAAGGGGTTAGAGGTTTAGCTAAATCAAGTTCAACACAGACTCTAGCAAATTTACCTCGAGCTTGACTCATGGTATAAGCATCAACCTTAACAGTGGTACCAATAAGATTCCCAATCTTCTCCATAACATCTGAGCGAAAATACTCCACATTCAAGCCATTAATCCGAATCCAGGCAGTCATATGAGTGATCTTTTCTTCTTTGGCATTAAACCCAGGCTTCCATTGTTGGGTCACCACATACTGCCTAGCAATTTGCCAAGGACCACCCGAGAGAACATATCTCATATCTTCCGCTAACAGGAACTTAGCAATGAAATAGTTGTTCTCCAAATCAATTAGGCTCATCGGACCCTTAAGATCCCACTTCTGAAGGAGACGAGTCCTCAAGAAAGCATAAGATAGCGGCCGACCCATAAGCTTCAGAATTACAGCCGTGCGCCATGGCCGAAACAAACAACTCTTAACTTTATCAGAAAATTGGATTGAAGGGATCTCCCCTTGTTCGATTACAAAATCATAATCTCCAATCACCAATTGATCCTCAGCCATGCCAAAATCCCCAGAAACCTTATCCTTGAAGCTCATCGAAATTGGAGGCAAAGGGGGAGAAGGGTCATCTGAATCCAATCCACCAACATCCATCATCTCTTGAGTACGAGCTCTCTTCTCACCAGCAACTGCGCCCTCCATAACAGAGCCACCCACGCCGGCGGAGAAGACAAACTCCGGCATCACAGACTCCACCTTGAGCAGTGGTAATGGTTACACAGCGGAACAGCAACAAAAACGTGAAAAAGAGGGAAAAAATTATAATACAATACAACAATTTGTTTGAAGTGCTTTTTTCAGAACGGTAATAAAACAACAATTGTGTCAATTAAGTAACCTTCTAATACTCAGTTAGAAATAAAAACTGAATGATAGGTACATATTTTGGTTCATCGCAGGGGTAAACTTAATTTATTGAATGAAGAGTAATTGCTTAAGTACAACTTCACTAAATTGTTTTATGTCAAACTGATGAAGTTGTGTTATTAGTTTTATTTTGGCGAGAGTCACAGCAAACTAAAGAGAACATTGCAGGTATTTCTCTTGAGATATTAGCATGCTTTGTATATACAAGACAATAAAAACAAATTTCATACCCTTTTAAATTATCTTTTGCCCATCGGTATTCCGGGATGACGTGCTTAAATTCGGAATCTACCCAGTGCTTTATGTCCTTCCCCTTCGTCCTCTGTGGATGATATGTTACCTTTTTTGTGTGTGGAGAAAATGCTTTATTAGAAAGCAGAGCAGAGTAATGAAAAGAAAACATATATAAAACAAGCAGAGTTACCGTATCTCCAGAGTATCCAGCTTCTTTCTTGAGACGTTTGGCAGCGTCTACCGCCACTTCATCTTTGCAATACGGAGGATCATTGGCTCTAAACTCTGGTTTCATCAAGTTCATCTCTTCTTTGATCTTTTTCTTTTGCTTCTTTTTGGCTGGGTCGCCAGCAGGTTTGCAAACTTCCAGTTGCTTGCTCTTCCTTCGAAACATAAGTGCTCTCGAAGCTGTCTTCAGTACAGACTTCGCCACCTTCCATACACGATGAACCATTGTGGAGGAAGAGGAAGCAGAATGCGAAATGGTGGTGGAAGTGAGAGTGGGAGTGGGAGTGGGAGTGAGTAGTATTAATAGTAAGGGTGGTTGAGTTGAGAATTAAACTTTGACCCAAAAAAACAAAAACAAAAAGTTGATACTTAAACTGGGTTTCTTACTGACCAGAAAAAAACTGGGTTTCTTACAGACCGATAAAATGTGGAGTGGCACAAATATCCTTACGGAGGACAGCTCATCACATGTTTACTATAGCAAATTGTATTTGTTTAAAGGGTATTATTGGTTTGAATCACTATGAATAGACCAATAACTAATTCCAAAAAAAATCAAAAAGAAAAAAAGACCAATAACTAAAGCGGAAAAGGAATTATTAGCATCTTCATCTGTTTATTGTGACTTGTATCTCTCTGCATTGGCATGGGATCCGATGGCTGATGTCATGAATCAGAATTTCAGGAACAGAAGGTTTCAATGATGTGAGGTGATGTAATTGAATCTCTTCATTTGATTATGTGAGGTGGTCCCCCAACCCTCCAAACAAAAAGGAAATACGTACAGAATTCACCTTGGCTTGTCATTGGTACTTACAACATGAAAATTCTAATATACTTTGAAGGGCTGGATTTCAACGTTTTAATCTAACGGTCCAGAATAAGTTGGGAAGAAAAACTAATAAAATTATTTTTAAAAACCGGAAGACTGGTCTACTACATCGTATCCGAATTTGGAATCAATTGGATAAGTATTGCATCCTCAAACGGACAAACATTGAACCTGGTTCAGGTTGCAGTCCAGTGACTGTCAGTCGGTCAGAGGGAATTATGACCAATACCACACCGAATTTGCAGGAATACCTCACCTTAGCTGCTAATCAAGTGAAAGAGCTCGGAGAGACTCTGAACCAATACCACACCAGCGTTGATTTGGTTCCAAATGCTGAGTCAGCTCTTTTGCGGTATGATCAGAGCATTCAATCCAGGGCAGAAGCAGTAGCAGCTGGCAAGAGTTATGTTGATAATTTTGAGCAAGCTCAGATGGACATCGCTAGGCTGGAGCAAGAGCTAGAGACTGCCAGGGTCAGAAGAGATGAAGTCCTCATGAAGATTAACGAAAATCTGGATAAGGCCAAGGCTGCAGACACCACTGTCCGAACCCTGAAAGATCAACTTCCTGTCTACAGAACTTCTCTTCATCGCCTACCACACTTGCTTAGGGTGGCTGCTAGCCAACATGAAGGCTGTGTAGCTATCCTAAGGGATATAGCTAGGTATTAATAACTCTGAGCGTGATTTTTTGAACAATTTTTGCTTTTGATATTTTGGTATACTTAGATTGTTATGCCATTAGAAACAATTTGGCAATTTTTATCAATTTAAATGAAGTTTTATGTTTTGCTCTGACGCCTGGTTTCAAATTCATATTCTTTGTATTAATCTTGGTTCTCAACCATTTGACCATGAATATTTGGTCAGGTAGTTAAGCGTTTTATAAGCATTTCCTGTTCCAGAAACCACTACGTTTGTTATTCAAACTTTTGGCTGTCTTTACAAAGGAAAGGTCAAATGACCGTAGCATCGGGCACAAGTCTATTCGATTAAAATGACTGTAGTATCAGACATAAGTATGTCCGATTAAAATCACATTAGTCTGATAGGAGTGTGGTGAGTTTCCCCATCCCTATCTTCGAGTAGATAAGCTCCTTTGCCAAGAATCTTGTAGATCATATATGGTCCTTCCCATGTTGGGCTCCATTTGCCAAAGCCTGGCATGTGACTCCACCATGGGGTCAATGGGGTCAGACGACCCCATGGCAGCCATGGAAATAGCTTGGAGGTCCTTGGTTTCTCTCGGCAGCCATGGGAGAAGACCCCATGGAGAAGAAGATGCAGGCTGCTAGGGAGAAGAAATAGGGAGGAAGAAGAAAGAGAGAGGGAGGGGGAGGAAGAAGAAAGAGAGAGGGAGGGGGAGGAAGAAGAAGAAGACTGAGAGGGAGAAGAAAGAAGCCGTCACAAATTTTTTTTGGAAGAAAAATATTTTTTAGGGTTTTTTTAAATATTTTTTAAATTCTGTTGGGTAGTCCTATAAATAAAAGTATATACCAACAGCATAAAGACATCACTTACCGCAGTGGTCTTTGAATTGAAAAGGATTTTAAGATGATTCAACATTCATTGTGCTCCTTTTTTTTTCTTTTTTTTTGTTGTTGTTGGTAATATTCAAGGTATTTTATTTTAGGGAGCTTTAGTGATACACCCAAAATATGAGCTGAAATTATTAAAAAAAACCCTACATGAAATTCAATTTAGAAACATACCTGAAAACCAATTTAGAAACATACCCAAAAACCGTTTATTCCATATGAAATGAGTGTTGAAGTTACTATTACATCTCTACAATTAGGGTTAACTTCCAAATAATCCTCGTGATACTGATGGCTTTCCAATTCGAGTATAGGGTGCCAACATGCGAACCAAAGCAATGTCAACAGCATTCCAACCAAAAGATAAATTAGAAACCCTAGCAAAAACTATATATCTGAAGATTTTTCAATAGAAATGGAGACCAACAATCAAACCCTAATTGGACAATACTAGAAAAAACCTGATTAAACTTTGAAAGCTAATCAACAACATCATTTCCAACAAGTGCCTCTCCAACAAACGAGACAAGATCTGGATTGTTAAGATTGACTAGCTTTGACAGTGCCCTCATTAACAGTTCATTATCCTAAACCAACAGTGCTGGTTCTGTTATGAAAGTCTGTTCGATGAGTGGAAGGGACAGACGGTTAGCTTCAGTCAGATTTTCTTACAGTTGAAGCGAAGTTGGCCTGCAAATGTAAAAGAGTGAAGCTCTCAAATTCATTCATTGGTCAGAAAATGCCAGGGTCATCAGATGGAGCAAACTGTATTCTTTTGCATGCTTGTGACATTTCTTCCAAAAGCACTTTTTCGAGGTTGCCAATCTTTATTTTCTGTTATTGGCTGTGTTATCCATCAGTTCTTTGACTTCTTTTTCTCCATAAGTTTGATTGCCCCTTTGGTCTTTGTTAGTATGATTAAAGAGGCCGTGGAGGATTGGCACATGTTCTTGCAGGTAAAACCAAATCACAGGATCCAAAGTTCCAGTCAAATCACATTATAACCAAAGCCGATTGCTTTGCTAGCAATCGCTCCATTGCGTTCTCCAAAATCCTATTATGAAATTATAAACATAAAGTGATAATCACTAATTTTAACTTAATAAGATATAATTGAAATTCATGGTTATTTGGCATCCAGGACATTTCCCAGGGAGAGCAATTGTTCCAAACCATTACACTAATGGGTCCTTTGCATACCCACCTATTTTGAAATCTTGACTTAAAACCCAAATGTAAAGTAAGTTGTCATGTAAGATAGATTTGTCTTAGTATTATTAACTAAATTACAATATATGTCATTTACCTTTCATATTTATTTAATATTCCCTACCTCAAATATAATTAATATTCCCTATTAATGGCATATCAATCACCTCTTTCTTTTGATTGGCACTCCCTTCTAACCCATCGGCAATTTCTAAAAAATAATTAAACCAAAAACTAAAATCACTAAATTACATATCCAATAAATAATGTACTTATAAAAATAATAATAATATATAACTATTAATACATTCTTTATAGAAAATATAACTACATTATTTACAAAATGAAATGTAGGTATATTATTTTATCTATATTTCGCGCCCACACTAATTTACCTACATATAATAATGCACCTAATTACAACATACCATTCATAACAGGTACGTTACTTTGTAGTAGGTACGTTATTTAAAAAAACATCCTAGGTAAATTTAAAAAATTGGTATATTATTATCCATCAAAATAGTAAACAAATATATACACATTCTTTTATTTATAAAATAATAAGAAATTTTTGGTTCATGAAAAATTAAATAATTCGGTACATTATATATTTTAAAACCATTAGTATGTTTATTCATAAAAAGTAACTAGAAAGTTTTCTTAAAAATAATTCATAAAAAAAAAACAAAGTTTCTTAAATTACGTGTAATTTAGGTCTAAGTACGAAATTAATTGTTAAAATTAACAAACTTTCTAAATTAATACGTACGAACTCAACCAATTTTGACAAAAGAAACATTATAATACAAAAAGAAAACTTAACCAATTTTGACAGAAGAAGCATATCAACAAGATTATCTCAAAAGTTCTACTTTTAAAGAAACGATTTTGACAAACAACCCAATAAACAAGAAAAAGAGATTAACTCAACCGATGAAATCATTTTTTTTGAATTTTTGTGATCAAATTCCACTCCAAAATCTAAACCTAATAAGCCAGTTTTGACAAAAGGAGCAGATCAACACATGGATTACAAAGGTTTTCATTTAAAGAAACAATTATTCAACTTTTAAAACCCATATACAAAAGAAAATAGATGAATATTTAAAATTACAAATTCCTTAATCCTTTATCCCATAAATTTTTTGCTGAAAAGAAACAGACATTCAATTTTGAAACCCATCGATGAATTTTTGAAAAATTACGAATCCTACAAGAACAAAGACCTTGAATTGTACATGGAATTCCGAAGTTCTTTGTAGATCTTGTGAAAGAAGATGAAAGTAGTGAACTTCGGAATTTTGGAATTCCGAAGTTCTTTGCAGGTCAGACATTAGGCCTATGGAACCTGAATATACTCAAGGACACAAAATCATCTTCTCCGACATGTATCCATACATCAGGTTAGTCAATGTGAAAATGCAACTTTTCTTCTGCTTTTAAATGGAAGCTCCAACTTGGTTCTTATCATTATATATTTTGCACGGGTGAGAATTCCAGCATTTGGCCATGAAATTGCCATTTGCTTTAACAATGTCGATGGAGAAATTCAGTTGAAATTCGTACTTGGTGCAAATTCGCCCCAATAGAAATTTTGTGTTATAAATAACTTCAAACAGAAAAAATCTAACGAGTCGCTCTCTCATTCACACGAGGAGAGCCTTGATGCCTAGTGTTGGCGTGGCTTGTGGACCATTGGCTAGTTAGGGTTTCTTCAATTTTCTTTACTCATTCCATGCACCGTCTCTCTCGGTCTTTCTCTGATTGTCTCTTTGGGTTCTTCTTAATGTATTGGGTACGATGTTCTTTTGCTCTTTTGTTCTTCGTGGGGTGGCTGCGTCGGCTTCATTTTTGGGTTCCTAAGGAGCCAGTCACTGGTGAAGGGTCTCCATCTTAAAGTTATGGAGGTAGACATTGCCTCTTCTGCTCAAAGAGGTGACAAGTATGCGGCACCAAGCGGGAATCAGAAGCATGCAAAAATTGGTGTTAGGCATCTAATTGTTAATGGCATGGCTTTTTCTAGTAAGTGTAGTTTTTGTATCGAAGATTTTGTTGACAAGGCAGAGAGGATACCAGCCTCGAGGGGTCTCCAAGGTCTCCTTAATAATTCTCCTATGGAACGTTCGTGAGCTTGGCAACTAATGAATGTTCCTACTATGAAGATCATTCTTCGAAAATTTCTTCAGGCTAAGAGGCCAATCTTTGTCTCCCTTGCTTGTCAATTGGGGTTCTAGATCAAGAAAATTGAAGGTGATCGTCGGTGTTTGGCTGGACTTGTTATGATGCTCACAATACGTTTTTGACTATGTACGAAGAACTATGATGCTTTCTTTAGATCATAGGAGGCTTTCTTTGATAGCATATGTGTAATGATGGGATGTGTTCCAATGATTTTGCGGTTGGGTGATTGGTTGAATCTATTCTGATATCCATAGTACGTTTTTGACTATATACGAATAACTATTATGCTTTTTTTAGATCATGGGAGGACTTTTTTGACAATACCTACGTAGTGATGGGATGTTGTTTTTAAGAGTTTTGTGGTTGGGTTTTAAGTTTATTTGTTTCGTATAAGTTGTTTGACTCTTATGTTTACCCCGGGTTTTGTTTTCTCTTGGAAGATTTTAACGAGGCCGCCATTAACATACTAGTTCTTACCTTATAATGTTCTTTTCGGTTTAATGAAATACCATATTTTCTCCACACACATACAAAACTTCATCATGCGAATTAAACTAAAATGTATAGTTCAACAAAGTAAGAGGGACATTATTGACACCCTGAGTGATGGTTTGGCCTGGAAAAAAAATAAAAGGGTTAATTAAGCAGTAATTCTCTATATTGCATCTTTTACGCATTTTGAGATAAAGTCTCGTACTTGTACGAGTTCAACTATACCACTAAGGACGAGCTAAGGGGACATGGCTCCTCCAACAATGACAATAATAAATTTGTTTGTTTTCATTGAGCTTATATAAATATTTGTCTGTTAATAATTTAATTATAAATTTGTAAATTATTAGAAGGGGCCGGGTGAAATAAGATTGGCCTTCTTCGTTTTGTATTTGGGCTTAAATCCTATTAACTTGCTTGATTGTAAAAACCAGCTTGCTTCTTCTTCTTCCAATCAGAGCTTCCCGTTAGGCTTCTTTCTGATACTCAAGTTCTTGTCGAACTCAAAATAGTGCAAGCCGCCAACGAGTGATATTTTGAGTTCGACACCATTCAGCGAGTTCACTGGGAGAGTTTGTCTCTCTGTGAAATGCACAAAACCCATTAAAACCCAATACTTTGATTCTGATATCCTTCTACCCATTTGGACTCGTATGCAGGTTCAATCCAATACCCAAACCAAAACCTTAAAAACCCATGCCAAAATGCTCAACTTACTACTTGAAGCTCCTCTGCAGCTCAATCCAAGGTGGTCTCAAGAAGCTGAGCCTCTGTCCAATCTCACCATGTGAGTTGTTAACTTGTTCGCTTCACTCTCACTTTTCAGTTCTTGCAATTCCATCAAACCAAGCCCTTAAAACTGAACCCGTAAACAATGATGAAACTGAGCCCCCAATTTCTAATGAAATCTTCAAGAAAGGTACCAAATTGGGTTCTTACAAGTCGGGTGATTCAACTTTCTATTCACTCATTGAGAATTACGCAAATTTGGGTGATTTTCGGTCATTGGAGCAGGTTTTAGATCGAATGAAACGTGAAAGGCGAGTTTTTATTGAGCAGAGTTTTATTCTAATGTTTAGAGCTTATGGAAAAGCGCATTTACGCAATAAAGCTGTAGAATTGTTTTATAGAATGGTGGATGAATTTCAGTGTAGGCGAACAGTTAAGTCGTTTAATTCGGTGCTTAATGTTATTATACAGGAGGGTCATTATTCTCATGCTTTAGAGTTTTCTTACCATGTTGTTGGTACTACGGGCATGAACATTTCACCCAATGTACTCAGTTTTAATTTGATTATTAAATCCATGTGTAAGCTCGGATTGGTTGATAGAGCAGTCCAAGTGTTTAGAGAAATGCCACTTAGGAATTGCACTCCTGATGTGTTCACGTATTCTACATTGATGGATGGGTTATGCAAGGAGAAAAGGATTGATGAGGCGGTCTTTTTGTTGGATGAGATGCAACTTGAGGGGTGCATTCCGAGTCCTGTGACATTTAATGTGTTGATTAATGCATTATGCAAGAAGGGTGACTTGGGACGTGCAGCGAAGCTTGTTGATAATATGCTTCTTAAAGGCTGTGTTCCGAATGAAGTGACTTATAACACCCTTATCCACGGTTTGTGTCTCAAGGGTAAGTTGGATAAGGCAGTTAGTCTTTTGGATCGAATGGTTTCAAATAAATGTGTGCCTAATGATGTGACATATGGTACGATCATCAATGGACTTGTTAAGCAAGGTCGAGCGGTTGATGGGGCTCAAGTGCTGATGTCTATGGAAGAAAGAGGGAATCATGCAAATGAGTATATTTATTCAGTCCTTGTTAGCGGACTGTTCAAGGAGGGAAAATCTGAAGATGCAATGAGACTGTGGAAGGAGATGCTGGAAAAGGGATGTAAACCCAACACCATTGTCTATAGCACTCTTATAAATGGTCTTTGCCAAGAAGGAAAACCAGATGAAGCCAAGGAAGTATTCAGTGAAATGGTGAGTAATGGTTGCATGCCCAATTCCTTCACTTACAGTTCTTTAATGAGAGGTTTCTTCCAGACAGGTCAGAGTCAAAAAGCCATTCTTTTGTGGAAAGAAATGGCAAGCAATATGCGTAATGAGGTCTGTTACAGCGTCCTAATTCATGGTTTATGTGAGGATGGTCAACTCAACGAGGCCTTGATCGCCTGGCAGCAGATGTTGGGCAGAGGATATAAACTTGATGTTGTGGCTTACAGTTCAATGATTCATGGCCTTTGCAATGCTGGTTTGGTTGAGCAGGGTTTGAAACTTTTTAATGAGATGCTATGTCAGGAGCCTGAATGTCAACCAGATGTCATCACTTATAACATACTTTTCAATGTATTCTGCAAGCAGAGTAGCATCTCCCTTGCCATTGATCATTTAAATAGGATGCTGGATCGGGGTTGTGATCCCGACTCAGTTACATGTGACATCTTCCTGAGAGGTTTGAGAGAAAAGCTTGACCCACCTCAAGATGGGAGGGAGTTCCTAAATGAGCTTGTTGTCCGGCTATTTAAGCAGCAGAGGATAGTTGGTGCTTCCATAATTGTAGAAGTGATGCTGCAAAAGTTTTTGCCACCCAAAGCCTCTACTTGGACAAGAGTTGTACAAGAGCTTTGCAAGCCTAAGAAGGTCAGAGCAGCCATTGACAAATGTTGGAGCAGCCTATATTGCTAATTTTTAAGTAAGGCTTTTTTTATTTTTTGTTCTCCTCAAAGCTTGATTAGACTCTAACTGGAAACATTTCTTTCTTAATTAGGCAATCAAAGCTTAGATATTAAACTAGTAAGAGTAAAAAAGCTAGAGTTGATAACTTTTCTTTTCAGCCCCCAGCCCCCCAGCCCCTAACATGACACAGTCTAATTTTTATCTGGTAAAAAAAAGTACTATTAATGTATGTGATTTTTGTTTCAACCACATGCAGTCCGCTTTTCCTTTTAGAGTTGGGGATGTACCTTATAATTTTGAAGATTGTTTATGATACAAATTTGTCTTTGGATCTAAGGGGACATTGTATTCCAAGAAATGGAAAATCAATATTTCGTCTCTGCATAGAGTAATGTTATTTTAGTATCAGTTATCGTTTTATAACATATTTTATATATTCAGTCGGCATAGTTTCCGTCCGTTGTACTGGAGAAGGAAACTAACAAAAATATGGAGGCTATTTTTGGGTTGGAGGATTAATGATATATGTGATCCAGCTTTTCTTAGGTACTTAGCATTACCGCATAGCATTACCGCCATCGACATTATCTACTTTACATTTCTACCAAATTGTTCTCGTATGACACTTTTCTGAAAAAGTAGATTTTCTTCAAGGTCTCTTACAGATAGCACTCTTGCAAATAAAGATGTGCGGACATCTGTTTCATGAAAATTTGCAAACCTTCAACAGACTCCCTCCCATTCATTCGCAGCATATGTCAAATCTGCAGATGAGCAAAGGTACTTTACTGAAACTTATGGACTCCAATCAAATCTCTTATTTGTGTTTTTATTTTGTTTTATTTGACTTTATTTTTGTTTCAGAAAGACATAGACAACTAAGGTTTTACATTTTTCTTGGTTCTAAGTTGGTGCAGGTTGACCTGGGACAAGTAAACAATAAGCTTGTAGCAGAAAATTGAAATTTCTGTTGGTAAAAAAGTGAGTTTGTAGTCAGGTAAGGACATGAAGACTGTTCTCTTATCTTCTGCTTGACATGTTATGTCATTGAATTTCTTGAACCTTGAATTACTCTCTCTTTTTTTCTTCTTCACTTTTGTGTGTGTGTGTGTGTGTGTGTTTATGTGTGTGTCTAAGACTAGATTATCTGTTAATGTATTAATGCTAAAAAAGTGAAAAAGCTTTCATAATTTGACAACCATTGACAGGTAATATCTCAAAATCTGTCATCTGCAACTTTCACTAGCATATCAAATTTCCAGGATCCATGTGCAATTAGTGACACTTGTTTAGGTGAGTTGTGAAATGTTCTTGAAAAGTAACTTTGATACTACATTTTGTACTCACTTTAGTTGCTGAGAAGACTGAGAAAAGGAGAAGTTGAACAACAATTTTTCAGTTCTTGTAGATTGTATATTATAAAACAAAATATCCACATATCTATCATAGTATGTCTTCTTCCTCTAAGTGTGAGAAGGATGTCATGAACCAAGCCTTCTATATTTGAATTTGAACTTTTGTACACAGATTAATGCATTTGTTTTTTATTTTTCGTATGTCCAGCGTGCCTTCTATTATGTATCCAAAACCAAAGATTACTTTGGCATCTGATATTTGTGTAATAATCACACTGCTGCAAGTAGTACAGTTTTGTTTATTGTTACATTAAGAATAATTTGTTCTCAAAACTAGTTGCATCATAATATAAAATGAAACTGAAGAAGCATTCCTACAAAGAACGTTCAGACAGTACTGTGATTTCTAGGCTCTGCCTTATCTCTGATGTTGCTGTCATCGACTTTCAGGGATTCTGGCTGGTCTTGCTTATGGGCCATATCATAAGTTGCATGCAGACCAAAGAAGACATAGTAAATAAGCATTACTACGGTGCAGATTCCAAATCTTTCAAAAGCTTTATGACCCAGAGATCCCATAAGAAAAATGTTTGTTGCAATTGACAAGGATGGCAACCAAGGAACCAGTGGAACCCCCCAAACTTTTGGTGACCTCTGTTGGGGTAAAAATACTGCCATTGCCAAAGTCCCAAAGAACCAAAGAGGAACTGTCACGACATAACCAACCCAACCATTGGGATTTAGTCCCCAGTAAGCCGAAGTCCCTATGGAAGAAGCAATGATGATCAGCAAGAAAATGACCAGCTTCAAAAGATGTTGTTGTGGGGTGATTTCTCTCACGTAGTATCTCCTCACTAGAAGTGCAACAGCCATCATCATGAAGATAAAGAGTGTGCTCACTGATAACAGACCTGCCAAGACATTCAAGCTCGAAAACAAAGCAATACAACCGCTTGGAATGACAATCAAGAGTGTAGCATTTATGGGGGTTCCTGTCTTTGGATGGACAAGAGCAAACCATGGTGGAATCATGTGGGCTCGGGCAATATGAGTGATATACCGTGCCTGTCCAAGTGTCCCAACCAGAAGAACAGTGGTCATTCCCTTCAGGGCACCTAGGGCTACCAGGTACTTGGCCCATGTCATGCCCACACTTTGAAATGCTACTGAGTAGGCTGCATTTGTGTCTATATCTGTGTATTTCTGCATCATAGGCAATGCAACTGCCATTAAACAATATACGACAGTGATGATTGACATTGATCCAATTAATCCTATCGGTATGTCTCTGGATGGATTTTTGGTTTCTTCAGCCATGGTGGCGATATTGTCAAATCCTCCATAAGCAAAGTAAACAATTGCAGCTGCTTGAAAGACTCCTTTAGCCCCAAACGGAAAAAAGGGTTTCATATTTGATGGGTTGGCATGGATAAATGCTGCAATTATCACAAACAGAATTACAACATTATTGACTATAGATGCTATCCAGTTTAAGTAAGAGGTCTTCCTTGTGCTGATCATTGCAATTGTTGCAGCTATTGTCAGAACAGCAACAGCTATCGGGTCAAGTAGATTGTACCCCTCCGTCAGATTTGTATGGATGCGTAATGAGTTGGAGGGACGATTCAAGAGTGATGTGAAGTAAGAAGTCCATGATCTAGCAACTGCTGCACTTCCGACAAAGCCCTCAAGAAGTATGTTTCCTGCTGTTATGAATGCTATAAAGTCTCCTAATTCTATCCGCAGGTAAGCAAAAGCTCCACCTGCCACAGGGACTTCCACTGAAAATTCTGTGTAGCAGAAGACAGAGAGCATTGCCGAGACACCGGAAGCAACATAGGACAAGACAATAGCTGGTCCAGCATGGTCATGAGTTTCTTGCCCAGTAAGCACAAAGATGCCTGCACCAATTACTGAACCAAATCCAAACCAGATGAGATCCCACCATGTGAGGCAACGCTTCATATCATTTTCACTTCGCTTTGGAAGTTCCCCAATCTCATTGTTATCATCTGATCTGCTTATGAGACGGTTCTTGAACCTGTAGCCTGTTTGTGACAGGGCGGTCCGATACGTGCTCCAACTTTGAAAGGATTCTTCTGGTAGGAAATCTTGTTTGCTCCATCTCCAGTAACTTCTTGGCTGAACCTCTTCACCCACGACTCCCATGGAACCCATCATTCTATTTTTCCCTTGTGTCCTTCCCTAGCACTTATCTCTTATGGCAATGTGAAATGCTAGAATATGGGATCTTGTCCGGAGATTTGGAATCTTATCTCCTAGTTCCTGAATTATTTATTCAATTATTGATAGTGAAACTGAGGTTGTGAGCTCAATGCACAAGTCAATGATGCAGACGATTTAAGAGACTTGTAAAAGCTTGTTTTTACTTACGAGTCTAGTGGGCTGATTTTCTTGGATTGTTTGGTATATTTGATACGATTTGTTCAGAAGACTGTAGTGTTGACTTGAATAATGGCTACTTGCATTGTCATTTTGTGAGAATCTCTTACTACTTGCATTGCCATTTTGTTTGAAGTTTCCACTGCTTTTCCGGGTTTGTCTGTCTTTATCTACCGAACAATAAATGGAGATACTGCCGTTTATGAACAAGCCAGAAATAATAAATATCTTTTATTATTATTAAATATCGGTCTCGCTTTCGCGAAAGTGATGGACTATTGGCCTCTTAGCTCATACCACGACCATTTTTCCTGTGCATTGTAAAATACCATATAACAAACTATGCACTTGCTTTAACATCTATTTATATAATTAGTTAAACAGAGATTTTGTAGCTTAAGTGGTTAATAGCGTTACTTTTTAATCAGAGATTTTATGTTTGATTCCCCCGAATATCTCTTTGTAGCAAGAAGTGCCTTTTATTTTTTGGGGTCAAAATTCAAGAAGAGCCTTTGAAATTGATCCTGGATGATGATGAAACGTTCTCTAATGAGCACTAGAACAAGCAGTAGCAATACACTTTCCTTTTTTTAATTTTTTTTTTTCGTGAAGTGTTTTTACTTTTTTTTCAAATATTCTTTCTCCAAATAAGTCTATGGAAGAAAAATTTGCAATTAAACATGTAATTACAAATTTGTAATTGGCATTGCTCTAAGCTTTTAGTGAAGTCAAGGCTGTGAAATTGATGTACCTGGGCTACTATCCGTCCATGAGCAATCCTTTACTTGCAGTGAAGTCAAGGCTGTGAAACAAAATTAAACACTGAGGCCCACATGCAGTGATCCAATTGGAAGTTGTAGGAAAATTCAAAGATGAGTTTCAACTATTGGAAACAGCGTGTAGAAAATTCAAAGATATAATTCAAGTTCTACCCTGTGCGAGTGAAGACTTGATTTAAATCAATCAGCTGCCAATCTTTTGGACTTAATTAAAGATTAAAATGTACATGTCCATACAAAACTTGATTTTCCTCCCGCAGTTTCTTATCACAAAATGCCCACTGATAACAACTGTTTCATCACATCCATTGATAGTGGGCTAATCCAAGGGTTTAAAACTTGTGTCAAAAATATAGTGTCACGGATCCGCCCCCATATATATATATATATATATATATATATATATTATTAGTTATTCCATAAGACAAGGATACGAGGAAAGATGGAAATTCTTCCATCGTTTGGCAAAATAAAAGAAAATAGTGTTGGGAAGAAAGAGTGACTAAAGTCTATGCAAATATATATGAATCTATAACAAAAATTCCTACAAAAGTATGAAAGCTATAATAAAAGTCTACAAGTTTATTAAAAATCTGGATAAAACCTATAGGAATTATACAATTCTAGGAAATCAATCACTTAAAAAAAATCTTTCAAAATCGTATATAATCCTAATTCAATACACCCCCTAAACTCTCTCTCACAAAGAGGGGGAACTAACTCGCGCAAGAATTGATCCAAAAAAAGCTGAAAACTTAAAAGACAACTTGCGCACTACGACTTGGGGGAGTTGTCATACTTTATTCATCATTTGGAATTCAAACATTTGAGGTCCCACCATTATCGTCCACAAATATTTGTATCTCTTTCATACTTTTTTCTTGCTTCTTGAGGAATCTTTTGAACCAATTCGTAGAGAGTTTTGAATATCTTTTTAGATTATCTTTAAAATTCACATAGATTATACCAAACCGAACAGTGTATCCATAATTCCATTCAAAGTTGTCCAATAATGACCATGCAAAATTAAATAAAGAACTATCATCTCCAGGATTTCCAAGCCTTGCTCATTTTAGCACCAACATATCTCATGGCAGTAATGCCACCAGCAGCCAGGAGACCAGACACGGCCTGTCTTGCACTTGAAACCATGACCTTTCGCTGCAGAACAGTCTGCATGCATTTAGCAGCCTCGTCTTTGGAGCCAATCACAATTTCCTGAATAACTCGACCTGCAATTGAAGTACAAGAGTGTAATGATTGACTACAATCCAGATTCAAGAGTTACACGTACATATGTTAAACTACCACCCTAGTTTAAAACACAATCACTATCACTTTTCCATTTATAACAAACAAGCAATATTTTCCTAAAAAACTTTGGGATCTGGTATAATCATTAAATCTGAACTCAGATCAATCCTTAAGAAACCTTTATCCTTGTAAAGCCACTGCAGATGAGTTAAGGTTCATACCAGAGTCACACAGTACTTTCTTTTCTCCTAGCTTCATCGCCATTTGGCTTCTGACCATTGGGGGGCAGAGAAGAAACGAGAGATTGAGCTGCTGATAAACCGCCATCCTGTTTTAACATGTAATAATGTATCTTAAGGTTCAAAGCAATGAACTGTAGACTACATAGCATAACTTTCAGAAGAATTAGCCATCTAGTGAAGTCTTAAAGTTGGTATCTAGCTTAAGTTCTAAAACATGCAATGAGGTTCCATACACCAATTAAATCAACGCTTCTGTTTTTATTTTTTCTTATTCTTTTTCAACATTTATAAGAAGCTATAAATCAACTCTTTGTCAGTAAAAGTAATGTTGGATCGAGTTCACACTTCAACCTAAGGGTCAGAATAGACCTGAGATATGATTGGTTGAGTATTCCCAGATAATGAGCGTCTCAACAACTCTTTGGTCTCGTACTCTTCAATAAATGGCTTATACATCGAACGGAACAATTCAAATTGCCCTTGTACTATTTTCTTCACCTGCAGTAGATAATGTAATTAAAGAAAATAGATTATGTTTGGCCATATAATCACAGACCCAACAAGTGAATGAAAGTTTGTGGATTTATGTAACCACTGATTGAGCTTTACCTTATTTCTGTCCTCTGCAAAAAGCATACGCAAGTCGCCCATATACGAGAGGCTACATATTTTGGCATACAGTTCTTCCTGCATTAGTTGGAAAATGTTAGAACTCCAAAAAAATTTAAAATCATTGAGCAGTGACAAAGAATCAGACCTCAGTGAACTTGGACGGCAAAAGAAGGAGAGCTGCAGACATTGCAGCCCTCAAATTAACCGAGTTCACATTTGTGACATCCAGATTATCCAAAAGTACATGAACCTGTAGAAAAAAACATTGAAAACTCTCATGTTCAGAAATAAAGACAATATATGACCGCATGAACTAGATGAGACAATCCAAGTCTTGAGTCTTCAACAGCATAGCATAAGAAGATGTATTTAGTTTTCATTAGTTTAAGGCAATTGGCGTGTGCCACAAAATATTTCAATAAGATAAAAATTTGTTATATTGAATTAGCGAAAGTTTTTTTTTCCCCCCTAGAATTACGTCACTACAAGACTATCATTGAATATGATTGAAAGTTCTTAAACTTTGATCATCGTCTTGCAATGTCAAGGGTGCTGCTAGTTATAAAATAATGTAAAGTTAACTAAAATCAAAAGGAATGAAGGACAAATATGAAGCTGAAGATCAATCTTCCACAAGCATAAGGACACGCACAAAAATGAGAATCAATGAAGAAGACATACTGGTTTTTGTAATCGGCCGCTCAAATAGAACCTCTCCCAATTTAGTATGTCCTGAACCAAGTCGTGCATGCGAACAACCCCATACTTGAACATCTGTAAAAAAATTACCCAGTGTGACGAATGTAAACCAAAATACTATTTGCACTATCAGTTTAAAACATGAAATGGAGGCTCAGACACCAAAGCAACAGCCTAGACTTGAATCTACGAGTGACTGACTGATCAGTACCTTGTCGTCCCAGCTAACAAAAGGATTGAAGTGCACTCCTACACCAATTTCATCTGCAACGTCAGTAATCTAGCATGGATGGGTATATTGTGTCAGAATCAATGAAAATAGAACTGAACATGGAAGCGGAGAGAGAGAGAGAGAGAGAGAGAGCAGTACCAGTCTTGCCCCACCAAGAAGCACCATCCACGCGGCATAATGATCGTTGTTCAATGTCAGATTCTAGTTGTACATACGCAAATTAGTAAACACCATGATTAATTATTGAAACATCAAGAAGAGACATATGGTATGTGTTGAAGTCTAAAGCTTACCTCGGAATGCCATTGTTGGGGATTTGATACACCAAGAATGCAATCTACCATGGTTGACTATCAATCCAGAAATCACAAATGCAAAGCGAAAGTTCAAAATTTATAAAGTTTAAGTAAACAAATAATTGTTAAAAGAGTGAAAAAGAGCTATAGAAGCAAAGTAGAAACCTTTGCACTGCCAGGATTGTTGGGGTGGAGAGATGAGCCATAGACACAGCAGAACTCAACAGGGGGAAGAGTTTTGAGAAAACTTTGAAGCTGGGCTTTGTCGTGGTTTTCCATACTAAGCTAGCAGTTCACAGGACATTAGTATTCTGAAGAAAGATTGAAGAGGAATTTCATCAAACACATCAAGTGCAAGCCAAGATGTGGTCTTTCAGAGTCAAACTCTTCATTCTTAGCTACACAAGTTCCATAACATTTTCGTCTTTCCAAATTTTCAAAGTAGTTATTATTATTATTATTTTTTAAATACAGGTTCTGCGGAAAGTGGCAAATTCAGGGTTTAGGGTTTTGGTGATTCGGTTGGATACCGGATACTGGATGGATGCTATTCCTCTGTTGGGTCCTTATGGTCGGTTTTCTTCAAGGCCGGAGGCTAAAACGGTCATTTTCTTAGGTTCTTTTTTTTTGTTTTTTCATTACACAATTTAACTTGTTAGAAGTAAAAAAAAAAAAAAAAAAAAAAATGATATTTGAACCTTACCACCTAAGGCAACGGGCCGGTTCGGGACTAGGTATGACGATACCATCTTGTCCTAGCTCTCCATCCCTGGTAAGAACTTTCAGGACTCGATTTTTTTTTTTGTGTGAAATCTCTCCTTCCTTTTTTGTGAACATAAAATATGGTTTACATTAGTGTGGAGTTTTTCAGTCCAATTGAAAGGGAGCATAATCTCATAATCCAAAACAAGAACTTCTGAACAAAAACAATTAAGATTTTATCCGCTCAATCCATACAATCACAATGCCGGATAAAAAACCAAACTTGGAATCTTAGAATCCCATGAGAGCCCTTTAAAGAAAATGCAAATCTCACCAAAAAAAAAAAAACAAACCACCTCCCACATGGTAAAATTAGCTACCACCTCCAGATGTTCCTGAGGACTCAGCAACATCCTTCAATCTCAATGGAGTGGCTACTTGTTCAATCATTTTACCTCTGTCTCCTACGCCATCCACAGCCCTGCTCAACCTCTTCAACCATATGTCATAGTCAACAGGGTATGGTGTTCCACAAAGGCTATCCACATAATCAGCAAATGCCTTTAGCAGAGCTGAAACCTCACCAAGCTGCTGTTGGATCGAACGCTTTGCCCAGCTTGTCTCCCTCCACTGCAAGGCAGATTCGATTGAATCCTGCTGCTGCATCGTTTCCCCACATATGAACAACATGAGGTAAACAAGGCTTTCAGCATCTGATGATGGACAAAGTTTCCCGTGCTGAAGTGCATGAGATGAAGAGAACTGCAAGTTTATAGCTGGACTGTCCCGCTCTTCCAAAACTGCGCGGCCCCATGATATTGGAACATAGAAAATGTTGTTTCTTGAGCCTTGTTCGTCAACAACACGAATTATGTTTTCTGGACAAATATCACCATGCTGAACATTTGCCATTGCTGCACTTCTTAGAGCAGCTAGGCAGTCTCTGCAGCAGCGAACTGCCTCCTCAGGGGAAAGGGGCCCATCTTGAGAAACTACATATGAAACAGGTTCACCAACTGGAGATGTCACTAGTATTGGAGTCCCACACAATGGATGATCACATCGACCCCCCGGGGTCTGCTTCTTGCATGGACCAGAATGCAAAATTCGCCCAGACGCAATCATTTCCGGCAAATATTTGCTTGTAATTCCCTGATGCTTAAAGATGTTCAGTACTTTTGTTTGCCTCTGGACTTGATACCAAAGACTCATATCCTCCCAACATGGTTCAAGTCTGGACGGATGGGCACCAATGTATAAAGTCAGCAACTGTGTTGGATAATCTACACAAACAGCACTATAGAGGTAATGGTTCCCTCCTGGAAGAGAATCTTGTACTAGGAAGGTTTTCTGCTCCTGCTGTTGATCTTCCAGTAGCAAAACCTCACCCTGCTTAAGCTTTAAACGTGATGCTTTATTTTTGAAAGCTTGATTATTATTCTGGTCAACTTCAACAATCTCTCCTTGCTGGTGACTAGATTGTTGGAAGGGAACCAGAACATTCTCATTCTCACTGAGGCAGAATTCCATCCTACGCTTCTGAAGCCGAAGGCTATGTTCTGAGACTAATGAAGCTATCGACCTCCTTGGTGGTCCATTCCATTGGACAATGGAGTAGTAAGTAGCCAAAAGTACCTGTAGAGTTCCTAGGTCCCCCCAATTTGCATTTCCAAATTTGTTCCATATTCGGTCCACTGGAGAAACACCAATTTCGGCATGATTTTTGATCCATTCAACCATGGACTTGTATGGATTAGTTGAGTTTAAATCAAATTTGCTAAGATCACCACCAAGTTTCACAACCCCTCCATATTTAGAATCTAGAACCACAAGAAAAACAGAACTGTTCTTTGCAGTTCTAGTCTTGCTCAAAGACCTAGAAACAAGTATATGGAAACCATAAAAGAGGGCTTCACAAATAACGGGAGTCGATAGCTTCAACTCATTCCCTGACAATATATCTGGTTTAAATAGTGCAAACTCCATAATCTGATCCCAGTGAACTTGTTGATCACTCCCCATTTTTGATATCAAAGCTAAACCACATAGCTCTTTAAGCCTTCCCCTTGATATCGCCTTTTCTACAGTATAAAACTTGGATCCAAGAGAACGTGGACAAGATACAAACAGAGGGAGCTGACCTCTTTTATGCCAAAATGCATGCCATAAACCACTCACTATGGCATGAAGGAAGTCTTCTAATGCAAGATACTCATCTTCATTTGGATCATTGGAAACATAAGGGGAGCATGGCATCCGGAGGAGTTGCTGAAACAAAGCACCCTCCAATGCTACATCAAGCTTCCGCAATTCATCGATCATGAAGGGAGCACTGAAACAATTGTCTGAATCTTCACATGAATTTTCCAGAACCCAATCCTCAAGACAATGCGTGAACAATTCAAGGTCAACAAGCTTCCTTGCATAGTCCTTTAGCCCCTTGGACACTCTTCTGGAAGGAGCATACTTGCTTGAAGCTGAAGTGCCAGATATACTATGCGTGGACATAACAGAGTTAGACCTCCTAAAACTACCATTTGAGCTATGGCCTGGAGATAAGTCCAGATCATTTTGCAGTAAACCAGATGTGAACTTTCTGAAACTTCCACTCAAACTTCGCTCAAAGGATGAATCAAAATCATTTTGTTGATAACCTAATTTCATTGATAACACTTAGCAGAACAATACCCAGGAGCAGGAATGTAACAATGAGCTGATTCAGAGATCTTTAGAGAGTCTAGAACTTACATTTTCCACAACCCAATAAAGAAAAACATGGTTTGCAAATGTCACAATATGAAGATGTGAACCATCATTCAAACAGAAGACAGAGGAAAAACGTGCAAGAGAAATGTACAGAAAATGAATGAAAATGAAAGGTTGGAAATAGAGAGAAACTTTACTCCGAACCCAAGAACTTGAAGAGTCCCGTCCAGATCCCTGAAGCACTGATGGTTGAAAAGGTGGATGCAAATGTGAAAAGCATTTCAAGAATGCAGATGGGTTCTTCTTCTTCTCCTTGAAAATGGTTGTTTTTTTAATAACCAAAGAACAAAATGGCTGCTTTTTAACCAACGAATAATGGTTATCCTTCTTGTCTGTTGTTGTAGTTGTGGTGCATTGGCTTGGCCTCTTGGGAGGGTCGAGACGCTCAACACCTCTCAGGAGGAGTCAGTAGGTGAAGAGGGGGAGAGAGAGAGGGTCTATATAAAGCTGAGACAGCAATAGAATAATATAAAGCTGAGGCAGAAGTGGCAATAACAGCGACAAGAAGCAAAGCTCTCAAGACTGAAAGAAACCCAAGCGAAGCGACCTTTGTCTCTCTAAATCTCTATCCCCAAAAAAATGGGGTCATCTTGGTAGCTGGTCCCTTTGGTCCCATTCGACCCAGTGAAAATGACCATTCTTAAGGTAGTGAAAAACTGAAACAAGTTCCGACCCAAAAAAGAATAATAAAAACTGAAACAAATCAATATTTTTTTACATAACAACATTCTTAAGTGGGGTTATTAAACTAATGAATATTAAAAGAAAAAGAATAATAGAAAGTTTAAAGAAGAAAAAAGGGTCAATTAGAGTCAACTCATCACTTGGTGATCTATACAAGGACGGATTGCAAAAGAAATTTATGACATAGAAAATCAGGTAAAGTTCACTTGGGTGCCAAAATTTCAGGCTGAACTCATCTTTTCCTGTAATGATCACAGACAGTTGGATTGCAAAGTTGAGGCTGCTTTATTAACGTGACTGATCCAGGATTTATCATCACTATATGAATCTCAAAGAAGAGCTTAAAATATTTGCTAGTTTGGAAAGGAAGCTAAATGATTGAGTTTAAAGCATATTGCTTGCATTGTAATTTATCAAGATCAACACCATGCCTTCATTTTGCGGAGCTAATGGTCAAGAAATCATGTGTCTTGTTTCAAATAAATCAACTTTTTTCCCTTTTGGACGCATGAAGGGATGGTTGCTACAAAGGCTACAGCTTTCCTTGCTCATGGTCATTGGTTCCATGGTTCCACCACCAGACCAAAGCAATTCATCTCATGAAAACTAAATCTGTATGCCGGAAGATTAAATCATTCTGTTGACGGGTGGCATATTTCCCAATCAAATCAGAGAAAAGTGAGGCCTTATCAAACTGACGAAAGAGACCCGCGGTTAAGTAAAAGTTATCAAAATTTCATTGATCAGGGGGGAAAAATTACAAATTAACAGCAGCAACAAGGAGAAAGGCCCTCAGCAGGATGACTTCTCTGAAGTAAGCCATTCTTTTGCTGCTTCCAAGTCAGGAAGCACAACCGCACCAGATTTCCTCCACTCCTCAGCATCAGATGTCTTAAACCTATCCAATAACAACGCATGCATCCCAATACTTGTTGCTGGCACATAGTCTTTGCGCATGCTGTCCCCTATGTGCAGAACCTCTTCCGGGGCCATATTTCCAGCCCTCTCAAGCGCAATCTCATAAATCCTTGGGTCTGGTTTCTCCACGCCTTCGATACCAGAGAACACACCAAAGTCCCAATCAGATCCCTGAAAAAAATTGATATGATACCATCAGGGAGAGAATCATGCAAGCAAGACAATTCTAAGGGAAGCATGTTCAAGATACCGGCAACTTAAACAAGATTAATTTATTTACCTGGTTGACACCCAATGCTGGAAGAATTACATCTCGATAACGGTATTCCGCATTGCTGATAATTCCAACTTTAAGACCTTGTTCATGGACCCATCTTAGAAATGGTTGGGAGTCAGGAAAGATGGAATAAGGAGCAGAGGAACCAAAGGATGCATATATGCGTCGGAACACTTTCTCAAATGTCTCCTCATCGTAATGATATCCAGCCTATCAGAAAATCAAGATGCCCATTACATAATGCATGAATAAGGTAATTATTGAAGAAATTTTTATGCAAAGTCCTAGCTGATGAGTATTTATTGTCAGAATGCTACTAAGGGGGATGGTGTTCTCATTTTTCTAGATTAGCAAATTCTCTGAGTTAGTCGGTAGCACTGTCCCTCAGATAAATCAAGTACCACAAACCTTGCAAGGACATTAAATGATTGGAAACAAGCTAGTTATCACAATGAGCCCGGCCAAAAGATCTACTGGCCATTTCCATTATCTTACCCTCATAAAGGACTCTCTGACACAAGCTTTCCACCATACAATGTTGGGCATTTTTGCAGCATGTCCAAAACATGGATACTTGCTGGCCATATCTTTATATGCATATTTGAAGCCCTCATGCACTCTTTCGTAATCAGGGCATGGCAGCCCTACAGATTTGGCTGCCATGCAATAGTAGTCACCAAGCTCCCCCTTGTAAGCTAACAACGTACCGGTAACATCCACTGTAATGCACCGCAATTTCGACAATAATGACATCGTAAAACTGTTGTGTGGTGAATCCTCAAAATCGAAAATTTCCAGTAGGAACTTTCAGTAAATGTTAGGATCAAAGCACCAAAATTGCCGCACACAGATCAACCAACCTCTTCAGCAGTTCCAATTTTCCCTGCATTTTCATAATAGATTTATTAGGTTATGATATGAAAGTTCAAATTACATATAATGAGTGTTGACATAATTCTCTAGCTTTTATCTTATCACATTGCTGTCTGAGTAGCATCAGACTCAGATTTATATATACAGATGCAAAGGGGTCAAACAAATTATATCATTCTTTTCTCTATACTTTCTTCCTTGTAAAAATAAAACGAATATGAATGTCCTCTAATTCAAGTAGCTCAATGTACAAAAGTGGAATGGAAAAAGATGAGATGCATCAGCTATGTCTACATTTCCAACCTAAGCAATGCTTCTTAGTCACAAGAAGATTAAACATTAAAAGGCATTGAACGCAGAGAAAAAAGGAAAAAGAAGGAATCAAATACCAACATCACAAATCATTAATTACAGACTTGTGAAAGAATAAAACGTTAGAATGATATGGAAAGAGCCGTAGCTAGAATGAACGAGTCATTGCTTTAATTATCAGAACGAGTATGCCCTTCACCTAGCATTTGTTTCAACAAATGACAAAAGTAACAAATGCTGTACATCAAGATCAAATGATTTCTGAGCAGCATAATTAATGGAGATCATTTGATACATTTGTCAGCTGTTAAAACAAATGTTAGGCCAAGGGAGCTGATAATTAAAGCAAGAATCAAAAAGATAACTTCAACAGGTTTTTATATAGTATCGTGATGATAATCAAAAGCCCTTCCCCCAACATTTAATTTTTGATATACATAAGAATTAAAGAATGAATCTTAAACAAATCCAACTTCTAAATCAGATTTTCAACTTACCCAGATGCCCAAATCACACCAAATTTTATTTGTATCAGCAAACGTTAGCCTTTCTATTCATCCCCAGACACCAAAAAGAAAAAGTTAACGCCTTGCTAAAAAATGCAGATACTCCAATCCATTTTAGATAGTTCTCTTTACCAAAAACCATCCAATATAAAATACATAAACAAAAACAATCGAGTCAACACTACGGATAAAAAATTCAGATTCAAAGCGTTAGAGAAGAAAACTGCAATAAATTATCAACCACAGAAATGAAACTAGTCCACCGATGAGATAAAGAAAAAAACAATATCATCGAGAAATGCAGCTTGAAAAAGATGAGATATACCAGCTGAGCTGACTCAAATTCAAATTGACACAGAAACAAAACAATCCCAGCATCGCATCGACAAGAAAAAGATTAAAAATTACTGAAGAAGAAGAGATTGTGAAGCATATCTACCCAGATGCTGAAAATGGAAGAGAATCCGAGTTTCTTAGGTGAAAACGCAAAAGTCCTTGAAGTTAGCTTGAGCTGCACATTCATGGAGCAGAAGGCCAAAAGCTCCTGTCTTTATTATATACAATCAATAATAATCAAGCACCTTGCTTATCAAGCAGATTACTTCAAATACAGCAGCGGCAGTTAATTGTATCAGCGTCCCTGGATTTTGGTGGTTGATTCCCCTTATTAATTGGTTTTAAAAATTTCACCCCTCACCTTTTCTTTTTTCTTTTTTAAGCCCCTGTTAACTCTTATAAGTAAACAGAAAATACTTTATACCTCGACTAATTGCACATTTATCCGAAAATTTTGAAAGAAGAGCAGATCATAAAAATAGAAAATACTTTGTTAAAATAATGTTAATATAAAAAAAAATTCCACATAAAAAAGTTGTTTTTTTTTTTTTTTTTTTTTTTTTTTTTATGTTATATATAAAGTCAGAAACTTGTAAAACAAAAATCCAAAATTTAGTCAACTTATTTAGGGATATTATTGTCTGAGTAACTAAAAAAGTAAGTTTGAATGTAAATAATAGATTAATAAGTACATGTGGCACTATAAGATGCTTAATAGTAATAATATTATCCGGTGTAAACGTGATTAATACTTTTCAAACCACTGAGAATTACAATTTAGTAGTCTTTTAAGGATGATATTTTTTTTTAATGAAACTTCTAATGATGATTTGGATCAATGGATTTTTTATTTTTTATTTTTAATTTTGATTAGCAAACTTTTGATGTGATACTAGATATTGAGAGATATTTTTTGTTGAAAAAGAATTCAAGCTGAGAAGCCACAGCAGAAAAATGAATTTTGGGTGGCAAGTACAAATAAATTTTAATGCGGAGAACAAAAATGAATTTTGGGTTGTAAATATCAATAAATTAAAATTCGAGGGGTCACAATGCAAAGTTAACCAGAATTGAAACATTCAAAACTATGGACGCTTGTGGGATTGCCTCTGGTATTGTGGAACGGAAAGCACATTCCCTCATTCAGGTTTCCTGGTTTTTGGTTTATCCGAAGTTTCCAAACCAATTCATGCCAACCTCATAGGAGAGACCATGAGCTCACCCACCACACCCGTGAGATGGTGACACGTGTTACATACTAGTGTGAGGAGGGACCTAAATGTGATGTGTGATTCTTTTCCTTTTTCAGATATTGCATCATGGCATAACAACATTAGGCCATCCAAGTCATCAATGGGGCAAATGGACTTTTAGTTCCTCTGGAACATATTCAAGAAACCCAAGTACAATGGATACTCTTACCAAATTTCATCAAGCCTTATGCCAAGAGGAGTTATAACAGACCCAAAATCCATCATGTGTTCTGAAAGAAAGTCATACAAATGAAACATACAATTCAAATGTTATATGCCAAATCATTTTCTCAATGTCATATCTAATTAGAAGAACACAAAGACTTAAGAGGCCTCAGCAGCTGGCTGTGTCACTCCACTCTTCACCAACAGTTTGCTCAGTGCATCTGGTGAGCACACCTGGTACTTCACTTTACCCGAAGGCAAGACGAAGACTTCAGCCAACTCAAGCTTATCGGAAGTCAGACTAGTGCTGTCCATTGTCTTGCTGAGCACCTTCAGTGCAAGCTGAACTGCCTCTTCTCTTGTTATTTCATCCTTGTAGTCCTGCTTCAGCATTGATTGTGCTGCCTGGTTGTTTGCCCCAATGGCTGCAGCCTTCCAACCACCGTAGTTTCCACTTGGGTCACTCATGTAAAGTTGAAAACCATAGTTTTTGTCCCAACCTGCAAATAGAAACGAAACACCAAATGGACGGAGCCCACCAAACTGCGTGTAACCTTGTTTGGTGTCACAGAGAGACTGGACTAGTTGTTCAACGGGCATTGGCTCTTGGTAAGCAAATGTATAGCGCTGTGCTTGGACCCTAGCTGTGTTGATAAGGATGTTGGCATCAGACATTATCCCAGCCACTGCACATGCGACATGGTCATCAATCTTGTACATCTTCTCAGTGGATGTAGAGGTCTGAAGGAGCTTGGAAGTCACCTTCTTTTCACCTACTAACACAACTCCATCTTTTGACAATATCCCAATTGCAGTCCCTGCATTTCCAATGGCCTCCATAGCATACTCAACCTGGTAGAGACGGCCTTCAGGAGAGAAGATCGTCGTGCGGCTGTCATACCTTCGAGACATTTGATATCACGCTGAGAGAAGTACAATATTGAGATTGAAGAAAATATCAGCCCATAAGAAATGTATAACACAAAAGTATGTACAAGGATGAGAATGTTGGTGCTACTAGAATATCAGTAGTCTGTATTTGTGCAGTATCAATAGCAATTATGAAAGTTTACATAAGCATGCGCAATTTCAAATGGAATTTTACGATATGCAAACTTCTCAGTAACGCATAGATTAAGTACATCTAGGATTGAGACAGTACGAACTTTAGTATTATATAAAAACACAATATCCATCACTTCATTTTGAAAAACTAATGTCAGGTTTGGTTTGTGAGAATTACTGTTTCAAACTTACAATGCATTCACTTTTGGCATAATATTATTGGATTCAGAAAATAATTCATAAAAGATTGACATTCACTACTACTTTTTGCAGCTGCATGCATAAAGCCGCTGCTTTACATGTGGTGCAGCAAATTTGACTGCAAAAACAGCTTAATCTGAAAGTTCTTAACAAAAGTAAAAAATTTATATAACACTGAAATTTCAACATTAAGGTGGAAAGATACACCTTCACCTCTCTGTCTGTTTCCATGGTGTGGAAATACTGAAATATCAGTTGATATTTTGGTATATTGACCAAAATTTAATCATTGGGTACTTGTGTGCGGATACTAAAATCCTAACAATTAAATATAAAGAACACATCTAACATCACTTAGTTCAAAATTACTCTCTGCTGCAAAGTACAATCACTAATGGATTCAGTAAACTACAAATACTACAATTGTCACTACAGAGAATTGCACTAATCCAACTAACTTTGATTTTTGTTTGTCAATTACTCGCCTTCCCATCTTTATGACTCTAGTCTTCTAAAGAGACAGCTATGATATACAAGAAAGTTAATGTATACAAGTTACAAGATAAGTTTTATATATTTTAAGAAATTAGCCAATAACATAACCAAATCCCCTATATCTTTATCAGCTAATAACTTAAACAATCTCCTAAATCTTTCTCAGCTTCTCTAAGAGAAATCTACCTCCCAAGGTCATTCTATATTATTCTAATGCTCATATGATTATGTCTTATCCATTCAAAAAATCCTAAAATCAGTTTAACCTTACTTGCTTTGTGGATTTAATATTCAAATTCAAAATACAATTTAAGGTAAACAAAAGTTTATTGCACCAAAACATGTTGAAACATAAATTTCCTAGAGTAAATCAATCTATTCAACCAAATAAATGAAACTACAAATGGTCAGCTTTCCATCTAACCATTTTATAAACATCCATCATTCCATTAAGCGGATTGTTCAACTATAGGAACAATTTCACATATTTACCAGAGGCCAGTAAGTGTTATAGCAATAGAAAACTCAAATTAATTTCCACATCCAACCAAGATGTTGTAACTTAACCTTTCAAAGAAAATAAATTGACTTTCATTTAGCATCCAAAAACGTCTCAGCACAGCAGACAAAACCCCTAGATCAATAATAAGCAGAGCTTAAGCATTGACCATTACAGAACACAAAATGGGAAGGAACGAATGGAATTAGACCTAGAACTAATAATCCAGATATTAGCCAGCAGTTTCGTTCTCATGAAATATTCTACTTCGAAGAGAAGGATTTATCTCAAAATCCATGTTAAACCCCTATAGCTTAATTAGAATCAGGGGGCATCTTTTCCATTCATTTCTGCCTCTAATTTCCTACCCAAACCGAAGAATATTATCGATAACCAACAAATCTAAGACACAGTACTAACTAACAACTGACCTAAAAACTCAGAAAAAGAAAATATTACATAGGCAAACCCTTGGACTGCATTGGACTGAAATCCCATACACCATACCATGTTCCAAAATTAAATAAACAAAAAAGAATTCACCTTTTAGCTCTATTTGACTGCTAAGAAGGCTAACACAACTAACCCAGAAAGAATTATTACCAATTCTTCCCAAATGGTGAATAATCTCACTCGACTGACAAAAACAAACCGTACCCATCATGGGTTTTCTCTCTAGAGTCCAAAAATTAGGCAAAAAAAACCACTCTCTAATTTTCTAACATTCTGGCAAGAATCAAACAGATCACTGACGAACACGGATTTCAGAATAAAATGAGAATAAATAAATATATAAATTCAGGAACAAAATCAGATTATGCACATACATATACGTGAAAGAGAGAAGAGAAGTGGACCTGATAGGTAGATCTAGTAGAACAGAGATTAGTCTGAGAAACACGAAAGCTGAAAGAGAGTTGAATGAAAGAGCAGGGGTGTGTGTTTGTGTGTGTATTTCTTCTGTCTTGCGCAAAAAGCTTAGAGCACAGTAGGTAATCTGGGCCGTCGGATTGAAACATGACTTGGATCAGCCCAAAAGCCCTTTTACCCGAACCTTTTGTTTTCGACCCGTTTAAGCTTTAGAAATATTTTCCTCAGCTTAATTGGATGTGGCATATCTCCTGATTATTTATTATTTATCAACCAAATCTTCACCATTTTTCTCTTCTATGAATTGTTTCGGATGAAAGAATTGACATTTGATTTTATTTTTTTTTTTTTTTTTTTTTTTTTTTTTTTTTTTCTTTTTATTTTTTTTTTTTTTTTTCTGGATTTTGTTGGCTCTCTTTTTTTCCCTCAATTTTTTCTACTTGTATGTTTATGGTTATGATTAAAATGGCCATTTTAGATTGGCATTTACAGTTTGGGATTCAAAGTTTATATTCAAATTGAATTATAACACAATGCAGTAAATCCGTAACTAAAAATTTTACAAAGGTAATTTAGAAAAAGGCAAATTATCAAAACTTGAAATTGGTTTCAGAGAAGCATCAACATTATAACTTATTGTAATAAATAACTCAAATGCAAATACACTTTGCTCAGTTCCACCACAACATACAGCTCATGCAGGCGTTTTGATTCTGCAACTGATGTGGCGCAAGGAATGATACAAAGTTACAACTGCACTATAATACATATAAATATATATATACACACACAAGGCACTCCCAAGAGCTTAACATTGGCTATGTGTTCTTGGTTGGTAAGAAATAATGAGCAATGCTAGAACCCCGTTTCACCGTGTTATGCCGCTTGTGAGGCCTGATCCAGGCACGAACTTCTTGTTGAATTTCTGGTGGTAACTCGTCAATGACTGAGGGGTCAATTTCATCAATATTGTAACTCCATGCTCCTCCCCTTCTTTGTTCAATTTGAAATGAACCGCAGACATTAGAATCCCCAGCGTCTTCAGAAGGTCTTTCTTTTGGCAACTCGGATCGATTATGATCCAAACAATTATTACTTCGAGACTGAATAACTGCATCATAAGTCAAGTTTAGAAAGAGACGCCGTGCAAAATGGAGAGAGAGAGGTGGGACACAAAAATTACCAGGAGATAGCGGTGGTGCTTTGACATCTTCAATATTTTCAACATGTTCTAGCTTTTGTGGAGCACAAGATGGATCTTGATTCTTAAAGAATCTCAATATTGAGCACGTTCCCTGTCATAATGTATCAACACAGAGTTAACCCAAATCTTCTACAAGTCCAACTGCCCAATTATGGGCACTTGATGGCTAAGTCGTTAAAGAGATGATGGAAATGCATATTTGAACCTTGTCTTTCACTGCTTTTCTTTTCTGCTCCTGTCTATTGTGACTAGGCATGGAAAGTTTAACGCAAGGTTCTTCCCCAGAATAATTTTTCATCGGTTGGTTTTGATTCATTCCTGAGCAGTGTTCGCTTCCTACGTAGATATCCTTCATTTTTAGAGGGGAAAGCAAAAGAAAAGCAGTAAGTGGGATAACCAACAGTAACATCCTGTGCAAGATACTACCTGAGGTTGATACCGTTACAGTTTCCTGGGTGAATTCATCACGTGCCTGATTTTTTGAAGAGCAACATGGATTCTGCACATGAAAGAGTGAAACATGATACCATATCCCCTAGGCGAAGCATTTGATATGAAATGATGAGAATAAACAATTCAAAGATCATGCAATCAAACGAATGTAGTAAGCATCAGAGAGCATAATCTATTTATCATACACATATAGTCAAAATACCATAAGTGTTATTTTCCAGTGACGTAATGCCATGGAAGAGTAGCTACGTTGAGCACAACTAAGAAAGTAGGCAAAAAAGAAGGTAAAAGAACTGTAGACTGAAAAGTAAGACCACAAGAGAACAATCACGATAGGGGAAGGCAGAGAAAATAGGAGGGCTGTTCTTAATCTCCACAAGGAAAGCGGATACAAATTTGAAAAGGAAAGTGCCTTAACCTTGGTGAATTGCTTCAACCTTTTTCTAGCAAACTTCAATCATTACATTATAATAATCCATGAACTCAATTTCAGGCACCCCATAAACTTAAGACTCTAAAAGGTAATTTAAAAACCTGGTCATTCAACAAATCTATTTTGTCTTCCAGTTGATCAGAACTAGTCTCAGCATACTTGATCATGGTTTCTTCACCAGGGAACTCAATCTGTGGCTTCATTACATTCACCTCCGAGTAGCTTTCATTGCCTATATGAACAATTTGGTTTCATCAGAGTGGAAATGACTTGCAAATAACAAGAACTAAATACAAAAGGCAACTGGGAGATTGCATACCTGAAGGTGGCACAGGAGTACCTTCTTCAACGAGGTTATTCTGTGATTGCTTTGTTGAAGAGCAGGATGGATGGCCATGAAAGTATTTAGTGATTGAAGCTGTTCCCTGCCAGATTGCATATTTGCTTTGTAAAATATGATACAAAAGGAAGAAAAAAAAATTGATGAATTGCATTAGTCCAAATACTAATTTGGTGATAGAATAGTCCAAGTACTTTTTGATATGTTCATTTGCTGAAGCACCAACCAGATGATAATGATTGCAAATTTCATTGGGCATTTTGAGGAAAAAGAGAAGAAAAGTATCAAAATCTAACAAATCCTGCAAGGGTTCCTTAGGGTCAAGCTGAAAATGCCCTTTTAGAAGTGTTTAAGTGGCTGTGAATATAGTTATATGGACCAAAACTAGGGTAGAGAGAGCTAGAAACCAAAGTGGAAGTGCAAAACACAATGGATACACCATCCACAGTATAATAGAAACCAAGTTTTGTAAAACTTACAGATGGTATGGGAACAATTTTACTAGCTGAAACAGAAAGAGACGTTATTCCCCAATGGTTGTTCTGACTTCCTTGAATTTTGGCTGTGTACGAACCCAAGTATTCTCGTAATGCAGCTTGAAAAAGACTAAGAGCATCTTCTTGTATCTTGGCAGTCCCATACCTTAGGGGACAAGACTTCGAAGGAAACTTCTTGTGTGAATCTGAATCACTGACCTGAAGGCTAACTCATGAGCAGGACAAACCAAATGGAAACAAATCATACAAAGATTGAAAAGCATCTAAATTGGTCGGGAAAAATTAGAGGGATAAAAGAAAGGTTCAAATACAAAATAGATAGGTACTTTGTATGCAGTAGCATGCAACACTAGTGTGTGAGCAATCCTTTTGTTTTGGTCCAAGTCCAATTGAAGGCGTTCACTTAATTCCTCACAAAGTTCATGGAGCCAACGTTGAACCTGCAAAAAGAGCCAGAAACCAGGTATGATGGCCATTGAAGAGAATATGTCCTAGAATCCACTTTCGTCCAAGGTGTAAGAAATGAGGGATTTTTCCACATGCCTTATTTCATTTTGGTAAATATAATTACATGAATGACAACTGCAATGCCTTATGGTTGACTGGCTAGAAAGTTGTCATAGATTTTTGTTTTAAAAGAAAAGGAGTTGGGATCTTCCAGCACATGATCTTTCAAGAAGCATAGACTCATAGATATTTGTATGTGAATCGTGAACATTGAGCTTACTTCAACACTCTATTTGGGGAGGAGTGAGAGCTGATGTCAGAAGCTTAAGGTCGACCATGTCAATACCTTTTGATATGGTGAGCATTGAGCTTACTTCGACACTCTATTTGGGTAGGAGTGTGAGTGGATGTCAGAAGCTCGAGATTGACCATGTCAATATTTTTTTATACATCTCTATTTGAACAACTTAAATTATCAAAAGAATAGCTATTGAGGAGACAGTAAACCTATAGGTGGCATTCCCCCATTCCTAGCATGCATTTTCTATCCCTTATGTCATGTCAAAATGAGAGAACTATAAATCTGTGAGTACCTTCTAAACCTAGTTAATCCCAGTACAACAAAGAATGCATAGCTGACATAGATAGTGACATTCGTGCAACTTGAGGTTGATATTTATATTGAACTGACAAATTTCAATAGCAAGGAGATTTAGCGCATTTATATTTCTCCTAAGTTGAGTGACATTAAATCCCTTAATTGCTTAATTCATGAGTTCAAGATCATTCACCAACAAGTGCAAGCTGAAAAGAGTATTTGTCTTTTCAAGAAAATTACTTACAGAAGCAATCGTCTTCAAAGCCTGAGGTCCAGGAAATGTCTTCCCAGAACCATGGCTCTTTGGAAGAAGGCGCCCCTCAACTTCATCCCCACTTATCCCTCTAGCAATGTTCCATAACCAGGTACTGTGATTCATGAACAATGTAGAAATCAGAAATGTGATCCTGACAAGCTGTTGAATCAGTTAAGCAAATGAGACATAAAATAGTAACTTTAAACGTTGAAGGTGCTTCTTCAGATTAGATTCAGCCTTGAAAATGGAAATATCAATAAAAATTCCAATAATTTCAGCAAACTTAGAAAATACAGGGGAACCAATTATTTTTTATTAATTAGGAAGAAAGACATTTCTAAAAATCAATATGTTGAGCTGAATGTGTAGAACGCTATATGTTTGAGGATGCACGCAAGATATATATATATATATATATATATATATATATATACACTTCTGATATCCCAGACACAACCTTTAAGTTTAAAAGACACAGAAATTTATTCAATGATAGGTGGTCACCCAGTATTGATTCCATAACGTTCTTGTAGCTTTTCCTCTGAAAACTGCAATAGATCACCAACAGTGTTAACACCCAGGTCACTTTGTAACGAATCCCCCAGTTTTCCTCCTAGCTGTTTCCTGAAAACAAAGATTGCTTTATGACTCTTGACTGTTTACTGGTAAATATACAGCTAAGAAACTTTTGAATTAAATCAAATTTTCTTCTTTTGTATACATAGAATTTTTCCACAAATATTTTATTCCACGTATGCAAAACTTACATTTTCTTAATTGGCAAGGACCCTAGCAATCCTTTCACAGATGAGAATGGAACAACAGTTTGTTGCGCAGGTTTATTCATACCACTTGCAAGTTTGGCCAGTATCTGATAACAAAATCATATATAAGACACAATCAAAATTTGACATTAAGGTAAGTGTCTTTGACACCATGATAGTCAGTGAAGGAAAAGACAAAAGAAAATTTGAAACTAAGGACCGCTTAGGTTTCTACCTTATTATGAGCAATGCCAGCAGAACAGGTAAATTCTGTCTCCTTCAACACTTGCAACCTAAGTTCTGCAATAATGAATGCCCCACAAGCCAATAGTTTATCACGGCGATCAGCATCATTCCTGCAAAGCCATTTTCTCACACTTTCTTTGGCATCACTGCCGTCCTACAATCATAACCAATTTCAAATACCACTTATTGCCAATGCATGTTGAGCAAGCATAAAACTCAAGGATACAACTGGTCATTTCCCAATATTTATTTGCATAAATTAGAATGATAAATTTTAATTCTTTATCTTATTTTCATAAATTTTCAGAGATTAGACAATCTCCCAAAATCTCTTACATCTGTTCATAGTTCTGCCCTATTGTAAAATCCAAAAACTGAATACTTGTAAATGAAAACCCATCCCAAAGGAATAAATTAAAAATGATATCTAAAAGTTTTCTGGTTTCCCTGGGTATGTAAATGTTAGATATTATGTTGACGTGTTACGCTTCTTGATCCATTGTTAAAAGAGAGAGAGGGAACTAAAATTCATGTCAAATATTATATTGTGTAAACTATTGATATATTCTGTTTCTCCATTCCACAAATTGCACACAATAAAACAAAAAGACAACCTAAACTGCACATTCATTACATTAAAAGATAAAATTGATAAGGCAAATTGAGCTATATTCACCAACCTCACTTTTGAGCCCCAAAACATGGGACTTGAGAACTTCCTCATCAATTACTTCCAAGATTTCTGGAGGAGCTTCAGCTAACATTGTTTCTGCTGCATCGGTAAGGTCAAGATACACTTCGTCAATTGAAGCCCTCTCACATCGACCCTTCCTTGACAAAATAGAAACCACCTACATATTTAAGGAAGTTCACCGTAAGTCCAACTCTTAATAGTGATAAGAAACTTAAAGACATTAATGTCTTTCAAACGAAAGAGACCTCTGAGCCCGCATTGCGGTATGTGCTCAGGTCAGCTTTACCACGTGCTACTGGGACTTGGACCAACTGAATTTGTGGGCAGACTTGCTTTGACTCAGCACCTCTCATCGATCTGAAGCCATGACTATATTGTTGACTAAAAAAACTTGGTTGTTCATAATAAGGCACTAGAAAATGTAACAATAACACCATATATACCGTTTAACACCATATTTTCGGGCCTCATAGCTGACAGCAATCAAGGCCCCACCTTTCCATGCGTTATACTGTACCACTGCTGTTGGTAAGCCCCTTAAATCTGGTTGTTTCCTTTGCTCCACTATAAAATAAAGCAAACTTGGCATAGATACAAATCCACGATATAGCAATCATGGGGCAGTAAGAAGATAAAAATTCTTCCATCAGTGTTAATGATTACAGACAAATCCATGGACAGTCTCATAATAACGTCGAAGTTATATAATTAAAAGAACCGATTATGAAAGATTGTCCTGGTTTTTCAAAATATGACCAGAGCAGTCTGTGGAAAGCATTTCCTATAAGCCAAAGAGTTCACAATAACAAGTTTATTCACTTAGAGTAGTTGTCGTCTCTTGGATTTCCATCAGGTTTATGTGAATCTACCAGGTAAATTCCTTACTTCTAGAAGAAAAAATGACAAATTACTGGGTAATTTCTCCTTTTTATTTAAAAAAAATAGTCCCGTACGATTTAAATCCCGATGGATCATTGTCTACTAGTTTTCAGCAGCTTCTACAATTTAAAGAGTGTATAAAAACATTTCTGCTCAGAATGGCGAAGGATTATTCAAAATACCATATAAGCCATGGCTCTCAATGTTCTCCAGCAAAAGCTATGGTTTTTAATCGGAACATGACAATTCAATATTGGTTCAACCAAAATACTCACAAGGGTATCTCCCCAATTGTGCATTTTAGACTACCGATTGATTTACTCATTTCCAAACCCTAACAGAACCACTCACAATTACAATTAAAGACACACTGAGAGAGAACATAGAGAAAGAAAAAGAGAAAGAGACCTTGAACGTAGAAGCAGTCCATGTCTACATGAGCAATGACTCTGGAATCAGATGTTTCAGGTCTTGCCACCGGCATTTTCTTCTCCTTTCTTTTCCCTCCAAATCCAAGTTTTCTCTTTTCTCAGAAATAATGACCGACCGAGAAATATTTCATATTTTGCTGTTTGGGTCTAAAGCGTTTGGGCTTGACTGGTGGGCTCATATCTTAGGCACTAATTTCTCAGTTAAAGCTCCTAACGCTTGGTATGAAGATCCATTCTCCAACAAAACCATCCTACTCTTCTCTCTCATCTCCTTCACCCTAGCCCTCACCACATCACCACCGTTCATCAAGTGCTTTATGCTCCTCTCCACCTCCTCCGCCAGCACCAAATCACTACCCTCCCTGTAATCCAACCTAATCTCAATTGCCAATCCCAATTCCTTCACCATCTCAAAGGCGTTCATTTGTTGTTCTGCGTAAATCGGCCACGTGGCAATCGGTACACCGTACCATAAGCTCTCCAAGATCGAGTTCCAACCGCAATGCGATACGAACCCTCCGATTGCTGGGTGGGCCAAAATCTTCGCTTGTGGGACCAGCCCAAAAACCAAGCCCAACTTACAAGTCCGTTCCAAGAACCCATTTGGTAATACGTCGTCCACGCTCGCCGGGTCGCTCGGGAGGTCTAGTTGGGACTTGGGCGGGTCACGCAATGCCCATATGAATCGAAACCCCGCCCGTTCAAGCCCGAACGCTATTTCCCTCACTTGGGGCCCGCTAAGACTCCCCATGCTTCCAAAGCTTAACAACACGACCGATGATGTGGGCTGGTCATCGAGCCATCTCATGACCCTTTCATACCGGGTTGGGTCATGCCATTGGGCCGGCCCGTTAAGATCAAGAACTGGCCCAATCGGGTAGACCCGCGGCATCGGACTCATAGCCAATGAACTAAGAGCATGTGGCTCCAATTCCCCAAACGTATTCACGACAATACCTTTTGTTTCGGTGTACCTTCGTGCATGGGATAAATACCAATAGTACGCATCCCCCTTCTTATTCAGCACCGCTGTAGGCAAAACGAGTGGGGGCACCGAGTTAGCGAAACCCGGTATGCTCAACTCGGTGTCCGAGTCACCAAACTCAGTGGGGATTTGGGCATCCAAGGTAGGAAGGTGAAGCATGAAGCTGAGAAATGTTGCTGGGGAAGCGAAAAAGAGGTAACAAGGAATGTCAAGCTCGTTAGCAACATCAATCATGGATGTACAAAACATGTCCACGAATAGCCCAGCAACTCGGCCCGAGTTAAACTCGTCTGACTCGGGCGACACGAGGTTGGTGAGGGCATTCTTCACGTGGGTTTTGTGGTTTTGTATGAGCAGGGATATGTAGCCCATCGAGGACCGGTACTGATCAGGGGAGGGCGGGTCCACCGCAGGCAGGTGGAGGAAGCGGATGTTCGTGCACGTGGCAGCGCGAGATTGGATGTAGGTGTTGACAATGGGCCGCTGGGACATGTTGATGATGAGGATGGTGGCGTGGAACCGACGGTCATGATTGCCGAGGAGCTGAGCGAACTCGACGAGTGGGACTAGGTTTCCGATGCCAGGGGTTGAGATGAAAACCACATGAAATTTGGTCATCGTGAAATTAATGTTGGTGTAGGGTTGTGTTTGGTTTCTTGGTGGTAATGTTATCAGCCTGTCTGTGAATAATAATAATATTTGGTGGGTGGGCACAAATACTCTTGAATTGTAACATGCAATGCATATTATATGATATTTATATTCAGTGTATGTCCAAATTCATTGCTCCACGACAACATCAACATCAACGGTAGGAATTACGCATGCTCCATTATTAACATAGATAATTATTAACATTTACCAACAAATAAAAGAAAAAAGAAAAAAACAAATACAAGGGTTGATGTCTATTGTCACTCTGCACTTTAGAGTGAGAAACCATGAAAAAGTGACTTTAAAATAAGCAATGATGTGACAATGTGGCAAGCATCAAATATTTGGGATGAGATTTGGTTATTATTTCTAAACAAGCTTCTAATCATGAGTGCTGTTGAGAAAACTTTAGTACATTTACCAATTAGTTAACACAAGCCAAATCATATTCAGTTTAGCTGTATCCCATTCAACTTTTAATAAAAAATATGAGAGCAATTTATCTATATCGGAAAATGTCATGTAATGTTATATGTTATATTTTTCATATATTATACAGTCATAATGATATTCTCGTTGCATGAAAGTTTTTCTCATATCTTATTTATGAAGTTGGTGGATCTTATGTATTTGGAGCAAGCTAGCTACCCAGCCAAGACTCTCATTAAGGCCAAAAGGGTAAAATGCTGCACCTGGCCCTGCCATTGTCAGGGAAGAAGAGCTAGCTATATGAGGAGAGGGGGCTTCACCTTTTGAACCATGGTAAATCCGACCATGAAGAGAGGGCTTTCATCAAAAGGCACAATAAGTGAATAAATGAAGCGTAATTTCAAATCTCAACAATTTTAAGCAAATGTTGCATTGGATTTCTTTATTGAACTTTTTTCTTTCTGACTTAATTAAGAAGTGATTTTCAGATTTCTGTTTCTTCAATTTTGGACTTTTACCTGTGTCATATGAAGTGAAAACTGATTTAACGAACTAATAAGTATGCCATGCAAGAGCCTAGAAAACCTCAAGCAGCAGAACATGGATGTGAACCATATATCTCTCTCTCTCTCTTTCTCTCTCTCTCTCTCTCTCACAGACCTATCACCACGACAAGATTAGACATGAGTGCAGCAATCTGACGCAGTAATTAATCAATTTCTGAAAGTCTACAGACAAAGAAAAACGTATTTAATTCACAAAAGCTTTGTTTTTTTACTGGTTTTTTGGGTCTCCTCTAAGAATAGTTTGAAGTCAATAATTCAATACCGAAAGGAAACCTACTCTCACTTTGATTTCCATCTAGAACATCTCTAAATGGAAATATTTTTTGAAGTACCATACCTGTTTGCTTGAAGGTAAATATTTGTATGTCTCTTCCCTACGGAGGGTAAAGTAACAGTTAAACCTCCAGGAAATTTTTAGCAAGTCAAAGTTGCCAAACCAAATAATGAGAAATGAAATCTTTGAAGCAACTAGAGGAGGAACTGAGGCCAAACTAGCTAGCTAGCGGCTAGCCAATAGAAGAAACTCTGAAAAGAAAGAAAAAGAAATCAGAGAGAGAGAGAGAGAGAGAGGTAGGTGGTACTATAGCTACTGGGTTGCTTGAAGGGAAAACACAATTTCCAAATATGTGGAGTACACCTTTTTCTAATATAGAAGTTTCTTGAGGGAAGAAATAAATTTCCAAATATGATTATCACCACTTTTTCCATTTTAGAAGCATTAACTCTGAGACAAATGATAATACTTAAAGATTGACAGAAACAAGACATGGTGATTGTTCTGACTTTGATTTGCTTCCCTTAACAAAACCAAACAAAAGCCAAGAGGCTTACAGAAAGAGAATATTATGACTCAAAGAAAGGAGAAAGGAAGTAGTCAGCAAGAGCAGATTACACAGAAAGTGCATTATAATTATCATAATTGTAATTATAACATTGTTTGAAGATCTCATCAAGTCTGAAACTTCAAGCCTCAGGGTTCTTCAAAAATAAAGTTTTTCGTTGTTCACGCCATGTACAACTGCAAAAACCCGTCAATGAGATTGGATTGGACATATGATCTGACAAAGTCTTTGTGTCATACACCACCTGCATTATGGTTGCATGATCCCTCTTGCACTAAGTCAAACAGTAGTAATAATACCAACCAATTCAAATAATGTTAATATAATTACTCGATCAGGTTTCCTTAAAAGTTAGGGTTATATTTCAATAATTGTTAACGTTGGAAAACCGGATAATTTGAACTTGAGATCCATTGTAACGTTGAGAAGAAATAAATAAATAAATTAGATTAAGAGTTTGATGGTCTTATCTTGTTGGATTATTAAATATGGCAAGATTTAAATGTGATTGTAATTTGTAGTTCATGTGTTAGTTCTGAGGTCTATATCTTGAAATCTATAAGACGAGATTTTGGACTCTAAGATCCAAAATTCATAAATCTCATCTTATTAAGTTACCTAATAAAATACTTTTAGTGATCTTAAATATCATCTCTCCAAAGTCCAAAGGCTCTAAACTCCTTTCCCTTCAATGGCACTATACTGCCAGGAAACGAACACCAAATAGAATATATTTCTTCTTTAATGATTTTCCATCTGCTTACTGCCACATATAAATTATTCATGGTGCATGCCTGTCCGATCCCTTCATGAGGCTTCAACTCGTGGAAAGTTGAATTGGCGCATTCACGTTGAGGAGTTCGTACGTGTACAGTGTGAACAATGATCGATATTAATGCAAAGACATCTCTCTCTCTCGCTCTCTCTCTCTCTCTCTCATCTTAAAGTTGCACATATCTCAGCAACCTCGGCCTTGACAGAACAACACCAAATTGACTGATGCATCCATCAGAATCACTGACCTCATTTCTCTCATAGGGAAAGAAATACAAAAGAAACCAATATGCAACAAAGAGAGAGAAATATCAGAACAAGAGAGGAGAAACCAAGTCATCTTTCCTATATATACACACATAATAAACTTGTCCACCCTAACCAATACAAAACAGAGCCCCATTGATTATTTTGAGTGTTATAGATTTCCTCTTTACTTTTGCAACAGTGATCTCTTTTTCTTCTATATATGTAGTGACCTTTTAGCACTTTCTCCTATCCTTCAACCCCTTCTCTCCAATCCCGTGAAAGTTAACAACAAACCATCCAATTCATCAGGTGACTTTTATCAGCCCAAACCTTTCTTGTTCTCCCAATTGAAATCGATCCCTTCTTAAAATAAAAACCCACCTGAGATTTTCCATCTTTATGTTCACATCATCCTAAACTTTCTCCAAACATAACCATACCAACCTTCCTCTCTTGGTGAACCAAAAACGAATTTCCACTTTTCTACATTTGAAAAAAGCAAGCATGCACGTAAGCCTTTATTTCCACAATTAGCTCACGCTTCAACTCCCTCCATTTCTTCGTTTCAACTCCACTGAATAAGTACTACAATCTAGGCCAAATTTACTTGCAAGCCCTTGTCATCATACACAAAAAGATGGAAGCTTTTCATCCCACTATCACCTTTCCCTTCTCCAACACCTTCAATACTACTAGTAGGGGACATGGTGGCATTGCTGAAAATATCAACACATCCAGTCCTAGTCCATGGATGAATAGTAGGATATGGAGTAAGCTCCCACACCGGCTGCTTGACCGTGTCATCGCCTTTCTTCCACCACCGGCCTTTTTTCGAGCTCGATGTGTCTGCAAGAGATGGTATGCTCTGTTGTTCTCCAACGCCTTTCTTGAATTGAACCTCCAAGTATGTCCTCGCCGCCATTGGTTCCTCTTCTTCAAGCACAAACGCCTCAAGAGCAGCTACATATACAGGAACAACAATATTGGAGGAAGCCATGGTGACAACAACAGGGCTGGTACTGATTGTGAAGGGTATCTTTTTGATCCTTATGAACTTGCATGGTACCGCCTTTCCTTTGCTCTGCTTCCCTCTGGGTTCTCCCCCGCTTCTTCGTCAGGTGGTTTAATCTGTTGGGTTTCTGATGAGGCTGGTCCGAAGACTCTAATTCTGTGCAACCCAATTGTTGGTTCTCTGACTCAATTGCCTCCAACTCTAAGATCAAGGCTCTTCCCTTCCATAGGCTTAAGTGTTAGCCCTTCATCCATTGATGTCACTGTTGCTGGAGATGACTTGATTTCTCCATATGCTGTGAAAAACTTGACTGCAGAGAGCTTTCATATTGATGGAGGTGGGTTCTTTTCATTATGGGGCACCAATTCTTCTCTACCAAAGGTCTGCAATTTTAAATCAGGTCAAATGGTTCATGTTCAGGGAAAATTCTACTGCATGAACTATAGCCCTTTCAGTGTGTTGGCTTATGATGTGGCAGCAAATAACTGGTGGGAGATTAAGGCTCCCATGAAAAGGCATCTGAGGTCTCCAACCTTGGTGGAGAGCAGGGGAAAGCTGCTGCTAGTTGCTGCAGCTGATAAGAGTAAGCTCAAAGTGCCAAACAGCCTGAGGCTTTGGGGCTTGCAGGCTTGTGGAACAACATGGATTGAGATGGAAAGAATGCCACGGCAGCTTTATGTTCAATTTGCAGAGCTGGAAAATGGAAATGGGTTTCATTGTGTTGTCCATGGAGAGTTCCTTACCATAATGATCCCAGGTTCTGACAAGGCTTTGCTGTTTGATATGTGCAGGAAAAGGTGGCAATGGATCCCTCCATGCCCTTATGTTCATGCTGGGATAGTTGGTGATTTGCATGGTTTGGCTTATGAGCCCCAACTTGCCACACCAGTCACAGGGCTTCTTGATCCATTTCAGCCTTTCACTGGTTAGGAGATTTCGTTTTGGCATGTGATGTTGGTGTTTAGCAGTAGGAGAAGCAGTGGTTGTGATGATAGGGGAAATAGTTGTTTAGTCCAGTTTAGTCAGGAGCTACTTGTCAGAACTTTTAAGTGATATTTGATGTCTTTTGTCAATCTCCTCTCTGGTCTGGTGTATCACATGAGGAGATAGTTCGCATGCATGACTAATATAATAATATTCCCTGGAATAAACTACAAGACTGAAGCATAAGTATGTTAAATCAGTTGGCTAGGGCAGTAAGCTCGCCCAATAAGTTTAGTCAGCCCTACTGCACATCTTAATGTTGCAGTTAAAAAACATTTGTTAGTATAGTGTTTGCCTGCCAAGTTGTGGAAGAGGTTCTAAGTTTAAATTTTCCCTTCCCCATTGTATTTGCCTCGCTCGACTTTTAATCCGAGCCTTCAGTACAAGTTCTAATGGTTATCTTAAATCTCCGAGTTTAGACCCCAAATCATACAAGAGAGACCTTGAATTTGTATTACACGGCTCAAATTAAACAGTGAAGCAATGCCAAGACAGAGAATCCATTTCGATACTTACCAAGGGCGTAAAACATTTGAATCAATTCGCATATTAACACGGGTGGAATTTGTGTAAGAAGTAAAATAATGATTCCAATATGTCCTAATTACTTAAAGTGCCCAAGATCAAAGGGTGAAGTACATCAATAAGTTCGCAGTAAAAATAACCTAAAACAAATGTCTTCTTTTGTCAAAATTTTGATCAAATAGTCAAATGTTGTGAAAGTTACAGCCCTTCTTTCCTACAAGAATCTTGCGTTGGCTTAATTTGGGAGTGATAAGATGCTGTTCAATCCGAAGAGAGCCATCTCGCAACTCCTTCCAGTCCGTCCAACCCATGGGATTTCCTAGAATAAGCAGAGATTGTCATTATTTAAGAATCGTTGAGCTGACAGAAATGATAGCCTCAAAGTAGATACAAAAGTCGCTGAATCTCTACCTGATGGACATGGTCTAACAGCCTTTCTCGGACAACTTCTAATGATATATTCTTCATTACTTCCTCAGTCATGATGAAAGGATCTTCCGCCCAAGATCTTTTAACAGCCTAAACATAAAAACCCACAGAAGAACTGAAATGCGGGATCTAGTACACAGCGTAACATTAGCTAGAAAGATAAGCAGATTCATGAAAATAAGTTAGTTTAGAATACTTTTTCAAACCAAAACTTGAAAACAGAAGGAGGTGCACAAAGATTAGCAATCCAATTATAATTTCAATACGCAAACCTTATTGGGTTCCCAAAAGACATTATTGCTTCTTACACTGATTAGAAGGACCAACTTATTAATAAAAACTATTCATCTACAAAAAAAGAGAGCCCAACGCATGAGGCCACCATCATTACGGGGTTCAGGATGGGTTAAATGGAACAAGAACAACCTTATCCTTGTACCCAAGGCTCACTCTCATAAATAAAAAATTATATGTTAAAAACTATTTAAAAAAGAAAAAAAACTCAGACTAAAAATTATAATAGTCTTTCAAATTTCTGACCAGATATTATTCATACATAAAACTCTCTTTTGTATTGGGTGTGCTTCTGCTCCCACACGCTTGATTAATCCTATAACCCTTGCATCAGGTCTACATAGATGGAAATGAAAAAAACCAGGTGATCAGGGACCAAATAATATTGGAAGAGAGAGAGAGAGAGAGAGAGAGGAGAGAGAGAGAGAGAGAGAGAGAGAGAGAGAGAGAGAGAGGTGAAAATTTGCCTAAATGGAACCTGGCTGTCATATGTATCTAGGTCTGATGCTTATGTTCATTTCATGCATTAGCGCTATCAGACTTAGGAACTATTATAAAACAAGCCCATATAATAGCTTGATGAGATAGGTTGTGGAGCCAAATGGTGGGAAATATTGTTCGAAGGAAAATGAAGAATAAAGCTTATGGAATATCAAATGGAATGGAACACTAACCTGGTAAGATGCCTATGGACGTCGAAAATAACTATGAGCTAGCTATATGAAGAGAGAGGGCTTCATCTTTTGAACCATGGTAAATCCGACAATGAAGAGAGAGCTTTCAAGCCACAATAAGTGAATAAATGAAGCGTAATTTCAAATCTGAACAACTTTAAGCAAATGCTGCATTGGATTTCTTTATTGAACTTTTTTCTTTCTTACTTAATTAAGAAGTGATTTTCAGATTTCTGTTTCTTCAATTTTGAGTTTTACTTGTGTCATATGAAGTGAAAACTGATTTAACGAACTAATAAGTATGCCATGCAAGAGCCTAGAAAACCTCAAGCAGCAGAACATATAGATGTGAACCGTGTGTGTGTGTATATATATATATATATCTCTCTCTCTCACACAGAACTATCACCACAACAAGATTAGACATGAGTGGAGCTATCTGACGCAGTAATTAATCAACTTTTGAAAGTCTACAGACAAAGAAAAACGTATTTAATTCACAAAAGCTTTGTTTTTTTACTGGTTTTTTGGGTTTCCTCTAAGAATAGTTTGAAGTCAATAATTCAATACCGAAAGGAAACCTACTCTCACTATGATTTCCATCTAGAACGTCTCTAAATGGAAATATTTTTTGAAGTACCATACCTGTTTGCTTGAAGGTAAATATTTGTATGTCTCTTCCCTAAAGAGGGTAAAGTAACAGTTAAAGCTCCATGAAAATTTGGGCAAGTCAAAGTTGCCAAAACCAAATAATGAGAAATGAAATCTCTGAAGCAACTAGAGGAGGAACTGAGGCCAAACTAGCTAGCTAGCCAAAGGAAGAAACTTTGAAAAGAAACAAAAAGAAATGAGAGAGAGAGAGAGAAGTAGGTGGTACTATAGCTACTGGGTTGCTTGAAGGGAAAACACAATTTCCAAATATGTGGAGTACACTTTTTTCTAATATAGAAGTTTCTTGAGGGAAGAAATAAATTTCCAAATATGATTATCACTACTTTTTCCATTTTAGAAGCATGAACTCTGAGACAAATGATAATACTTAAAGATTGACAGAAACAAGACATGGTGATTGTTCTGACTTAGATTTGCTTCCCTTAACAAAACCAAACAAAAGCCAAGAGGCTTACATAAAGAGAATATTATGACTCAAAGAAAGTAGTCAGAAAGAGCAGATTACACAGCTTCTTTACACAGAAAGTGCATTGTAATTATAACATTATTTGAAGATCTCATCAAGTCTGAAACTTCAAGCCTCGGGGGTCTTCAAAATAAAGTTTTTCGTTGTTCACGCCATGTACAACTGCAAAAACCCATCAATGAGATTGGATTGGACATATGATCTGACAAAGTCTTTGTGTCATACACCACCTGCATTAGGGTTGCATGATCCCTCTTGCACTAAGTCAAACATTAGTAATAATACCAACTTATTCAAATAATGTTAATATAATTACTCGATTAGGTTTCCTTAAAAGTGAGGGTTATATTTCAATAATTGTTAACATTGGAAAACCGGATAATTTGAACTTGAGATCCATTGTAATGTTGAGAAGAAAGAAATAAATTAGATTAAGAGTTTGATGGTCTTACCTTCTTGGGTTATTAAACATGGCAAGATTTAGATGAGATTGTAATTTGTAGTTCACGTGTTAGTTCCAAGGTCTATGCCTTATTAAGTTACCTAATAAAATACATAAATCTCATCTTACCTTGTTGACTCTAAGATCCAAAATTCATAAATCTCATCTTATTAAGTTACCTAATAAAATACTTTTAGTGATCTTAAATATCATCTCTTAGGTCATCTCCAACAATGGGCCATATCCCAAATATAACTCTAAAATAATGCAAAACTCATCTTCAGCCATGAGCTAAACAAAATTTTTGCCAAATTTGGAGGGCCACATTTAGCCCTTTAGCCCTCCAACCGGGCTAAATGTAGCCCAGCTTTGGCCTAGGCCAAATTTGTAGTGGGGCCCATGATCCATCTATGTGCTTTTCAACCGCCAACATTGATATATATAGATTTTTAAAAGCCTTTTGAATGTTTCAATTCGTAGTGTTTAAGAAAAAAGTCCAAAAAATTGTTGGCAATGATGTTGGAGGTCAGACCTACCCAGTCCTTCTTTTAAAAATAAATAAATAAATAATAAATGTTGTCATCTTTTCTAATCTTTTCAAGTGTTGTTTAAAAACAATTATAAAAAAGTATTGTTCATGACCATTGGAGCTCAAACATTTGAAACCCATTCTTTTTTTTTTGTCTTCACATTTTTAAATGTTTGGTATTGTTTAAAAAAATTATAAAAATTCTGGGTCATGACCGTTGAAGGTCAGATCCTTGAAACCTTTCCAATTTATTTTTTTTTAATTGCCTTTATTGGCATTTTTTTTTTTAACATACTAGTTTAATTAAATTAAACAATATATGGTTGCGGAATGTATGAGTGTTGTACCATAGTTTTTCTCAAAATAATAAAATATGAAGGACCCTAAAATATAGACATGCATGGCTGGAGATGGAAAAATTTAGCCATGCACTATTCTTTAAAAAATTAATATTTTGGGAGCCTAAATTTTTAACTATGAACTACATTTAGCCATACGACTGGAGATGGCCTTAGACTTCCCTGATCCAAAGTCTAAAGACTCTAAACTCCTTTCCATTCAATGACACTACACTGCCAAGAAACAAACACCAGATAGAATATATTTCTTCTTTAATGATTTTCCATCTGCTTACTGCCACATATAAATTATTCATGGTGCATGCTTGTCCGATCCATTCATGAGGCTTCAACTCGTGGAAAGTTGAACTGGTGCATTCACGTTGAGGAGTTCGTACGTGTACAGTGTGAACAATGATCGATATTAATGCAAAGACATCTCTCTCTCTCTCTCCCTCTCTCATCTTAAAGTTGCACATATCTTAGCAACCTCGGCCTTGACAGAACAACACCAAATTGACTGATGCATCCATCAGAATCACTGCCTTCATTTCTCTCATAGGGAAAGAAATACAAAAGAAACCAATATGCAACAAAGAGAGAGAAATATCAGAACAAGAGAGGGGAGACCAAGTCATCTTTCCTATATATACACACATAATAAACTTGTCCACCCTAACCAAAGCAAACCAGAGCCCCATTTGATTATTTTGAGTGTTCTAGATTTCCTCTTTACTTTTGCAACAGTGATATCTTTTTCTTCTATATATGTAGTGACCTTTTAGCACTTTCTCCTATCCTTCAACCCCTTCTCTCCAATCCCATGAAAGTTAACAACAAACCATCCAATTCATCAGGTGACTTTTATCAGCCCAAACCTTTCTTGTTCTCCCATTGCAAATGGATCCCTTCTTAAAATAAAAACCCACCTGAGATTTTCCATCCTTATGTTCACATCATCCTGAACTTTCTCCAAACATAACCATACCAACCTTCCACTCTTGGTGAACCAAAAACGAATTTCCACTTTTCTACATTTGAAAAAAGCAAGCATGCACGTAAGCCTTTATTTCCACAATTAGCTCACGATTCAACTCCCTCCATTTCTTCGTTTCAACTCCACTGAATAAGTACTACAATCTAGGCCAAATTTACTTGCAAGCCCTTGTCATCATACACAAAAAGATGGAAGCTTTTCATCCTACTATCACCTTTCCCTTCTCCAACACCTTTAATACTACTAGTAGTGGACATGGTGGCATTGCTGAAAATATCAACACATCCAGTCCTAGTCCATGGATGAGTAGTAGGATATGGAGTAAGCTCCCACACCGGCTGCTCGACCGTGTCATCGCCTTTCTTCCACCACCGGCCTTTTTTCGAGCTCGATGTGTCTGCAAGAGATGGTATGCTCTGTTGTTCTCCAACGCCTTTCTTGAATTGTACCTCCAAGTATCTCCTCGCCGTCATTGGTTCCTCTTCTTCAAGCACAAACGCCTCAAGAGCAGCTACATATACAGGAACAACAATATTGGAGGAAGCCATGTTGACAACAACAGGGCTGGTACTGATTGTGAAGGGTATCTTTTTGATCCTTATGAACTTGCATGGTACCGCCTTTCCTTTGCTCTGCTTCCCTCTGGGTTCTCCCCTGCTTCTTCGTCAGGTGGTTTAATCTGTTGGGTTTCTGATGAGGCTGGTCCGAAGACTCTAATTCTGTGCAACCCAATTGTTGGTTCTCTGACTCAATTGCCTCCAACTCTAAGATCAAGGTTCTTCCCTTCCATAGGCTTAAGTGTTAGCCCTTCATCCATTGATGTCACTGTTGCTGGAGATGACTTGATTTCTCCATATGCTGTGAAAAACTTGACTGCAGAGAGCTTTCATATTGATGGAGGTGGGTTCTTTTCATTATGGGGCACCAATTCTTCTCTACCAAAGGTCTGCAATTTTGAATCAGGTCAAATGGTTCATGTTCAGGGAAAATTCTACTGCATGAACTATAGCCCTTTCAGTGTGTCGGCTTATGATGTGGCAGCAAATAACTGGTGGGAGATTAAGGCTCCCATGAAAAGGCATCTGAGGTCTCCAACCTTGGTGGAGAGCAAGGGAAAGCTGCTGCTGGTTTCTGCAGTTGATAAGAGTAGCCTCAATGTGCCAAAAAGCCTGAGGCTTTGGGGCTTGCAGGCTTGTGGAACAACATGGATTGAGATGGAAAGAATGCCACAACAGCTTTATGTTCAATTTTCAGAGCTGGAAAATGGAAATGGGTTTCATTGTGTTGTCCATGGAGAGTTCCTTACCATAATGATCCTAGGTTCTGACAAGGCTTTGCTGTTTGATATGTGCAGGAAAAGGTGGCAATGGATCCCTCCATGCCCTTATGTTCATGCTGGGATAGATGGTGATTTGCATGGTTTTGCTTATGAGCCCCAACTTGCCACACCAGTCACAGGGCTTCTTGATCCATTTCAGCCTTTCACTGGTTAGGAGATTTCGTTTTGGCATGCGATGTTGGTGTTTAGCAGTAAGAGAAGCAGTGGTTGTGATGATAAGGGAATAGTTGTTTAGTCCAGTTTAGTCAGGAGACACTTGTCAGAACTTTTAAGTGATATGTGATGTCTTTTGTCAATCTCCTCTCTCTGGTCACATGAGGAGATAGTTCGCATGCATGACTGATATAATAATATTCCCTGGAATTAACTACAAGACTGAAGCATATGCAGGTTAAATCAGTTGGTTAGTATGGTGTTTGCCCTTAAGTACAAATTCTAATGGTTATCTTAAATCTCTGAGTTTAGACCCCAAATCATACAAGAGAGAAACCTTGAATTTGTATTACACGGCCCAAATTAAAAAGGGAAGCAATGCCAAGACAGAATCCATTTCAATACTTACCAAGGGCGTAAAACATTTGAATCAATTCGCATCTTAACACAGGTGGAATTTACAGTGACACAAGCAAAGTCACATTCATAAATGACTTCTGAACAATCAGAGATATGGGTCCTTTTAACAGTCTACTAAAGGGCGTATAGATTCAAATAAAATCAAATGAAACAACCCTGGTTAAGCGTTCATATGTTGCTACACATAAACACATCTTTAGGGGGAAAAACAAAAGATTAGTATAAAGAGAAAAGAATTCCATATCAAGACAGTGTACATTCTCAAAGATTTCCGGACATTAGTGTTTGCCTGCCAAGTTGGGGTCTTCAAATTATTTGTCACCCGCTTCAATCCCCAAACTAAAGCTGATAAATTTCGGCCATTGAAAGCTCAGAACTAGATGGATGGCCATCATAAATTTCATGAGTCAAGGAGAATAGAGTAAAGATAGGCCTGAGAAGCTTCCTTATGTACATTTCAAAATAGTGTGGATGAAATGTCGCAATTTTTGACATTCATCTCTCTATTCACTAAACATGTCGCAAGTCCAACCTTACAAATAAGGTGCACTTCCATCTTGTGATGGATCATAGCTCAACCTACCTTCGTTTTCAAGACAGTGGCATGAAAAGGTGCCCTTCTTGGCATTCAACTCAACTTGCTAATGTGTCATTTAAGTCTAACCTGGAGAATGAGGTGGACATCCCTCTTGAAGATGGACCTTAGCTCCTCATTAGCTTCCATGCCAATTCTCCTGTTTCAAAAGAATGTATTTCAGACTAATTTGTGTAAGAAGTAAAATATTGATTCCAATATGTTCTAATTACTTGAAGTGCCCAAGTAGCTAGGATACAACTCTAAGAAAAAGGTGACGTGCATCAATAAGTTCCCAGTAAAAATAACCTAAAACAAATGTCTTATTTTTGTTAAAATTATGAACAAATAGTCAAATGATGTGAAAGTTACAGAAGAGCAAAACAAATGCTGGAACAAGGACTTCAGTATTTACCCTATTTTACAGCCCTTCTTTCCTACAAGAATCTTGCGTTGACTTAATTTGGGAGTGATAAGATGCTGTTCAATCCGAAGAGAGCCATCTCGCAACTCCTTCCAGTCCATCAACCGATGTTCAATACCGTATGGGATTTCCTAGAATAAGCAGAGATTGTCATTATTTAAGATTCTTAAATTATTTTGAGACCGTGGAGAGAATCGTTGAGCAGACAGAAATGATATCCTCAAAGCACATAAAAAAGACACTATCTCTACCTGATGGACATGGTCTAACAACCTTTCTCGGACAACTTCTAATGATATATTCTTCATTACTTCCTCAGTCAGGATGAATGGATCTTCCTCCCAAGATCTTTTGACAGCCTAAACATAAAAACCCACAGAAGAACTGAGATGTGGGATCTAGTACACAGCATAACATTAGCTAGAAAGATAAGCAGATTCATGAAAAGAAGTTAGTTTAGGTGCTTTACTCCATCAAGATAAATTTTAGAATACTTTTTCAAACCAAAACTTGAAAACAGAAGGAGGTGCACAAAGATTAGCAATCCAATTATAATTTCAATAAGCAAACCTTACTGGGTTCCCAAAAGAAATAATTGCTTCTTACATTGATTAGAAGACCAACTTATTAATAAAAACAATTAATCTACAAAAAAAAAGAAAAAAAAAAAGAGAGCCCAATGCATGAGGCCACCATCATTACAGGGTCCAGGATGGGTTAAATGGAACAAGAACAACCTTATCCTTGTACCCAAGGCTCACTCTCATAAATAAAAAATTATATGTTAAAAACTGTTTTTTTTTTTATAAAAAAAAAAAACTCAAACTAAAAATTGTAATAGTCTTTCAAATTTCTGACCAGATATTAAGTGAGAGAAAGAGCAGCAATGTAGAATATGACATTTAGCAAACAATACATTTTAAAAAGGCTATTGTAATAGAATTCTTTTTGACATTCCATAGGAAATGATCGCAATGAAGGCATTACTAAAAAGTATACATGCCTGATCCATCAAGTATTGAATTGTAATAGTCTTTCAAATTTCTGATCAAATATTAAGTGAGAGAAAGAGCAGCATTGTAGAATATGACATTTAGCAAACAATAAATTTTAAAAAGGCTATTGTAATAGAATTCTTTTTTACGTTCCATAGGAAATTATCGCAATGAAGGCATTACTAAAAAGTACACATGCCTGATCCATCAAGTATTGAGTAAGATCTTTCACTCCAGATCCCTTTAGACCGGAAATCATGAAATGCCTACAAGATTAAAGCAATAAACAGATGGTCAGATGTACTCTTAAGAACCATGGGTTCCAAGAAAACAACAAACACAATCTCTCATTTTCTACAAGGAAACCTTACCTTTCATACCCAGGAAGATCTTTGAATTGCTCGGCAACCGTTAACAAATCTTTCTTCTTCTCAACTAAATCAACCTTATTCATACATAAAACTCTCTTTTGTATTGGGTGTGCTAATGCTCCCATACGCTTGATTAATCCTATAACCCTTGCATCAGGCCTACATAGATGGAAATGAAAGGAACCAGGTGATCAGGAACCAAATAATTTTTGGAGAGAGAGAGAGAGAGAGATGAAAATTTGCCCAGCTTCCATATGTCTCTAGGTCTGATGCTTATGTGTGTGTGTGTGTGTGTGTGAGAGAGAGAGAGAGAGAGAGAGAGAGAGAGAGGTGAAAATTTGCCCAGCTGCCATATGTATCTAGGTCTGATGCTTATGTGAGAGAGAGAGAGAGAGAAAGGGGTGAAAATTTACCTAAATGGAACCTGGCTGTCATATGTATCTAGGTCTGATGCTTATGTTTATTTCATGCATTAGCGCTATCACACTAATGAACTATTATAAAACAAGCCTATATAATAGCTGGCTAAGATAGGTTTTGGAGCCAAACGGTGGGAAATATTGTTCGAAGGAAAATGAATAATAAAGTTTACGGAATATCAAATGGAATGGACCACTAACCTGGTAAGATGCCTATGGACGTCGAAAATAACTATGAGCACATCATATAAATTAACTGAGCTCCAAGCACTTTCTACACGAACCTTGAAATCCTTGTAAGGGCATCCTCTGTTACTTAATGTAAGTCCTGGAGTATCAAAGAAACACTGTATACGCATAATAGATGAAGGCAGTCAATCAAATGGCCCAAAATGTGGAAAAACAACTATAAGACATTTCATAAGCTTCAATTTATGTGCTCTTCCGTCAGTGAGGAAAAAGAAAAAGCATGTCTACATGTTTTGAGGCACTAAGAAGAAAATTAATTGAATGCATTTTTACAAGAGAGGTTGTTATTGCTGATGAGAATACTATTCAGATCATCACGCTAGTAATATAAACAACAAACTGCGACGCATTTTAAAAGACTATAAAGGTTATTTAAACAAGATGCATGGGATAAGAATTTATATTGCATGCTTCCATGCTAGATTTTATGATTAAATATTTACAGTACCTTCATTACAAAGCTGGAAAAATAGTTGGGCATTGATAGGGATAGATATGATGTTCTGATATTTACATGATTTACAGTCTAATAACTATAACGTCACTGGTTTTATCTCAAAAGATGGGGTATCTATCAAAACTTTAATCAACACATAAAATTTAAAAACAGTAACCTTGACAAATCAAATAGTCAAAAGTGAAATGCGCTTTAAAAGAGAAAAAAAAAATAGAATAACAAGTGCAAGATAAGTTATTTGCTCCATGAGAATAATGTATCAAAAAAATCTCATCACAAGACAGAAATAAGTGTCACAAGCTCATCAGGTTGTCTTTTTTGTGTAATAATGTCATATTTGAACTGGGATAAAGAAATCAATTGCATATGGAAATTCAATTGATGGTGAATAACTTTCATAACACGTTAGGGCATAAAGTAACATTCACCAGAAAATTTTCCTACAGAAATAGGTCGATTATTAACTAAAAACAAGATACATACAATTTGTGTGTCTCCTTTTGTCATCACTCCTAATACTTCATGAGTAGTGGTGTTCGTCTTCCGTGACACAGCAGCAACCTTAGTCCCAACCTATAAAAAATGCAGAGGACGTCATCAGAAAGGTTCTGGTTATAATAAAATCCAGTAAAGGTATAAAATGATGTTAGATTCATGTTCTAGTAAACTTTATTCAAGATAGTACCGCAAATCATTTTAAATCCTACAGAGTACATCAAAGAATCAAGGTTAAGAACAAAGGATAATCTCCCAAGCTTATATGTATATCCCAGATGGGAGTATAAAAAGATTTTTTATTTGTTTCCCTCCAAAATATAACATTTTGGATTTAAGAGAAATGTTATGCACAGGACAGGTTCGGACTCAATACTGGTGTCTGACACTCAAGACTCCTAAGAAGAACTCACCTTTGTTTACCTGGAAACGAGTTCAGAGCCATTGACATGTTAAGCCTTCTGTCAAGAAGCTCAAACATGCTTTAACCTTAGCAACTATTTTGATATCTATACGACCAAAGTCCAGTAATCATGGGAAAATTATGCAGAATACGGTACCTGTGTTCTTCATCTAATGCCATGTAATATACCCATAACACAACAGAGTAACATAGAAGAACCAATGTTATCTGTCCATAAAATATAAACTATGACCAATTAGGCAAATGAAATAATACATAACGCCAAAATTACCAAAAGTCTCCAACACTTCATTATACTCATGCTACAGAACTTGTGTATACCCTACTGAAATTCCCATAACCAACTCATCAAGAAACGGTTAATCAAATTAAAGACTACTTAATACCAAAACCAAAAAACAGCTTCAGGACAAAAACTACGAAAGCCAATTAACCGCAGTACCTTCATCACTCAATACAATCATTCAATAATTCACCAAGAACAACATTAAATTAAACACCTTTAAACGATAAAGGCAAAGAACAAACCATATAATTCGTCAGTGCAGACTTTCCGGCATTCGGGGCACCAATTATCCCAACCGACAACGCCTTCTGGTCCTCCTCCTTGACCACTTCCTCCTCATCCTCCTCATTCTCGTCGTCTGAGGGCAAACATACCGCCGCCTCAAGAAGCTTCTTTGCGAGCGAGCTGTTCTTAAATATCAAATCATCAGGTTTTTTCTTTTGGTCAATCAATTCATCAGCTTTTGATCTGTATTTGGTGTTCCAAGTGAGCTTCTGAGGGATTTTCGGCTTAGAATCTGAACTAATGGTTGGTATGTCGTAATGGGTACTGTCAAAGACTGAGTCTGAACCATTTTCAGAGTCTGAGAGGGATGGGGTATGACTGGAATCGTCTTCTTGAGGTTGAGCTGCGTAGAACCTGTGAAAGAAGATTGGGTTTAATGGGGTTTTTCTGGGTTTCGAAGAGAGAGTTCTCAGAGCTCTTAAAGCTTTCATTCTCAGCTGCTAGATACGAAGCATGAAGAGAGAGAGAGAGAGAGACAGAGAGAGAAAGAGAGATATCTGGGTGGGCACTTGGGGTTTTAGGGGTTTAGAATGTTGGCTTCACTCGCGGAACATTGACTTCCTCACGCACACAAAGATTCCAATTATAATTGTATTTGATTTATTTTAATTTTTGATTTATTACTGTAAATAGAAATAGAAATTGATTATTTACTTGGCCACTAAGACTCTGTTGTATTATGAATATGACCTCCTATAAAGAGAGGAATATATAGAAAATTCCCACAAACAAATATTCTCATATTAGATTTCATATTTTAACGTGGTATCAGAGCGACGATCTTGGAATTGATGACTCTAGTTTCAAATCACTTCCGCCGCTATGGAGGTTGATGATTTTTTCAACCCTCATGGAGCTAGCACTACCGACTCCTTCTCTCATTCTCAACCAATCATAGCCGAGTTGAGTGCCTAGGTGCCTTAGCTCCTACAGATGCAGACTTCGATCCCGAACCTGATCATGAATCAGGATCTTATTTTGACGACCCCGACCCCGACTACGACTACGACAACCTCAACCTCAACCCCGAATATGTCTTTGATTTAGACTAGATCCCAACTTCAACTCCGACTCCAACCCCGACTCAGGCTTAGATCCTGATCCGAATTCCTACTAAACCTATATCTTATGCATCTTCTGCTGCACAGATTATGACTTACCGACTAACGACTTCGACACATGGATGAGATTGCACATATTGTGGTGATCCGAGACACACTTGTGAGACTTATTTTAAATTGAATGACTACCCCGAATAGTAGGCTACTCTTAAAAATCGAACACAACACAATACTACTAATGATGGTACTGGTTATTGATTCCATACTTCACATAAGAGTGATTCCACGAGCTAGATAATTGATTCCGGTGCAACTGATCATATGATGTTTGACCTTGATAATTTTCTAGATACTACACAACCCCGACGAACTTGTATTTAACGCCAATGGAGTTACTTATCCTGTGACATGGGCTGGCATTGTTGCACTCTCATCCTCTATTTCTCACTATCTAATACTCTAGTTGTTCCATCTTTATCTAATAAATTGATGTCCGTTAGTCAGCTTATTGAAAAATTGAATTGTTATGTACTCATTTATATAGATGACTTTAGTCCCGGCATGGCTAACAGTGTGACACATTCCTGTGATAGTAAACAAAATCAAATCTGGTTGTGGCACCGTCAATTGGGACATCCGTCTTTTAGTTATATGAAGCATTTTACACCAAATTTATTCTCAGGTTTCAAGGACTCCGACTTCACATGTGACACTTGTATTTTGACCAAGAGTCACCGTATGCCCTATTCGTTGAGTACGAACAAGTGTACTACTCCGTTTACATTATCTTATATCTGGGGATCTTCACCTATCACTGCTCCTTCTAGCGTTCGGTGGTTTGTCACATTCGTAGATAATTGTACATGGATGACATGACTTTATTTGCTGAAGAATGAAAACGAAGTGTTTTCCTATTTTCACTTCTTCCACAAACAAATGAAAGCTCAATTCAATGCTCAAATACAGATTCTTCACTCAGACAATGATAGAGAATTTGTTAATCATGACTTTCATGTTTACTTCCAACAACATGGAATTATCTATGACATGACTTGTCCTCGGACACCACAACAAAATGGTGTTGCTAAACGAAAGAATCGACATCTTCTTAAAACTGCTCGACCACTTCTGATTGGCGCTCATGTTCCTAGCCATCACTGAGATGATGTTATTTTCACTGATGTTCACCTGATAAACCACATGCCTTCTAGTGTATTGACCTTTAAAACTCTCTTACAAGTGCTTACGCAACACATGCCCCTGCCCTCTGTTTTAGTACTCACACCATTTTTGGATGTGTGACCTTTGTTCATCTCCACAAAAATTATCGTAGCAAACTTGATCCTTGTGCAATTCGTTGTGTTTTTGTGGGTTATGTCACTCATTAGAAAGGCTACCGTTGTCATCACCCTTCTCCCCAACGTACATATATCACTTTGGATGTGACTTATCTGGAATCTGAGATGTTCTTTCATGACCCATCATCCAATTATATGTTTCGGAGGGAGATACGAAGTGAAAAGCAGAATTGGAGCAACTTGGAAAACAAAGAAATTTTCCTCTATACAGAAACAATCGATCGTCCAAACCCGACGATTGATCATCTCGAGTCTGGAGCACGAGATTGCTTTTTGCCTAAAAGCGATCAATCGCTAGACCCGTCTAACCCCAGTGAAGATGTTTATGATCCGAGTCCTACACCTATAGACAATACAGAACAACGGGATGCAGACCCCCCCTCTAACTTAATAATACCAATGGATCAATCTCTTGAGAATATCCTTGAGGTAACTATTCCTACTACACTTGTGAATTTAGAGGATAAATCTATTGGATACTAATTACCTTTCAGGCATAATTGTGGGAAGCCACTAAACCATTATTCACATGATATTGACAAGACATCAAAATATCCAATTGTGAATCATGTATCCACTGAGAAGCTGTTTGAACCACTCAAGACCGTTGTGCATCAGTTGTCTGTTCCCAACCAAGGTTGCTGAAGCATTGAAAGATCCTAAGTGGGTTCAAGCTATAAACGAATAGATGAAAGCTCTTGAGAAGAATCAGACTTGGACACTGGAAACTTTATCACAAGGAAAAAAGACTATCAAATGTAGATAGGTGTTTACCATAAAACATAACATTAATGGATCTATCGAGCAATACAAGGCAAGACTTGTTGCGAAAGGGTACACACAATCTTATGGTGTAGATTATGAAGAAACCTTTGCACTAGTTGTAAAATTGAACACAGTCAGTCTTATTGTCTCTCACAGTTAATTTGGACTGGCCACTACACCAGTTTGATGTAAAGAATGCTTTCCTACATGGAGAACTCATGGAAGAGGTATATATGGACATTCATCCTGGATATAATACTACTCAGACTAGAACAATATGCAAATTACGAAAGGCGTTGTATGGACTGAAACAGTCACCACATGCATGGTTTGGGCAGTTCACCATGACAATGAAGAACAATAGTTTCCGATAGTGTAACTTAAATCATACTATGTTCTTGAAACATCAGAATGGGAAGATAACAACTTTAATAATATATGTTGACGACATGATTATTATTGGGAATAATAAACATGAAATATCTCAACTACAAGACTATTTGGATACTGAATTTGAGATGAAGAATCTAGGTGGACTCAAATATTTCTTAGGGATTTAGGTGGCCTGATGACAACAAGACATATTTTTCGCTCAAAGAAAATATGTCTTGGACTTGTTGACAGACACAGGAATGCTAGATTGCAAATCTGTAGACACTCCTATTGTTCATAATCATAATCTTGGAGAATATCCGGATCAAGTTCCAACTAACAAAGAAAGATACCAAAGGTTAGTAGGAAGATTGATTTACTTGTCTCATACTCGACCTGACATTGCTTATGCGGTGAGCGTCGTTAGTCAATTTATGCATTCTCCGAGTGAAGACCACATGAATGCAGTTCTTCAAATACTTAGATATTTGAAGTCTGCACCCGGAAAAGGACTTATGTTCTCAAAACATGATCATTTGAATATTGATGGTTACACAGATGCGGATCGGGCAGGAAGTATAACAGATGGGAAATCCACATTCGGTTACTTCATATTCGTGGGAGGTAATTTGTTTACATAGAGGAGCAAGAAACATAAGGTGGTCACCTTATCCAGTGCAGAAGCCGAGTTCAGAGGAATGACCAAAGGAATTTGCAAACTCATTTGGTTATAGAGGTTGCTTACTGAACTTGGATATAGACCTACATTTGTAATGAATCTCTTTTGTGATAACAAGGCTATAATAGTTATTGCACATAATCCAGTCCAACATAATTGCACCAAATATGTTGAGGTAGATCGACACTATATCAAACAAAAGCTCGAAACTAAAGTGATTCAGTTTCCTTTCGTAAAGTCCGAGAATCAATTGACAGATATTTTGACAAAGACAATTTCTAGTAGACGTTCCACAATTCACTTGACCAGTTGGACATTGGCGACATCTATGCACCAACTTGAGGGGGAGTGTTGGCATGACTTGTGGACCATTGACTTTCTTTCCTTACACACTAAGGATTCTCATTATAATTATATTAGATTTACTTTAATTCATAATTTCCTACTGTAAGTAGAAATATGAATTTATTATTTACTTGGCTACTAAGGCTCCATTGTATTATAAATATAATCTACTACAAGGAGAAGAATATATAGAAAATTCCCACAAACAACTATTCTCATATTTTATTTCATAGTTTAGCATAACTGTCTGGTCTCTGTATCGCATTTTCCGAATACACGAAGAAGTTTTTTTTTCCCCATTTTATCAAACAATTTTTTTTCCTTCTATTTTTTTTTTCTTATTTTCCTTTATACTTTTGCTATTGCTAGCACCATGTAAATGCATTTTCAAGATATTAATAATTAGTTTTCTCTTAGGTATAAAAACTTTTGACAATGTGACATTCTAACCTACACTAATTTATTTATGTAAAGGAGAGACTCAAACTTGAGCGAAAGGAAATTGGCAGTATTTTGACTAACTAACCTAACTCACATGTGCGGTTCTCTAAAATAAAAATAAAAATAAAACCTTGACTTACAAGTGCAAAATTAAACCATGATAGGACGAGGAATGCATGAGTATAGTGTACTAGTGCTATTACCCAAGAATGGAAGGACATAGACTTAGTACACCATATGCAAAACAAATTCAACAAAAAGAGTATTTGAAACAAAGTTTCAAATGAAGAATAGGATCTAATTTGAGGCATTAGCTTGAGCACTAATCTTATGATTAGAACCATCTATATATGTTAAATTTTCTCTAAGCTTTGTCGAAGATCAATTAAACTGACCATAGGGAACCTTTGCACACAACCAATGTGTTATTATTGTGATGGGATTGCTGGCCATAGCTATAATATTTATCTAAAGTAGTACTTGAATGACGATTATACATCCAGGTGATGTTGGTAATTTACATATTATAATATGGTTGAACAACGAATTTCTATTTTCCATATTTTAGGAAGTGTAATATTCATATACAAAATACGTCATCACATTGATCGACTGCAACAACATGCGAAAGCAAATTTCTGCAAATTGTTGTAGCTCTGGGATTTGTAGATGGAGTAGTTGCTTCACAGTGCTCGTAAAAGAAAACAGTCCCAAAGCTCGACCAGTATTGGAGCGTGCTTGGATTCAAACCCTTCTCTTTTTTATTTTTTGAAATTTTCACTTGGGGCTAATTTGTTACAATAAGCAACATAATAGCATCATCATCAATAAACAACAATCCAGTTACTATTCACATGTGAAATATAGAACTAGTAAACTATTGAATCACTGGGGAAATGAAATAAAATCCTTCAAATGAACATCTCCTAAAAGGTTTACATCAAAATCTACGGAAGCAAGCAAAAGGGAAAATGGAAAAAAGAATATCATATCATAACTTAAAATAATTTTCCCTTCCACCTCACATTCTTGCAAAGAATACAACAGAAAGGTATGACTGGTTTTACTTGCAAGACAAACCAAAGAACCCGCCTTGCTCTTCAAATAAACTAGGCGAAATATGGACCACACATCAGCATGACATTCCAAGGTCCATACACTAGCACGGGATTCCAACAGTGCATACAATGCCATTGGCCCATCGCTGCTATTTGATCTAAAATGCCATCCGGCCAGCGAGCCGGCTCTCCAAAATCCTTCTGTCTATGGCTGCATCAATTGAACTCATCTGAAAAATAAAACAGCAACAAGATAATCAGAGAGGAACCGGGGGCATCATTCACTTGGTCAAGCAAGATAAGTAAATTGGTCCTATCCAAAGATACCAAACTTTGTGAAAGAAGCTGACCTGTGCCAAGTCTGGTTTCACTGTTCAATAATAAAGTAATGTTGCTACAATTAAACAAAAATCTGTTGGGCTTGATCTTGTTTCACTCAAAACCCCACGCCCCAAAAGAAAGCATAGGGAGAGTGAATAACAACAGATAAATCCAAATTTTAAAAGAACAAATACATAGATTCCGTACTTAACTGAGTACGATGCTAGGTAGAAGAATCCTTGAGCCCATTGCAGCAAGCTTGTCAAAATTGTAATTACTAACTAACAGCAAAAATAATGTAAATACCTACTTGAACCTTTTGATGCAGTTGCGTGGAAACCCGAGATATGGCAGTTTAAACAAAACAGCATGCCCATCAACCAAGGGTTGGAAAGCAGAAAGATGGAGGACTAAAAGGTTCACATGTTCTTTGCTAAAATTTTCTTTTCAAAAGAAAAAAGTTCAAATTCATACAGTATATGCCTCTCTAAACAGGAAACAATTGGTAAACAAGTCAAAAAAAACAAAATAAAACAAACACCAAAACCAAATAAAACCATAAAGCCTATCTGGTTTTAGAGCAATCCAACTCCGTAAAATAAAGAGGTAGTATGACTTACCTGGCTAGTTTCATCATGCACCTGATACTTCACTAAGGACATTCTTCTTTCCTCCTGCAAGTAAGTCAACTGAACCAGTTAGCCAAAACACTAACCAAAAAGAAACCTAATTAGCATTTTGTAAACTAGAAATGACTTACCATGGACATAGCCTCATCATCCCAAACCAGATACACCTCATTAGCTGCTGGCTGAGGAGCGGGAGCTTTGTTTGCAATTACAGGGGGTGGTCCAATTGATGGACCACCAGTATTTGGACCAGATGCATAAGAGTGTGAATTAATTAAGGTCCCACCTGTAGCAATTAAATGCAAGGGAGATATCAGGTTCACAAGCCTTGCAAACATGAAATCAACAATCCAAAGGCATCAACTAGGACAGGAGCTATATTTTTAGTAATGTGGGCAGGCTTCATTATTGTAAAGGGCAAACACATAAGGCTTATCATACCAAAACAACTAGTAGCTTAGTTGGTCAAGAAATAAAAACAATTATCAGGATCAATTGGGTGCAGAACCAGGAAGATAACAGACTGCCTTTGTAATATATAAAATACACATAAGCCTGCAAAGTACAAACTACGCTGTTGATAGCAAATCCAAATTTGAAGTTGATCAATTCCCAAAACAGTACTCTGTAGCATAATCTCAAAAGGTGACTTGAACCATAAATAACAAGAGAGAATTCCCAAAGCATCTATTACTTATTTTAAAGCATAGACAAGGGAAGGGCATAAAATTACCAACCACAAAAATTGACAAAATAGACAGTTATATACAATAGAATTTTAAATCATTCCAAAAAGAAATTTTTAAATCAAAGTACAGTTACCACCAACATATACAAAAAGGAGGGGATACCAGATAAATTACATCATCATGCCTACTTAAAACACCCATATTATGAGCTACAAGTTTCAATTTTGAAAATTTTGAAATACCAAATGGTTGAATTACTTGTAAAAAAACAAAAATTTACACACAAAAAACATATCCGAAAGACCATTTAAGCAAATAAAAAATAGGACATCAAATCTGAAATGCTTAGATAACTACTTGTTATGGAAGTTTTCGCACCTTGATGTGCATCTGTTGAGCCTTTAAGTTCAGCTGGAGAATTTGAGAGAATACTAGTTGAAGGCATAGGAGCTGAAAAGGGAGAACTTTGAGTTGGTACATTATTTATACCAACAACAGGAAACAGGGGTTGTGATACAGGAACAGGAGGCACGGATGTGGGAAGTCCAGGCGGAGTTATATGTGACGGCAGATGTGCAGGGGTTGATGATGGAGGGGGTGGCCTCACATTCTGCACAGGAAACAATGGCTGTGGCACATAACCCAATGAGGAAGGAGGAGGAATTGAGACTGCTGGAAGTTGTGGAAACCATGGCTGGGGACGTGGTTGCCAAGCATTTGGAGGCATTGGAACTGCAGGATTGTAACTGTTGCAAACAAAAACCAAAGAAACATACAGATAAGTTGGTTACATAGATGGTAATCATTATGTAACACAGAAAATATAGTTTTCAAATTTCACAAAGCTGGTGGCGGAGGATATGCAAGAAACCTCACAGAAAACATACATTGGCCGGATTGCACCCAAAGCTGGTTGGGGAGGATATCCAATCCCCATCGAACCGGGCACCATACCACCAACAAACTGGGTTGATGGGACGTCCACTTTAGCTACTTTTGATGGAGCGTCCTCATCTGCAAATAAATTAAGATATTTAGAAAAATACTTAACTTATATGATTGATGCTATAATTTCAAGAGGACATGAAATGAACAACACAAAATGATAGGTATTGTACACTTTTTGTTGGTTCGATTAGTCTTTAAGACAAACCATGACAAAACATTTCATACAGAATTCTTATGCACAGATTAGGACATCCGAATGAGTGTGTACTTGCATGAGTTTATACGTGGATGCATTCTCTTGCAATAAATTGGTTCAACCATTAAAACAGGAGAATTTCAACATGTTAAAAATTTCCAACTGGACCAAATACAATCATCAAAGCTTTTATACCCAAATAACTATTACATGGATGTTGCTATGAACATTCCAATAGATCATCTTAGTTAAAGCATTATACTATTCAAGAAAATTTGATTCAAATGGGTTGGTTTATGTATATTTGCATGTACCAGCACATCCAGGTGAAACTTTAATGTGAATCAAACCCAAAGAAGGCATAAAACAGTTGAATTTAATCATTTAAATACAATAAAAATTTAAACATCACCAAATATCAACTGGGATAACATAACCTAAACATAAAATAAGAAAATTCTCTGGATAAACATCGTATTTGTAAGGATCCTTTACCTTCCTCTCCATAATGTGCAGCCAAGACGTCAGGTGGGATTCCTTGCATCCCATATATTTCAATATCCGTCGACTCTCTTCCAGTCTTTGCATTGGGAACTCTGTTTTTCCAGTTTGATTATCAGTAAAGTGAAAAAAGAAAATCAGGGCAAGGAATTATATTGAGGCACAGTTCAAATATATTGAACAAATTGCAATGGCCATTTATAATAGCTCATTTAAATGATCAAGTGAAATAGTTTAATCACAAACAATGAGGATCTATAAGCATCTACGATAATGTTCTTATGTCTGAGTTAGAAAACTTGAAACCGGGTTTTTGAATATGGGTTGTTCTTTTGTATTAATGACAAATTGGTTAGAGTTCAAAAAGAAATGAATTAACATTTACTTTTTGAATACAGTAGACAAAGTTTGAGTTTATCATCAGCACATAGGTATGTGCACAAAGTTCCTCTTACAGTTATATGAGTAATAGGTTAATACAATACATTATCTTCCTGAGGTTCAGGGGCCCTCTCATTATTAAGAAGCTTGCCTCATATGTGAACGCATTGACATTTCAGTATATCCCAACAACATAAAAACCAATTTCTAGTAACAGCCACATCGTTTCCTGGAATCCAAATTCTACTAAACTTCCATCAAATACCTACAGCTTGAATTTGCTCGAAAATCAAGACAGCCTTTCAATGCCATTGACCATTAAACTTTTGCCCATGCAGCTAACATAAAAACTTTAATCTCAAATTATTTTTCCAGCAAAAGAATTCTTCACAAATCGTTTTTTTAATTAAAAAAAGTTGTTGTTTTATCTAAAGCCCATTAGAAAGATGCATTGACTGACAAAACTATAATTTTTTAAGGATGAAGATCATATTTTTACATAGCAAAAATAAAAACAATGAAGATCATAGTTCTATATAGCAAACATAAAACTGATCAATATCGTATTATCATATAGTAAAGTCAGCTATGAAAGAACGTAAAAATTAGGGTTCAGATAATTGGGGAAAGTATAGAAGGCAATACTTGGTGACGCTCTCTTTATGGACCTGGAGGACATGAATGGCCATGCCACCAGCGGTAGATAGCTTCTTGTGGCAGACATGGCACTTAAAGTGCTTAGCTTTCTGGTGCTGCACCAGTATCTTCTCATCGTCAAATTCTCTATCACAGTAGTAGCACCAAACCTTCGACGAAACCCTCTTCTTCTTCCTACCCATTTGTCCTTCTTCCTCCTTGTCCTCCTCGTACGGGTCTTCTTGTTGTGTTTCTTGTTGTCTCCCTCTCTCTCCCTCTCTCTCTCTCTGAGCCTTCGATTCGGTAATTGGGTTTTTGGAGGTTTCCCTTCTATGATCTGTGGGTTCTTTTATTTCATGTCTTCGTATTTGTAGCCTATTTTTATAATATTATATAAGAAAAATGGGTTGAAAATTGGGGCTAGGGCTTTTCCTAGTCCTAACTGATGTAGCAGATTGCAAATTAATCTAGTTGATAGTTGGGTTGACCTGAGCCGAGGCCCAACCTAAAATTGACAAAGATTAGTTCATTTATTTATTTAGTACAAGTGATTGGAGAGGGGTTTACACAAATATTCATTATAAACCCTTTGGTTTCCAATCAATATTTATGTAAACCCCTTGGTATCCAATGACCAAGCTTAATTAAGTTGGAAACGTTTGCATTACTCTCCTTATCTCTCTCCTCTCATAACGTATAAAACTGCCACGCAATATTATTAATCTATATGTTGTAACGTGGTATAACGACGAGTTTATACTTCAAGTTTAAATATCAATAAATATACATGTGTTATAACATATATGGTTAACGTCACATGGAGATGTCGTATACCGAAACATTCCTTCTATCACTCATCACCTATCACTTGAAGAGAGAGAGAGAAAGAGGCCTATGGCATGCATTTCTGCCATTTTCGCGTTGGACATATTTCAAAATGATCCACTGTCTTGCTTTCAAGGAGCTTTAACGTGAGATGTATGGTAGGCCTAAAGTTACGTTACACATAAAAGCAATCTCAATTAGTTGTATACTTGCAGCCCAAATATATGAGAGTTCAATCGCTTTGAGTCAAAGAGTATGTGCAACCGTGATTTCCTTCCAACACTAAAATTTATCTGAAAAATAAGGGGCGAAGAATGCATCAACCGTGGCAAGTTCCAGAAAGGAGCTTGTGATAGCAAAATCACATCATCAACAGCAGCTGACAGAAAGTGAAAACCAACATACATTCATCAAATGGATTCTTAATCACTATTTGTGGTCTGCAGACTGCATGATGCTGTCAAATTTTCAGTGCTTCCGACTGTGGAAATGACAAATGGGATATCCTACTCTTCTTTCTTGGAGGATTGGGAGGAGCTATCAGCTTCGCCTGTAGGCTGGCTTACACTAGCTTTGGCCTCAGCAAGAAATGCAGGATCAGGCTTATGTTTGTCAGAAGGTTCCTTCATCGCCATATATATATAAAATGCAATAACTACGTTGACAGATATAACAGCAAGGAATCCACTCAACAATGTGAGTGAATAGGGAGACATGTCACTTGCACCTGTTTCACATGAAGAACACGCTCAGATAATCCAAGAGGAAAACCTAGGAAAGTAACTCTATAAAGCTCCCTTCCTAAATCCTAGCAAAAAATTATCACATAGTAAGGCAAGTTACAAGATCAAAGTTTTTCGATTTAATCAGACATTCACTTGCATGATTGTGATAAGGACATGTTGGCTGTGCAATTTGGTGATACAAACTCAAGCGCCTATGTTTTCTTCAGAAATTTCCTACAACCGTAGTACTTTGCACAAGATTACCCATACACCCACAGGAATACCGATGGCCGCTTGGCTCTATATAACATTTTACCTACAACTGGAAATCCAACAGTAGCCAAAAAAGAAGTAATAATCTTCAGATAGTTGATACATGTAATGGCAAGTTGAGTAATATTCTTTTGATAAGAAACAAAACTTAAATAGTGAAAGCTCAAGTTGAGTACTACTAAGACGATGCCATTGATTGGTTTCAAAATTTTCATATCCCAGCGGTCTCAATTTTAAGCGGTAGGGTATTCTGAAAATTGAAAGATAACATAAATGGTTTATAATTGTTCACATAGATCTTGCTGTGGATCTTTTCATGTTACTGGGCTGTACTTATGCTTCTAACCTCTTTTTAGCTTGGCTTTACTAGTCTCTGATCTTGAGGTCAAAGTCCCATTAAGATTACTAGTTCGAGAAGCTTAGATATAACTCTTTCTGTTTAGTGGAGAATAGGTTTCAGAGAACATCTTCAGTAGTTCTGAAGCGTTCTTAGAGAATCTATGATGAATTATAGCCTTGAATGTAATTCATATGGGGAAATAGGGAGAGTGCCTAGATTTATCTTCTTCTCCTTTTATTTGATTACTAGGACTCCTGGTTTCACCACTAGCCCTTATTTTCCGCCGATCACCCCACAAGCTCATACTTTGTACACAGGTCTACACCCCAAATCCTTGTATAGCTTGCTACTAGTACATACTACAGATGTTTTCTTAGTTAGGTGGAGACAAAATTCCAATTTAGTAAAATCATCGGGCAACTAAAGTTAATCTTATAGTAATCCTGATTCTTCCACCATTCAAATCCCAAAATCAAATTTGTTTCCAAAAGCAAAGCCCAGAACGTCAATGCTATCATACAGCAGTATGGCACTAGTTATACTTCTATTTATTTATTTATTCTGTTACATGCTCTAGTTATACTTGGTGATAGGATGCCATCTTTATTCTTGTAAAGCACATTCACTGTAAGGATATTATTAATGTTATTTATTAAAAAAAAAAAAAAAAAAAAAAAAACAAAACAAAGCTTCTAAAACTCTCTCCCACAAAATCTCCTCATGGAACCTCCTCAGAGGTCATTAGAGGTTGTTGAAGATATTTAAGATATGCTTGATTGAGATGATGAAATTCCCATTATCACGACATTAGGAGTGACATGGACAAACTCTAAGGTGCTCTAGGATAGGAATGAAATGCAGAATGACATAAATTCTAAATGTGAAACGAGAAATGGTCTGCTTATTTAGAAATAAAACAAGTAACGCAGACAAAATTATCAAAAAGAGGATTGAAAGTAGATAAATTCATTGTAATATAGCATTAAGAAGGAAAACCCAGCATAACTAGTGCGAGCCTACATTAGTATGAGGGACCTCCAATAAGATGCAGTACTAGTTTTATGACAACCAATTAGACATGAGGACTGAAGATGACAAAAAGCTACAGAATTGGCACAACAGCCTTACCAGGAAGCAAATTATTGTTAAATGCATATAATATCGCCACGGGAGTTATCCACATAAACAATGATGCGGTAACAAACTTTTGTATTACTCCTGCCATTGCTATCTCCAATCTACAGAATGAAGAAGAAAATAATCGATACCAATAGAAAAACAAATCACAACGACTATTAGGGCCACAAACAAACATGAGAGGGAGATATCATAATCGATGATACAATGGACTTTCTAGAATTGTTTACACAAGCAAGTGATGAGTAGGTTAACACATTTTGCTGTAAAAGACTACCGATAAGTCTTGTAGACATGCACTGGGCCAGAGATGTAACTAATGGGGCTATAACCATAGTTCATTGGCATCATTGCTAACACTTAGCCTATGCACATGAATTTCCTCACAGTCAGTATAAATGACTGAACCCCGTGATAAAGTCACAACTATTATGCTTAGTGATCATAAGTTCATCGGAACAAATAATTATATCAAATACCCATACAAACAAAGGAAATACATCATAAATTCATTGGAACAAATAATTATATCAAATTCCCATACACAGAAAGAAAATTCCAAGCTAAGTCGTAACAATTGCATACATGAGGGAACAAAGTGGGCTTTCCTGTGAACAAAGACACTAAATTCTCCTTGGGATACTTCTATGCAATGCTTCAGTGAAGTATGAACTACTTGGTTTTTACTGACATAGGTGTACCACTTGAAAGCAATCTCATATTCAAATAAAGACCAAAACTTTTCAGATGCAACCAATCAACAAACAATCATCTTTGAACAAAGATACTAAATTTCAAAGTCACCTGTGAATAAAGACACTAAATTTCAATGACCCAATCTCACATAGACATTTAATCAAACACTTTGAGCGCATACTTAAGCCAGAAAAGAATGGACTGAGTAAGAGCATACCCAACTGAGAGTATTGGATCTTTAGATTGAGCCGCCAAGAAAGGACTTGACTAATCACTGTTAGTTTGCCTGTCCTGTTCAACAATCCAATCCCTTCTGCTACAGAAATTGCATATTCTCTGTGGGGATATAAAATAGTTCCGACTCCGAAGACAAATAACTCAGAAGTAAAGCTTGTTCTTTTGGTGCTGGAAATTCATAAGCAAAGCTTCAACACAAGAGACTTGCTGTATTACTTCTGGGATGCCAAACCCAGGAGAGATAATTTTGGCAGTGGGCCCTCCATGATCAGATCTAAAGCCCAACAGGCCCAACACCACTCCTATTATACAATTTATTTATTTATTTTTTCTTCCATTTTGAGTCAACTTTTGCCTTTTCTCTTTTAAGGAATATTTGGAGTTCAACCCCCATCATCCATGTATGTTACATCACTGTTTTTAGTTATATGTCTGTAAATATAGAATTGTATTCTAACTGTAGAAAGAATAATAACAATTGAAATAGATAGAATTATTACGAATATGAAAATTGCGCAATTCTTAGGCACATTCATAACCATTCATAGTGTTGAAATAAAATCAACATGACAACATGATTTGATAATGGCTTCACTATGAAGCGGCCACAAGTAAAGTGTGCACATAACGCCACTTTCTTTTAGACTAGACTTGATGTGAAAATTGAATCATATCTACAAATGGGATTTACTCAAAGATGGTACATCTACACAATTTCCCACCAAACTAATTGGCACGATGTTAGTGTTGAACGTATAACTTTGTGAGATTTAACTTTCTCTTATTATCATAGTAACATGTTTTCGAACAGATAAACTCGCTTTTTTTATTCTTTGCAATTAGCTCTTATTTTACTGATACACATTTACTTAATGATAGAAGATGTCTCAAGTTCGAATTTTCCTTTCCCCGTTGATAAAAAAACAATGCCAATACAGAAGAAAAATTTATGTGAAACGAGGACAATGTGTTCCTACTTGCAATGGCGAGTGTGGTCATTGGTATCTTGGAACATGTCTCCCCAATATCTTTTAACTCTCAACATTTCAAAACTGAATTATGACATATGTCTCATGTTATTTGTTTAAGATATGATCGTTATATTCATTCCATGTTTTTTACACTTTTCTGTGGGTGGAAGAATTAGATTGTTGCACTGACACATTTACCAAATTTCCACTAGACATTTCAAGATGAAAGTAAACAGAGAAGCCTAAAAACAAAACAAAAACACACAAAAGAGCATGACTAAGAGGGATCATGCTCACTAAACCTATGTACCATACATCTAGCCCTCATTGCATTGAAGCATTTAGGCCCATTTGGCCAAGAGTGACATACAGCCAGAACCCAAAAGAAGTGAAATATTAGCCCCAAGCTGGATCCTTAAATTGCCTTGCATTCTAGGGTTCATGAAATCTGCTGCTAGAAGGTCAACCAGAGCCATGTATATTAGAATCCCAGCTGAAGCAGAGTTGAAAACCCCTTCCACAATCAAAGCAGTTGGGCTGCTCTCATTGTAAATGTTTGATATTCCCATTCCAACACCAATTCCAATTGGGGTGGTGAGGGAGAAGAAAAGCACCATGGTTGCAACGGCCCTGGACTTGAATTTGGCCTGCACAAACAATTGAAGCAACTCACATAAAATTGTATGAAAATAGAAAGATTTATAACCTAAACTCGCAACCCTAAAATGTTTTGGGATTGAAAAACTTGTGGAACTTGGAACCTCATGGTGAAGAAAAGACACATTAACACAGCTTAATTACCCTAACCCTAGAAAAATGAAAGTTGACTTTCAACAAAATGCTGCACTGAACTGATGTGAGACTGTCCCAATAGTGAACCATGCAATCCATACAGTACAAATGAAATAAAGACACATATGATGGTGGAATGCAATGGAGTCATTGGCCCCTACAAATACGCATGATCTCTAAATAGGTACCTAGAAGATTTTGTTACAACATCAACAAGACCTTTTGCAGCACCCTGTGCATTTTGGTAAATGGCAACATCTTAGGTTTAGAAAATGATGAATGTTTCCAAGACTATACATGCATTAAAAAATTTATATATTTATTTTATTTGTACATTTTCTTATAACCAAGAAAGTTAGCAGAGTTTGCTTTCTTATATTTATTTTGTACTTATGGGGTGACTAAATGAGACAATGGAGAAAAGGAAAAATCTTGGAGGAAATTGAAGATACCTGAGAGATGCAGCCACCAAGGCCCATGCCTTCAAAAAATTGATGGAAAGTCAAAGCTGCTACCAGAGGTTTGATTGTTCTGGGACTCTGAGAGGCACCTAAAGATATCCCAATGATGACTGAATGAACCACAATCCCAAGCTCCAGAACCTGTAAAACATTTATACAAGGAATCTACATCATTACATCAGAAAACTAGAGCAGCAAAAAGAACAGGAAAATGAAATTAACACACAAAAAGAAAAAATAAAATTGTAAAAATAAAACAAACAAATGAATGCAGGACCACCATAGTTTGTAACCAATTGAACAAAAGAGTTCTTTGATCAATCAGATAAGAAAATGTTTCAATTCAGCACTCACTGAAGCTTCTTCCTTCTGGGAATAATTTCAAATACCTGTATGCTTGTAATTGTAAATACAAAGTATAGGAGCTAGTTCATAGGAATGGCAGAGCAAAAAACAGAGGAAACAGGGGAGAATACAAACTCTATCACCAAAAAATATTGAACCATAAACAACTAAGAATACAAGCCAACTCTACCTGTGATATCACTCGATGCCTAATAAGCTCCAAAGATGAAGCTGAATCCTCCGGTAAAATCGCGCCGGATCCATGGGCATGACCATGTGTGGCATGAGTATGAACATGCACATGACCCTCATGCACCCCATGCATCTCCTCATCCTCTTTCACTGGCAGTGCTTTAGTGAAATGTGACCTTCTGTAATAACTAGTGGCAAAGGTATCGATCATCATCGTCCCAATAGCTGAAAGCATTGCAATGAAGCCTGAAAATGGGAAATTCCCCCATGGTGTTTGGCTGAGGCAGGGGCTTGTCAAGCTCTCAAATGCCTCAGGCAAGACATGGATGAACCCTGTTGCTAGAATCACGCCCGCAGCAAAGGCTTTGATCATGAAGAAGATATCGTTTTCGGGGCGCAGAGTTGGGATTTTCTTGCCCAACATTGGCAGAGAGACACCAAGCACACTGGCTATGAGGATTGAACTTATCGCAACTAGCTTGTACTTGAGAACCTTGACCTTGTCATGGTGTTGGGTTTCTTTACTACATGTGCATTCTGCAGAAACCAAAATGGGGACAAACAGAAGAAGAAGAAGAAGAAGAAGAGTGTGAGGTGGAGTGAGCTTTCTCATGGCTTTCAGTGAAAGGGAGAGAGAGAGAGAGAGAGAGAGAGAGTAGAGGAGGGCTTCGAAGTTTGATGTGGGATGTGGAGTGAGCCTATTGCTTACTGTATATATGAGTTGGAGAGTTCAGGAAAAGCAAAGGGGTTGAGGTGAAAATGGCGACACGGAATTCAATTCTATTTGTAAGAGAGGAAAGTGTGGGGTTGCCAAGTGTCTGGTTAATGGAGCCAAATGACGACATTATGTGTTAATGAACAGCTTAAAGGAGGTTAGGACTTTAATTAGGTTTTCAAGTCTCTTTCCGAACCATGATGATAATGATCCATGACTAAGAAATTTTCTTGTTGTTGGCAAAGAAAAGCAAAAAAGGAAAAAAGCAAAAGAGGCACTTGAAAGATTAAATTAGTATCCCATCTTAGAGTGTTTATTAGCCAATGCATGAGCATGAATTCTGATCAGCTAGGGAAGGAATTTGACTTGCCGTGTGGAGCACCATCAAGCACTAAAAAGGTTTTGAACATGGTAGATCATTTAACTGATTTGTTAGTTTATTTATCTAACATTTGATTTTTAAATTATTATTATTTTTTTTTGATTCAGTAATTGTTTAATATGGTAGAGGAATTTGGTTGTAGGAGGTTCTGTGTTTGAAATCAAGAGTGAGATTGTATTTAAAAGTTATATTAGCGACGTCCACGCATGCATGAGTGACTGTCAGTTGTTGATGCATTATGTAATTCACATTCATCAAATGCTAATTAATGCACATCCACACGCCGGTCAATGCATTGCATAACTGCATGCGCCATGTTGGTAACATTTCGTTTCTACCCATACTTCTGTCCAGGTCCAGTGATTTTCTAACATTGGTAACAATATTACTGATATTGCTTGGACGATCTGCATTATAGAGATATTGATTATAACACCAACCAGGAAAAATATGAGTGCATGCCAGTGCCGATGGCATTTCAAAATCTGCTACCATACAACAAAGCTTTATGGCTTGTATCAAATACCATACAACAAAAGTATAGCATATAAAATCAAAAAGAACAAGTTCTGTGTTAATTACAAGCAAACTAAACAACTCCCATCCTAGACAAGTTGCGCAATAGGTAAACTAAATTGTTATTAAATTGAGAAAAGCTAAGATGGGTATCTAGCCAAAAGGCCTAGAACACAAGGCCATTGGAGGGATCAGATTATGTTTTTTTTTGGAAAATAACAAATTAGACTTCCTTCAACTTTTTTCCCCAAAACTTATAATTTTTTTTTTCTTTCACTTATTATTCTTTATGCTATATGCTGGTTACTTTAGACTAGAAAGAGAGATGAAGAAAACTTAGACTTATTCAATGTCGTAGAAGCTCCACCCATTGTGATCTGACAACTTTATGTTATGCATATACTTCATGGAAGGTCAAGGACCAAAGATCTAACTACATGCGTAATGCTGTTACATTCTTTCGTCTTTCTTCATTTTACTTTGTTAAGTCAAACAGATTATATATGGTGACATTATAAAGCTCAAAAATGAAAGCTAGTTGCAATAAGTTCAATGCTTATAAAGGGCACCAGCCGCATAAAGATTGAACTTGTCGCAACTAGCTTGCATTTGAGAGCTTTGGCTTCGTTACGATCCGTGGCATCGAAACTGCATGTGCATTCTGCGGAAAGCAAGAGATTGAAGGGACATGAAGAAGAAGAAGAAGAAGATTGCAAAAGATAAAGGAGTGGTATAGAGTGTCCTGCTATGGCTGTGGCTTGTTTAAGCCTATTCCATAGACTGTGTATTTATATATGTACAGATACGATCATATGAGTTGGGAGAATTTGGAAAAAGCAAGGGCTAGAGTAAAAATGACGACATGGAATTGAAGTGTGGAGTTGACGAATGACAAGTGTGCATTTTGAACAAAACTTGCCATATAATTAAATTGCATATTACAGAGCTATTTGGTATCAGAACAAGAATTTTTCCCATGCAACAAAACAGTACACACTCTGTCTAGCCTCAATTGTCTTGAAATTGAGAAAGCCATAAAACCCTAGAACTGGAATTTTGATTTTGCACCTTTTTCACTTCATTTGACTTTGTGACCAAAACAACTTAGACTGACAATTCTGAAAGTGGAAAACTAGTGTTTTTGTCTGTACCCATTTATGATAAACTTAAGAAGGATAGTCACTATGGCCAATAACTTTTATATAAATAAGTGTTTTGCCTTTCATGCAACAAAATCAACTTATAAATGTACATCTTCTTTTTCTGATTTCATGTCTTAATCATTTTAAAACTACATAGGATTTGCAATGTATTTTGGTCTCACATAGTCCCGGCCTTAATGGGTTAGATTAAGGGCGAAGATGGACGGATTGACGGACGGACGGACAAATACGATTACCCATCTTGGAACTGTCTCTGCCTCGGTTTACCTATTCGATTTATGGTTATTTTTTGATCTTGTAGTGTTATTGTATGGGTTTTGTATTGTTCATATTGTGTGTCTTAACGTATGATATTTGCTATTCTATATATTTATGGCCACATCTATCTTTTCGAAAAGAAAAAAAAAGAAATTCTATCAAGTCTCTGTCCATCCCATTTAGAGGCAAAGACAGAGATAGGATGACAAACTTGACGCTACCCTGTTGCCATCCAATGTATATATGCTTCCATTTTGTCCCTGCCCCTTTCCCACCTCCTTTTTCAGCCTAAAATGAAAATATAGTAATTTCAATAAAAAAAAAAGAAACAATAATATGAAAGTCGTAATTTAATTGGTTCAGAACATAATTCCAATAATGGTTGGTTGGTGGTCCTACAGATTACAACATATTATTCCTCCAGGAATATATTTCACAACTGGAATTTTAGTTTTTGGACCAGTTTCGTAACACACTCTACTGCCACGAATATCAACCTAAAGATTTTAGAACATATTGTATGAATAATGAGTAAAAATAAGCTCATAAACAAAAGGAGATTCCCCCACTTTGGTCGGTCCCAAATGAAGGAGAAAGACTTCCATATGCGGACAACATGTTTTGCTATTCGGCTAATAATGCAATGACACATAAAATAATTTTTTCACGTGTCATTGTGTTATTAGTTAGGATTAGCAAAACAATACTATCTCATTACAAGTAAATTTTTATGCAATTGAAGATCTTGTAATTGATTCAATTCAAGCAAAGCCCTACAATATGTCTAATGCCAAGCTATTTAAAATCTTTCCAGCAATAACATATAAAACTTACACACACTATAAAGATGTAAGGTAAACAAACATATGTCTGCATATTGTTTGCATTTGAAAACATGGACCCCCCTTCAAGCCAAAAATAACATGGACCCCATGCATTGATTGGACTGATTTAAATCATGTAACTATGTATATAAAACTTCAGTAAACTGGAATTTAATATAGGATTCTTCCCACTTTGGTCGGTGAAGATAATTTGTTATCTAGTGACTGATTCAATTCATGCAAAGCCCTACAACAATAAGCCTAATGCCATGCCATTTGCTTGAAATCTTGTCTTTTATTTTCGGTTGACTTAGAAAGTTTGAAAACCCTCGTTCTGCTAACTAGTCTAACTCAATGAAAAATAGTATTAACTTGCAGATTAGTTATCTCAGATTCGAACCCTCAGAGTACATTGATAGTGTGTAAATAAGAAACCCCTCTCCCTTTATATAATTTAAACTATTGCTTATATTGAAAAAAAAACACACACACATTCTAAAAAAAGATTTTAGTTTGCTTTCTAAAACAAACATATGTCTGCATATTGTTTGCAGTTGAACATGGACCCCCCCTTCAAGCCAAAAAGAACATGGACCCCCATGCATTGATTGGGCTGATTTAAATCATGTCGCTACATATATAACACTTTAGTAAACTGGAATTTAATTAGGATTCTCCCCACTTGGCCATGAGAGACATAAAACATGCTCCTAAAAGAAGAGTAAAATTAGCACCAAGTTGGAGCTTGGGGTTTCCTAGCATTTTGGCATTGTTTATGAAATCAGCTGCAAGAAGATCAACAAGCGCCATGTAAATGAGAATCCCAGCAGATGCTGATAAGAGAAGCCCTTGGACAATCAGTGCAGTTGGGCTGCTCTTAGTGTAGGTGTTTGATATTGCAATGCCAACAGCTATCCCAGCTGGGGTGGTAAGGGAAAAAAATAGCACCATTGTTGCCATGGTTTTATGCTTGAACTTTGCCTGCAGAAATCATAAATGTCCTAGCTTAATTAATTACTATCAGAAACAGCCTTAAATTAGTTACATTTTGCCAAATTATTTTTCATTTTCAACTTGAAAAAAATTATTACAGAAAAAAAGGAAATAAAGAAAGAAGTGACTACATGATAGTATAATAAAGGAAAAAGGATCAATAAGTTAAAATGTGTCAAATCAATTTACTATATTATTGTGAAGAAAAAAAATAATGCACTTGGATTGATTTGGACTAACCTGTAGGAGTTTAGTTTTTTTTTCAGGAGCATAATTCTTTGCTTCTTATTTTTTGGTTGACAAACAAATTTGCTTGTTAAGAACTGAGAGTACCTGATAGATGCATCCACCAAGCCCCATGCCCTCAAAGAATTGATGGAAACTCAATGCTGCCACCAAGGGCTTGATTGTGTGAGGGCTTTGACAAGCACCAAGGGAGATCCCAATGATCACTGAATGAACCACAATTCCTAACTCCAAAACCTGCAGTTTTGTAAATTGTATTGCATTATTTCAATCAATTAATCAAGTTCATATGTGTATAGGAAATTTTCAGATTTTTTTCAAAGACAATTTACTTGAAATTACCTGAGATATGATACGATGGCGGATAAGCTCTGACGAATTTGATGGTTCTAACACCAATGCAGAACCATGGACATGACCAGCATGATGTGCCCCATGATCACTCCCTTCATCACCATCAACTGGCTGAGATTTCCTGAGCTCAGACCTCTTATGGTACCCAGTAGCAATAGCTTCCATCATCAATGTACCAATGGCTGATACCATAGCAACAAAACCTGTAAAGGGAAACCTTCCCCATGGATTTTTACTTAGGCAGGGGCTTGTCAAACTTTCATGAGCATCAGGAAGCACATGAACAAACCCTGTTGCTAAGATCACCCCAGCTGCAAAGGCCTTGATTAGGAGATAAAAGTCCTTATCCGGGTGGAGAATCGATGATATGTTCTTCACCAGAAACGGAAGGCAAACTCCTAGAGCACCAGAAACTAGAACTGAAACTATTGCAACTAGTTTATATCGGAGCACTTCCTCGGATTTGTTTTGATCTTTGCGTTGCTTTTCACATGTGCAGGCTGAAGATGCTAAAATTGGAAGAAGAAGAATGAAAAAGAGGATGGTGATCAAGGAACTGTTTGAATCATATCTGAACTTGATCATTGTATATCATGGAAAGAAGAAAGAAAGTTAGAAAACATATAAGAAAGAATTGAAGAAACTATGGTGGGAATATTTCCATGCTCATTGCTCACAAAGACAAAGACAATTATTGATGAATCAACATAGAAACAGAACAGATGACCTCTAGAGACAGAGAAAGAGGCCAAATGTGTTCTTGGTGCTCGTCCAGTACAAGAGCAAGCAAGGGCCACACATTATTATTCAATCTAACAACCACATAACTAAATTCCAAATTCTGGCACTGATTACTGGAGTAATACAGAAAAGTTGCACATAATTTATGTGCATAATTAAGAATTAATTATGCTTTTAACTCTATGTGCTACTTAAAAATCAGAATAGACAAAATCAACCTACAAAGGGTACCTGATCCTTTTAATTTCCGTCAGTGTATTGGATGCCCTCCAGCTCTCCCAGATGAAGCCAAAAACTTGTGAATCCATGGAGAAAGCCCAATATATAGTACTAGAGAGTAACCCTATCAAACACTTTTTTTTTGGGTTGACCTCAAACATGAACTTTCGGTTGCCTCATCAAATTTTGATGATTTCACTACCTAACTTCCTTTCCATCCCCATTCACATTTTGCTTAAACATATTGCTTGTTGATATATAACTCGACTTTTCCTAGCATATCAAAAGACACGATTTCCTTCTATTTTATTAATAGAGGATTTGGGGATTCGAATTTGAGATTTCTTTCGACGTTCGAAAGAGAAATACCACTAAACTGGAGTAGTTGAGACACAATCAAGTTAAGAAGGGATGATGTAAGAGATAATGCTAATTTGGTTGTCCAAAATACTTTTATCGTCACATGCTAGCATTCCCCATGACAAAGTTAAGGAATGACACATGCTCCTTCACTATAATAATGAGAGGTAGATTTTAAAGAGGTTTAAACGTCTTCTCACAGAGAGAGAGAGAGAGAGAGAGAGGGAGAGAGAGAGAGAGAGGAGAGAGGAGAGAGAGAGAGAGAGAGAGAGAGGAGAGAGAGAGAGAGAGAGAGATAAATGTGAGATAAATGATGGACCAAATGAGAAGGAGAAGATCCATGGAAACTTGGAATGAGCTCTCAACTTGTGGGCTTCCAAAGTTGGTTTAGGTTTGATTGGACCAATAACACAAACAGAAACATATTGCAAGACTTGTGGGCTTCCAAAGTGGATACCATTCTAGCGATTTGGAATTTTCAAGAATTGGAAATGCACAAGGATCAGACAATGAATAAGAACGTCGTGGATAGAGACAATGAATAAGAACGTCATCGATTAACGTTCTTTGCAATTGCTGGGTGAAACACATTGGGAAAAAAATCTGGAAATTAGCATCGACAACTCATAAATACCAAACGCGTCCTTAAAGATATGCAATGAACGTACACTAGGGTTTTGGCCAGTTATCAAAAAGGCAAGTCAAAAAGCAAATCGGTGACAATAAGGTCAAGGTCTTCCACCACGTGATGGAGAAGTCTTGCCCTTCTTTCCCGTTCTTTGCAGGTCTAACAACAAAGATGATAATGATAGTGATGGGTTAAAGTGATACGAAAAAATGCTTGCAAACTTGTAGAATGCGTTGGTTAATGTTCTCTAGTAAAATAACCATTGACTTGCAACCTTGTAGAAGACCTTCAGATAAATTTTTACACGCTCCTTGCCTTGCCTCCTATAAATGAGAGAAACTTTATTTGCATAATGGATACTTTGTGTTCAAACTTTTTCAACCCTCCCTATATTTCTCACTTTTTGCTCCTTTTGTTTTTGGCATCTTCATATCTGCACACTAGCAGTCACTTTCTGTTTCTGTTTGGTTGATGGAGTTCCAAGCACTAATAGTGTGAGATCATGCATCGGGGAAGAGAGAAGTGCGCTTCTCAGTTTTAAGCAGGATTTCAAGGATCCCTCTGGAAGGCTTTCTTCTTGGGTGGGTCATGATTGCTGTCAATGGGAAGGGATTTCATGCACCAACCGCACCGGTCATGTGGCGAAGGTGGACCTCCGGAATCCATATCCATATTTTAGAGGGGATGATGAGTGGGACGAGTTGCCTTATAACCAGTCTTCCTTGGGAGGTAAGATAAATCCTTCTTTGCTTAGCTTGAAATATTTAAATTATCTGGATCTAAGCTACAATGATTTTGGTGGGATTCACATCTGATGTAGAACAAATGGCAGATTTTATCGCGGTTGAGCTAGAAAAAGGACGTAGCGGGAATTTGCAAATTTGTCGTCCGAGCTCTGATTAGGACGCAAAATACCATTTCGGAAAGGGAACGACGCCACGAGTCAAACTCACAGCTTTGCTGTGATTTATGATGGATTTTGGCATTCTGAGGTCGTTTGGCCTTCCAAAACGGCATTCAAAGTTTCGTAGTTAATTTTCGAAATAAATTCTGTTTTTCAGTTTTAATGTAATAACTCCCCTAGCAGCTCAAGGGTTGAGAGATGTGTATTTAGTCAGAGTTGGTGAACGTTTTCAATATCTCAGATTTTAATAAAATTATTCCAAGAGAATTCCTCTTAATTACTGGTGGAATCCAGATTTCTTGTTACTCAAGGTTTTCGTTTGAAACCTTTGTTGCTTGTGCTGCGTCAACATCCCTGAGTTCTTTGGGGAGCTTCAAAGTCTAAGGTATCTCAATATTTCAGAGGCATCATTTTCAGGAGAGTTCCGCATTCTCTCGGTAACTTATCAAAATTGAACTATCTTGATCTTCACTGCACTTCGTGCTTATTGGAAATACATTACTTGAACTGGCTTTCTCATCTCTCTTCCCTAAAATACCTCAATCTCAACAGAGTGATTCTTCACAGCACAAGAGTTCCAAATTGGCTGCATCATGTTAACATGCTTCCTTCCTTACTGGAGTTACACTTATCTAATTGCTTCTTTGAAAGCGTTCCACTATCACTAAAGAAGATTAACTTCACCTCACTTTCGGTCCTTGATCTGTCATATAATTCCTTCACTACTTCTTCATTTCCTAGTTGGCTTTTCAATCTTACCAACCTCAGAAAACTTGATTTAAGCTCGACTTTTTTCGGTGGTCCTTTACCCGATGAACTTGCAAGCCTTAAATCTCTGGAATACCTAGATTTAAGTGATTTGGGCCTCAAAGGTCGAATTGCCAGAGTCATTGGAAATATGTGCAAATTGAAGTTTTTAAGTCTTAGTTTTGGGAAAAAAAATTATGGTGAGAAAATTGAAGAGATTTGGAGGAGTTGGTCAAATTGTCCAAATAATACAATCGCATTAGAATCACTAGATTTTTCTGATTGTGGGCTCGAAGGTCAACTGCCGGCCTCCTTAGGAATGTTAACAAGTTTGCAGCATCTAGACCTTTCGAGGCTATTACTTTGGGGTTCAATTCCTGAATCTATTGGAAACTTGTTATCCTTTAAAACACTGGACCTCTCTAGTAGCAATTTGAAGAGCTCCATTCCAAAAAGTTTGGGAAAACTCTCTCAGCTAGTTGAACTGGATCTATCTAATAATTCATGGGAAGGCATTCTAACGGAAGCCCATTTCATAAATCTCACCAATTTAAAAGATATTTCAATATTTAATTCTTATAGAGAGATGCCCATGTCTCTCCTGTTAAATGTGGCTTATGATTGGGTTCCTCCTTTCAAGCTCCACAGACTTAGCATTGGAGGCTGCAGAGTAGGTCATGGTTTTGGGGCATTGATTCAATCTCAAACTGAACTAGTCGATGTCTTCCTTTGTAGTACTTTCATCTCGGATTCCATAGAGGAATGGTTGTCGAAGATATCTTCCCGAGTCGAATATTTGGATTTATCTGACAACAACTTCAGTGGAAGGCTTCCATTACAATTGAAGTTTCCAAAGCTAAGAAGTATTAGATTGGGTCATAATCAATTGGAAGGCCCACTTCCACTTTGGCCCACTAATGCCTCTTGCCTTGATCTTCAAAGCAATTTATTTTCCGGGTCAATTCCCTCCAATTTAGACCAATTGATGCCCTATTTGGGTGAGTCGGATGTTTCTGAGAATAATTTGAGTTGGATGTTTACAACATGAAGGAAATGTCAAGAATTTCGCTAAGAAACAATCAACTATTTGGAGAGTTCCCTCAACGGTGGGGTTTGTGGAGCTTCATACAACTTATTGATGTCTCCTACAACAATCTTTCTAGTACTATTCCGAATTCAATAGGTATCCCAGGTGATGATCTTATAGTATTTAAGGCGAATAATAATAATTTTAGTGGTGAGATTGTTTTCTTTCAAAATTGCACTTTTTTGGTATTACTTAATCTTGGAGGCAACAAATTCACTGGAAACCTACCTTTATGGATTGGATCAGACGTACCTCAATTAGAAGTATTACAATTGCAATCCAACCTTTTGAGCGGGCATATCCCCCCTCCCCCCCCCCAACCCCCCAATTTCTGCAATCTTCCATCCCTTCGCGTCCTAGATCTTTCTCACAACAACTTTTCAGGGACCATTTCCAAGTGTCTGACTTGTCTAGTTGAAGATAGTGATAGATGCCATACTAGCATGTGGTTTGAATCATATTATGGAAAAACAACAATAATGTCAAAAGGGAAAGAGCTCGAATATAAGGATTACCAGTTAACCGCCTGGGGAGACATGATTGATCTTTCATCAAACAATTTTGAAGGTGAAATCCCTGAACAAGTAGGCAATATGGTTAACTTGAGTATGTTGAACTTGTCGATGAATCGATTAACTGGAGAGATTCCTTCAAGCATCGGAAAATTACATTGGCTTGAAACTCTTGATCTCTCACACAACCACTCTTGTCCTACAACAACTTGACTGGAAAAATACCTTCGGGCAACCAACTCGAAACCCTCAATGATCCATCTATTTATGAACACAATAAGTTATTGTATGGGCCTCCTCTTTTAACTGTTTGCCCTAGAGATGATACACATTCAAGACAGACTTTTACTTCATAAGATCACAGTAAAGATGATAACGAAGGGTTTTGGTTTCACGTCAGCATGGCACATGGTTTCATTGTAGGCTTTTGGGCTGTTTGTGGAACGTTGGTCCTAAAGAAGTCATGGAGGTATGCATATTTTAAATTCTTTGACAACGTGAAAGAGAAAGTAGCCTTAATAATTGCATTGAAAGTAGCTCGTTGGCAAGGGAGATTATGATACGAAGAGAAAATAAAAATGTGCATGTGTGTTCTGGTAGGCTACTCGTCCGACTGTTGCTGTTGAAGCTTAATTTTGAAACTTGTGTTAGCTTTTAAAAAGAGATGCTTATAAGAAAGTTGAAAAGAGATGCTTATAAGAAAGTTAAAAAGAGATGCTTCTATTTATGAAACCATCAGTGCTTTTACCTCATCAAATTTTGAAGACTCTTTCACCACATTCCTAGCACCCAATACGCGTACATCAATTCCAAATACATCCGTCACTAATGCATTGCCTAGGTACAAATATCATTAGGTCAAAGAAATTTCACAATAGCACATTCATTCATTACTCTAGTACAATCAGAACATGAAAAAAAGCATCAAAATCCAGAGCATGCCATTGTGAATTTAATTACACCAGCACATCAAAATATTTTCTTCAATATTCTTCACCCAATAAATACAAAATGGCACCAAAGTCAGCCAATAAACCAATTTTCAATATTTTTTTTAGTCCTATTACTTCTAGCTTCCCCACCTATTTGCATCCAAACCAAAACATTCAACAATGGACTTTGTACCTCTGCAACATTTCTTGCTCCTTCATGGTTGTTTATTCATCGTCTTCGGCCCGCATCCCGCTCCCTCTACTCAAGTTTCTCCAACTCATCTTACAAAACACCATTGCATAAAACACACAACATCCATCATATGTTAATGAGTAGTTGCAATAATTATTTGATTGTTCCATTTAATTACTACAATAGGCATTAATACAACTTACATTAATATTGCTGCTTCATCGTTAATTGGCCTAGGAGTAGGGCCCTTCTTATTGTAATTTAGCCTATGTATAAAGTCTTTAGTTGGCACTGTCTTTGTGTTGGTTCGTGCCTTACTGGAAATGATGGAGGGTTTTAGGCATGGTTTTCAGTTTTTCCGTGCCTTATTCTCTACTTTATTCAAATAATTAGTAATGAAAATTATTAATCACTTTTTTATTCAGCTTTTTTCTTTCTTTTTTTGTATAAATTGATAACTTTCGAATTGGTGATATATATTTTTCTTGTTTGTTTTGTCATTTTGGGTTAGCCAGCATGTTAGAACCCATAATGTTGGTTCCTTTTCATATTTCATTTGGCTTGTGTTTGTGGACAAGTAAAATGACAATGGTTTTTGAGGTTTGACCCTCTTTCCTTCAATACACTTGAGCATGTTGGACAAAACATTTCAATCCGTGTTTGGGAGAACTCTTGCCACGTTTTTTCAAGTGAGACATGATTTGGCTTTCGATATTTGTAAAATAAAAGGAACAAAGTCATAAAACAACAGCAATGAAGAAACAGGAGACTACATTAATTTTAAAAAAAATTAAGAAAACAACAACATTGTGGCGCATTTCTTGATTCCATAATAGGAGACTTTAGTTTGACCATATGGATCTCTTCTCTCGAGTTTTCCCGCACCGCTTCTGGGGGCTCATCACTTGAGCTTCCAAAGATCCCTTTCTTAGGTTTAGCAAAACTTGAATTTCCTCACGCACATTTACCCAGTTGATCCAAGGTCTCCAGCTGCTTTTGCATGTCCTTAGAGTAAAATCTACCATCTTTGATAGCTTTTAATTCTCTTCTTGTAATATTTCAAGCTGGTGTCGCATCTTTTCTAAAGTCTTTGCCCTCTCCCTTTTCAATCTCCTTATAGTACTCTGACAATCTACAACCAAATTCCGTTCTGCCACCAACTAACTACACTTGCACCTTATGGGATTTCACAATGAGTCGATAACCCACACTTGCTATTGACGCCACACTTTACACACTAGGTGCCATGGCATCACTCACCAGCTGGTTATCATCCCTTGTTCTCATCACGCTCACATCTCTGGGAGTCACCAAACTCCTTGCAACTCCAATGGGAACATCGTTGTTAGGAGTAATGAGTCGTTTACGGTCATTGGTCCTCGTGAGGAAGCAAAGTAGGGCATCCACACTTGTGCAGCCCCTTGCCCCCATGTCTATATTGGCAAAGCTAGGTTTAGATCTAGAGAAAATGGGAATGAAGATACCATTTTATTTCTGAGTTTGACGAGATGGGTTTAGATTTTTTTGATGAGGAGATAGGTTTAGATTTTTCTGAGTTTGAGGAGTTGTGAGAAATGGGCGGAGCTAGGTTTTTTGTTTTCTGAGTTTGAGGAGTTGTGATTTTTTTTTCTCCTCTTCTTTCCTTTTATAAACGTTCATTATGACACCTGTTTCTGATTTTTCCCACGCCTCCATGTTTTTCGCTCCGTGTTTTCTACCTCGAGCTCCACGCCTCGGTGATAATTAATATATTTTAAAATTTAACTAATATATTTATTTTAAAAGAGAGAGAGAGAGAGAGAGAGAGAGAGAGAGAGGAGAGAGAGAGAGAGAGAGAGAGAGAGAGAGAGGAGAAAAAAGAAATGAGAGAAGAAAGAAGGAAAAGACAAAGTTGTATGTAGAAACATTATAAATATCAAATGGTGTAACACATAATCATAAAGTTGTCTGTAGCATAGTGGATATAGTGTTGGAGATGAATGAAATGGAAGGGCTTGTGTGTGTGTTGAAGTCTCAATTTCCTTACATTTTTTAGCGAGTTGACACGACCTGTTTAATAAACAGGTTAAATAGGTATTTTAGCGGGTTGACTTGTTGACCCGAAACCCTACAAGTTTAATAAACAAGTCATAACAGGTTGACTTAAAAATTACCAAATTATTAATCGTGCGGGTTTAGATCGTGTTTTTTCTGTGCAAGTTTCGAGTTGTGTAATGGGTTATATAGGAAATTGACACCCATAGCAATGACCATAATTATAGCGATTAATATTTGACATTAGTGTGCTTTTGCTCTCCCTTCGATGCTTTCTAATATTACTATCAACTTCGACTAAAAACAAAAACAAAAACAAAATTGATTGATCCAAAAATTATAACACCATCACCATCATGACACTCAAGTTGCAGTTGCAAATTGCACATGCTGTTGATTTCAAACAGACCACTACATGGAGACGATTTCATCCTCAGCAACAGCAATTGGTGCAGCAATAACGCTATGGGCACCAACTTGTTTACCAACTTTTGAATACCAACAAATGTGGCACATGACATGGCAACTCATGTCATCTGCCACCTCATCTATTTTAATTACATAATTTATTATATAAATAAAAGAATTTAATTATTTTTTATATTTAACTATTTTTGTTTTCGGTGAGAAATTCTTTTATTTATATAATAAATTATGTAATTAAAATAGACGAGATGGCAAATGACATGGGTTGCCATGTCATGTGCCACATATGTTGGTATCCAAAAGTTGGTAAACAAGTTGGTGCCCGTAGCATTATTGAAATCAAAATGTGGTTTCATAATCTCATCCAAATATTAATTTTTTTAGTTAAAATGTTCATAAAAAAAAATTAACAAAAACAAAAGTATGGACATAAATCAAATTTCATCATAAAAAAATTTAGAGCCCAAATATAGAGCCTACCACTATTGCTGGAAAGATACTTTTAGAACACCGAACTGGGCTTGTCCTAAGGGTGTCCAAGAGCTAATTTTCTGACTGTGACTGCACCAATGTTAATGCTACTCTTACCACATTTGTATACCACATTTTCATACCACCTTATGTGGCAGCTGAGGTGGACAGTCACATCAATTAAAATGATTTAATATTTTCTTTTCTTTTATGGTTTATTCCAGTATTTGTTTTTCTAATTGCCTTAATTAAAATGCACTTCATTGATTTAATTGATGTGGCATATAAAATGGACATGCCACATCATATGGTATAGAAATGTGGGATAAAAATATAGTAAGTGTAGCATTACTCTTGATATATATATATAAATATATATATATATCAGTCCCCTTCTATTGAGGGATCCCTCAAATAATTTTATTTGAGGGATGCCCTTTAGGGTACCTTACAATTTTTTTTCCAATGATCCAAACCATATATTTTTTAGGCCTTCATTCATAGATCATCCTTACAAAAAATTAGACAAATCGGAAATTGTTTCGACATCCAATTGTGTCTTACAAAATCAATTAACACGGTACTTCAAGAAAGTACTAAAATTTCAATAACTCAATTGAGTGGTCGAATGATATCGGATTCAAGTGATTTTTTGTAGAAATGATCTTTGAATGAATATCTACAAAATAGACGGTTTGGATTAGTGAAATACAATCCATAGTGGGGCCTACAAGGGGTGTCCCTCAAATAACTTATTTGAGGGATCTCTCAATGGAAGCTCACTGTATATATATATATATATATATATATATATATAGGTGTGGTCGCAACCCTCTGATGGGCCGAGCCATTTAGAGCCCACTATTTATCATCATTGGTGTTGCTTTTTTAAGTTGGGGCTGTACCATCAGCACCCTTTCGACAGATAGAGCCATCCATTGGGCCTGCTATTACAAACTGATTTCTAGAGAGACAAGTTGGTATATCGGTGGAACCACAGCCATCCATCTCTACATGGCCCACCGCAACAAGTTTACAGCCTTTGTTGGTGAAATTATACGTTGGCTTTGGCAAAAGATTTTTTATGAAGACAAAAAAACCTATATGGCTCACCATCAACTACAACACATTAGAGAAATATTATTTTCTCAAGTTCATATGTATTCTCGTTCAAGAACAGAATAATATGTTAACCTAATTCTATTTTTTCTTGTGTTTACAAGTAATATATATGTGAAATTTAATTATTTATATTTTTGCATTTTGCATTTTGGAAGCTTGATTATTTTATGCCAATAAATTTAAACATATTCAAAATACAAAGGTAAGATTTTTTATTTTTTTTTTTATAAAGAAAAAATAAAAAATCATTAAATGTTAAGCTAAAAATTTTTAGCTAACCCACTCACTAAAAAATTCCTAATTCCACCTTGACTAATCCATGTAATTTTGTCGACATATCTTTACTCTCCATTTGGATGAAAAAAAATAACTCGGAATTTATTTAAAAGTCAGAATTTATTCAAGGACACGAAGAAAAAATCGTGGAATTTGAGGCATCAAATTTTTTATTTTAATTTCTACCAAAATAGACATCATTTCACAATTTCCGTAATGCTATTTATAAAATTATGTCATTTACAAAATTCGATATACATAAATCAAAACACTAAAATCTTCAATTGCCAGAAATTGAAACGATGGAAATCTAAATTCCGTCATTTTAGAATTCTATGTAATTTTCAATTTCTTCATCCAAACGGATGGTAGTGTAATGATCAATTCACTCGTAAATTCCAAACACGTCCTTAAAGATAATGCAATGAACGTAGACCAGTGTTTTGGCCAATTATCAAAAGGCAAGTCAAAAAGCAAAATAGTGACAGTTAGGTCAAGGTCTAGGAGTTTTATATCCTTGTTCTTCCACCACGTGATGGGGAAAGTCTTGCCCTCCTTTCACGTTCTTTACAGGTCTAACGGTAAAGATGATAATGATAGTGATTAATACTGGATTGATCCAGAAATTATAAACCATCACCATTACATGCAAGTTGAAATTGCAACTTGCACACCTCTTTGATTTCAAAGGGGACCACTACATGGGGAAAATTTTCATCCTCCGCAGCAATTGGTGCAGTCTTGACAAACTGATTTCTAGAGACAAGTTGGTATATGGGTGGAACCACAGCCACCTATATCTACATGGCCCACCACAAGTTTACTGCCTCTTGTTTTTTTATCTGCAGACTTTTGTGGGTGAAATTATATGTTCGCTTTGGCAAAAGATTTTTGAAGAAGAAAAAAAAAACTTATATGGCTCACCATCAACTACAACGCATTAGTGAAATATTATTTTTTCAAGTTCATATGTATTCTCATTTAAGAACGGAATAATATGTTAACTTAATTCTATTGTTCTTGTGTTTACAACTAATATATATGTGAAACTTAATTATTTATATTTTTGCATTTTGCATTTTAGAAACTTGATTTGTTAGTGCCAATAAATTTAAACATATTCAAAATACAAAGGTAATTTTTTAAGAAAAAAAAAATCATTAAATGTTAAGCTAAAAAATTTTAATTAACCCACTCACTGAAAAATTACTAGTTCCACCTTGACTAAAACATGTAATTCTGTCAACATATCTTTAATGTAATGATCAATCCACTCATAAATACCAAACACGTCCTTAAAGATAATGCAATGAACGTACACCAGGGTTTTGGCCAATTATCAAAAGGTCAGTCAAAAGGCAAAACAATGACACATAGGTCAAGGTCTAGGAGCTTTTAGAGCGGTTCCACCGCTGTAGCCCAGCCCAAGGCTAGGGGGAAAAAAAAAATTGGCTTTTCAGCGGAGCAGCCCAGGCCCGGGGGGGTGTGGGACCCACCTCCTCGGGCTGGCCCGAAGGCAAGTCTTACCCGAGGTCCAAAACGAGGGGGGTTACTGTAGCGCTACAGTATTTGCTACAGTACCCCCGCTACAGTATCGCTACAGTACCTCGTTGATTTGATTTTTTTTCCTGTTGCCACGTGGCGTCATCTGGGCTCTCCGATCTGATTTTTTCCTCCAATCCAACGGCAGCCAATATTTTTGCAATAAAATACTGGAAAAAATTCGGAAATTTTTTTAAAAATACCCAAAAATTAACGAATTTTTTTCTATAAATACCAGCCTTTTGTTTTTATATAATTTATCTGAAATTTGAAATTGAAAATTTTATCCGATTATGAGATATGAATAGTATTGACACGTAGGAACCCGAAAATCTTATCCGAAAATATTATCCAAATTAATTATTGATGTAAAAAAAGTTGTGAATAAAACAAAAAAATGAATAGTAACTGCCCTTAGCAAGGGCAACGGGTGGAAACACAAAATTCGGATTTTGCAAGGGCAACCACTATTCACGTGAATAGTGGCTGCCCTAGCTCCCCCCCTTGCCATGGCTAAGGGCAAATGGGTGGAGTTGCTCTTATATCCTTGTTTTTCCACCACGTGATGGAGAAAGTCTTGCCCTTATTTCACGTTCTTTGCAAGTCTAGTGTGAGAAAAGTAACATATCTTGAAATGGTTTAAACGGTCTGGACATTCTACACTTCAGGTTGAGGTAATTTTTACATCAATTCTTAAAATTCAGCATTTTGAACTCTTTCCCCATCTTTATTTTAGTGCTTTCAAGGAGCCAGCATATCCTACAATTAGTATTATTGCTTTAGCCGCTAAAGTCATAAAAATGTATCACTGCAAGCATTCACGGATACGTGTTGAAAAATATGTTTTTGTCTTATTAAGAAGCCCAAAGCTCAAAAAGTAAATGTAGTTCTAATTCTAGATTCAGCTTTTGCGTTTGTGCGTGGTGATTGTAAGTTGTTGATGTTAAACTCAACACTCATGTGTGCTTAGTGACTATGAACCGTTGATACATCTCCTAATAGTAATAAAAAGTGTAGAGCTAGAGACTCATATATTGTATGCCACAATTATAGATAGTGTAGTCCAATAAGTAGTAACATGTAAAATGTATTAATCACACAGATATGAACATATATGTCAAATCCATGCTAAAGTATTGTGGATACAAGTCTAGCGATTTTGAATTTTCAAGTATTGGAAATGCTTACTGGAAAACACCAAAACTGTGAGATTTAGGTAAAGGTCTAGGAGCAATGTATCGAGTAATTTTATTCTGGATATAATTAATTAAGTTTGGTGATTTTGAGTTTTCAAAAATTAGAAATGCTCAAAGACCCTGACATTTATCGGCCAAGCTGGCCTAGGAGCAGCAACGGGGTTTGGCCAATTGTCAGAATGCAGGGGAAAAACCAAAACCCTGATATTTATAGGTCAAGCTGGCCTAGGAGCTTTTATATGTGACATATCCTAATTTGACATGGCCTAGCAGCAACGGGGTTCTTTCACGTTCTTTGCAATTTCTAGTTGCTTTCATTTATCCTAATTTGAAAACTCTGTTTATACATATATAACAGGGTAAATTCTAGCAATTTTGAATTTTCAATTGGAAAAAATGGAAAACAAAACCAAAAAAAAAAAAAAAAAAAAAAAAAAAAAAGGATGAAAAAGAACCAAGAATATACCAAGTTTCTTTGCAATTGCTGGGTGGGACACATTGGGTTAAAGCACCAGTTACCATAAACTAATCCATGTAATTCTTTCACATAAATACCAGTTGGAAAAAAATCTGGAAATTAGCAATTCCAATCCACTCATAAATACCAAATGCGTCCTTAAAGATAATGCAATGAACGTACACCAGGGTTTTGGCCAATGTATCAAAAGGTAAGTCAAAAAGAAAAACAGTGACATTTAGGTCCAGATCTTCCACCACGTGATGGATAAGTCTTGCCCATCTTTCGCGTTCTTTGCAGGTCTAACAGCAAAGATGATAATGATAGTGATTGGGGTAAAATGATAAGGAAAAATGCTTGAAAACTTGTAGAAGGTGTTGGTTAATGTTCTCTAGTAAAATAAACATTGACTTGCAACCTTGTAGAAGACGTTCAGATAAATTTTTACACGCTCCTTGCCTTGCCCCCTATATATGAGTTCACTCATTGCGTAGCAGTCTGCAACAAACAAATTGAGAGAAACTTTATTTGCATAATGGATACTTTGTATTCAAACTTACTCAACCCTCCCTATATTTCTCACTTTTTGCTCCTTTTGTTTTTGGCATCTTCATATCTGCACACTAGCAGTCACTTCTGTTTCTGTTTGGTTGATGGAGTTCCAAGCATTGGTAGTGTTAGATCATGCATCGAGGAAGAGAGAAGTGCGCTTCTTAGTTTTAAACAGGATCTCAAGGATCCCTATGGAAGGCTTTCTTCTTGGGTGGGTCGCGATTGCTGTCAATGGGAAGGGATTTCATGCACCAACCGCACCGGTCATGTGGCGAAGGTGGACCTCCGGAATCCATGTTCATATGATGACGAGGAAGGTACTTATTATAACCAGTCTTGGTTGGGGGGTAAGATAAATCGATCTTTGCTTAGCTTGAAATATTTAAATTATTTGGATCTAAGCTGCAATTATTTTGATGGGATTCACATCCCTAAGTTCTTTGGGGATCTTAAAAGTCTGAGGTATCTCAATATTTCCTCTGCATCATTTTCGGGAGAGATTCCCCCTTCTCTCGGTAACTTATCAAAGTTGAACTATCTTGATCTTGGCAACTCTTTTTATAATACTCGCTCATTTGAAATGCATTCCAAAAACTTGAATTGGCTTTCTCATCTCTCTTCCCTAAAATACCTCAATCTCAATGGAGTGAATCTTAGCACAGAAGTTCCAAATTTGCTGCATCATGTTAACATGCTTCCTTCCTTACTGGAGTTACACTTATCTAATTGCTTCTTTGAAAGCCCTCCACTATCACTACAGAAGATTAACTTCACCTCACTTTCTGTCCTTGATCTGTCCTTCACCCCAAATTTTGACCTTTATCTGTCAAATAATGAAGTCAATACTTCTTCATTTCCCAGCTGGCTTTTCAATCTTACCAGCCTCAGAAAACTTGATTTAAGATGGAATTCTTTCGGTGGTCCTTTTCCCGATGAACTTGCAAGCCTCAAATCTCTGGAATACCTAGATTTGTCTCATTGTGGGCTCGAAGGCCAACTGCCGGCCTCTTTAGGAATGTTAAAAAGTATGCAGCATATACACCTTTCGTGGCTTTTACTTTGGGGTTCAATTCCAGCATCTATTGGAAACTTGTCATCCTTGAAAACACTGGACCTGTCTAATAGTAATATTAACGGCTCCATTCCAGAAAGTTTGGGAAAACTCTCAGAGCTAGTTCGACTAGATCTGTCTGCTAATCCATTGGAAGGCATTCTAACAGAAGCCCATTTCATTAACCTCACCAGCTTAAAAATTTGTCATATAGACAATGATGGAAGGCCCATGCCCCTCGTTTTAAACGTGGCTTATGATTGGGTTCCTCCTTTCAAGCTCCAAGAGCTTGGCCTTGAAGACTTCAGAATAGGTCCTGGTTTTTTGGGATTTCTTCAATCTCAGACTGAACTAGAAGCTCTCAGCCTTCGTCGTGCTGCCATATTGGGTTCCATACCAGACGAATGGTTCCTAAAGATATCTTCCCAAGTCGAATATTTGGACTTAGCTTACAACAACTTCGGTGGAAGGCTTCCATTCCAATTGAAGTTTCCAAAGCTAATGTTTATCTTTTTGGATCATAATCAATTCGAGGGCCCATTTCCACTTTGGTCTAGTATTGCCCAAATCCTTGATCTTCAAAGCAATTTATTTTCTGGACCAATTCCCTCCAATTTAGACCAATTGATGCCCCAATTGACATATTTGGATGTTTCTGAGAATAATTTGAGTGGTACTATTCCACCCTCCATTTGCAACATGAAGTATATGAATACCATTTCGCTAAGAAAAAATAAATTATTTGGAGAATTCCCTCAACAATGGAGTTTGTGGAGCGAAATATCCATTATTGATGTCTCACACAACAATCTTTCTGGCAATATTCCGAGTTCAATGGGTATCCCAAGTTCTCTCCATGAATTTAAGGCGAATAATAATAATTTTGGTGGTGAGATTCCTTTTTCCTTTCAAAATTGCACTCATTTGGCCATACTTAGTCTTGGACACAACAAATTCACTGGAAACCTAGCTTTACGGCTTGGATCAAACTTATCAACATTGGTGGTGTTAGGACTGCGATCCAACCTTTTAAGCGGGCATATCCCCCATCAGTTATGCAATCTTGTCTACCTTCGCACCCTAGACCTTGCTCACAACAACTTTTCAGGGACCATTCCCAAGTGTTTGAAAAATATGACTTCTCTGGTCAAAGCTGATGCTCCATTCATGGAGTCGGAGTTATCTAATATATATGATGGACAAACAACAATAATGTCAAAAGGGGAAGAACTTGATTACGGAGATTATGCCTCATTCTATTGGGGATTAAACATCATTGATCTTTCATCAAACAATTTCGAAGGCGAAATCCTTGAACAAGTAGGCAGTTTGGTTGAATTGCATACATTGAACTTGTCGATGAATCAATTAACTGGAGAGATTCCTTCAAGCATCGGAAAATTACGCTGGCTCGAATCTCTTGATCTCTCACACAACCACTTTTCAGGACATATCCCTCAAAACATGTCTTCGTTAACCTCCCTATCTCACTTGAACTTGTCCTACAACAACTTAATTGGAAGAATACCTTCGGGCAACCAACTCGAAACCCTCAATGATCCATCTATTTATGAAGGCAACCCATCATTGTGTGGGGCTCCTCTTTCAACTGTTTGCCCTGGATATGACACAGGACATATTGTTCCTGCAGAAGATCTGAGTAAAGATGATGACGAAGTGTTTTGGTTTCACGTTAGCATGGCACTTGGTTTCATCGTAGGCTTTTGGGTTGTTTGTGGAACGTTGGTCTTAAAAAAGTCATGGAGGTATGCCTATTTTAAATTCTTTGACAACATCAAAGAGAAGGTAGCATTAACAATTGCATTGAAACTAGCTCGTTGGCAAGGGAAATTGTGATACGAAGAGGAAAAAAAAATATGCATGCATGTTCTGGTGGTTATGCTGAAGCTTGGAACTTGTCTTAGCTTTTAAATTGTTGTTTTTGCTAAGTTTTGTATTAGTGTGTTTTCCTATCACTTTGTTTCTCACTCTCTCACGAGGGGCTTTGGTTGTTGTCCGTCCAAGGTGTTACTTTTTCACCTTCTTCAATAAATTTCTCTCGTACCGTCGAGATTGTTAAAACAAAGGGGAAAAAAAGCTATAAATATGCATGAGTGCTGCTTTCTATAGTAATTAATGTATAATATGCCCTTGCTGGTGATAAAATATATCGAGGAACTAGGATGGTATCTTGACATTTGTTTTCTCCTTTCTCTCTTGTCTATATCTGATAAGAAATGAAGTTAAAAAGAGATGCTTGCATTTGCGCACATCATAAAATTTTGACGAGTCTCTCACCATCTAATTTCCATCACATATCACTCACGGTTTGATTAAGCCGCATGATACATGCTGCATCAAGTTAAGGAAGCGCTTATGCGAGAGCGAATGCTGATTTGTGGTCCACATTTGTTTGCTGTTTTTATTTATTTATTAAGAAGCCCAAAGCCCAAAGCTCAAAAAGTAAATGTAGTTCTCATTCAGGTTGAAAAATGCTAGCAACCTTCTCTCTAACCTTTTCCTTTGGACCTTCTCCCTTTTTTCCTTAATATGTGTCATTCTCTTTACACTTAAAACAATGTCATTAATATATTATACAAGCTAACTTTTGCTTTCCAAGTTTACCCTTATTAAATGTATTCAATTTATCCAAAAAAATTTCACAACTTTCTTACAATCTTATTAATTTTTTCTAACGTCAATCATTTTTTTTAAAAGAAAATATATGCTTTTAAGAGGAAATGTCCTTTTTTTTTCTTTTTTAAACATAAAGGGTTTAGATAGGGAAAAATATTTCCTTTGTGTTTAAAAAAAAGGGACATTTCCTCTTTTTTGAAAAAAGCAGACATTTTCTTTAAAAAAATAATTGACGTTTAAAAAAAATTAATAAGATGGTAAGAAAATTGTGAAATTTTTTTGGATAAATTGAATACATTTAATAAGGGTAAACTTGGAAAGCAAAAGTTAACTTGTATAATATATTAATGACATTGTTTTAAGTGTAAGGAGAATGACACATGTCAAGAAAAAAAGGGAGAAGGTTAGAGAGAAGGTGGCTAGCATTCCCCTTCTAGGTTTAGCTTTCAAGTTTGTGCATGGTGATTGTAAGTTGTTGATTCTAAGCTCAAGACTCATGTGCGTTTAGTGACTGTGAATTGTCAATGCATCTACAAATAGTAATAAAAAGTTGAGAGAGTGATATATTGTATCATGCGATCCCCACAAATATAGATAGTGTGTTACATGTCTCAAATGTATTCCAGCTTCTAAACGTATGAATCACACAGGTATGAACATAGATATAAAATGCATGATAAAGTATTGAATTTTCAAGTGTTGGAAATGCTTACAGGAAAACACAAAAACTGAGAAATGAAAGATAAAATGACGGGCCAAATGAGAAGTAGAAGATCGATGGAATGAGCTCTCAACTTGTGGGCTTCCAAAGTTGGTTTAGGTTTGATTGGGCCAATAACAAAAACAAAAACATATTTTTACAAAACTTGTGGGCTTACAAAGTGGATACAATGATAGCGATTTTGAATTTTCAAGAATTGGAAATGCACAAGGATCAGACAATGAATAAGAACGTCATGGATTAACGTTCTTTGCAATTGCTGGGCGAGACTCATCGGGTTAAAACACCAGTTGGCAAAATCCATGTAATTCTTTGAACTTGTACAAAATCTGGAAATTAGCATTGACAACATATATTGAATTTAATGATCATCATATCCAATCCACTCATAAAAACCAAACGCGTCCTTAAAGATAAATGCAATGAACGTACACCAAGGTTTTCGCCAATTATCAAAAGGTAAGTTAAAAAGAAAAACAGTGACACTTGGGTCGAGGTCTAGGAGCTTTTATATCCTTCTTCTTCCACCATGCGATGGAGAAGTCTTGCCCTTCTTTCACGTTCCTTGTAGGTCTAACAGCAAAGATGATAATTATAGTGATTAATACTTGATTGATCCAGAAATTATAAACCATCACCATTTAAGACATTCAAGTTGAAGTTGCAACTTGCTCACCCCGCTGATTTCGAGAGGGACCACTACACTACATGGTGAAGAATTTTCATCCTCCGTACCAATTGGTGCAGTCTTGGCAAACCTTTTTTTTTAAGTGTTAGGACCATTTATCTCATGTCGGAAAAATAACATATCTTGAAATGGTTTAAACGGTCACTCTACACTTAAGATTAAGGTAATTTTTACATAAATTTTGAAAATCCAGCATTTTGAATGCTTTCCCCATCTCTATTTTAGTGCTTTCAAGGAGCTAGCAAATCCTACTATTAGTATTATTGCTTTGGCCTCTAGGGTCATAAAAATGCATCACTACGAGCACCCACAGACACATGTCAAGTGTTGAAAAGGATGGTGAAATACACCTTGGGTTATAAAGTGATAAGGAAAAATGCTTGCAAACTTGTAGAACACGTTGGTTTGGTGATAATACACTTTGGCTGTGTTTGTAGGAATGGGCTCATAAGCATTAATACATGGCAAAGCATCAGCCGTATTTGACAAAAAAAAATTTCTATCAATAGATAGGATATAGTGTTCGATATAGGGGATATGATAGTTCTGCTGTTTGGTTTATTTCGTAACAGGAGCTTGAATATCTAATATCTAAAAACAGGTATTAGTGGCCACCCACTTGGTCACAGAAACTACCCTCTTTGGTCACTGAATGCAATCAATGTCCAAATATTGGTGGTCACTGGGTGCTCGTCACAAATTCTATTTAGTGGCCAATGTCAACTATTGGTCACTACAACACAAAGAATTAGTGGCTATCCCTATCTGGTCACTAATAAAAACGCTATTAGGGCCTGCCCCAAGAAGCAAATGAACTAAGTTTGAAATGGCTGTTAATCTGTCAATACTAATCAGTAACCACTAATACAGTCCCCAATAGCATTTCAGATTACAATCAAGTAGAACACAACGCAATAGGAATAAGATAAAGAAAAAGCAAGAATGAAGATGAAAACCCATTATGATTTCAATAAACTCTTTAAGTTTCAAGGTAAAACCTAAGTGCTTTTGATCAAGAGAGGACAAGTAACAGACAACAGAGCAAGTAACAAACGGTGAAGTCAAACATGCATATTTTAAGTCCAATTGTCTCGGATCCATATATCAAATAATGTATGGTGCTCCTTGCTCCATCAATGAAAAATTTATTGACATGACTGTCCAATTACTTTCAGTAATAAAAAAAACAATCCCAAACTTCCCATAAGCATAGTCTATACTCTGGAACTCCAAACAGATTAATTCCTGAAACTGTTCCCTACATTGGATGTAGTGCTAGCAACCATAATCAAGACAAATTTCTCAATGATGGGAAAAATAACAAGTTCATTAGAGTTTCTCCAACCTGTAATACATAAAATTTTTAGTTCGGAAGAAAACACTAGCAAAATATTTCCCTATTACAATTGAAACTCTCGTATTATGTATAAATGCCACCCCAACTGTGAATTCAGTGTGAGAAAGAATACAGAATGGATAAACTGAGACTAGGAAGAGAGAAATCTATGAAACCTGTTAAGTTCCCATGAGTCAATGGATTCACATTGAAACTTATTTGTATAAATACCGGGCAAATACAAAATACAGACCCACGGGTTCTGTATTCTTCAGGTTCTGTATAATTATAAACGCATTTTCAGGTTCTGTATTCTTCTTTTTAAACCTCTATACAAATATATATATGTTTATACCATATTTTACCAAGCAACTAGAAGCAACTCTAGGCAAAGCAAAGAGTCCCACATTGGAATATTACAAGAAGTGAAGGCTCCCCCTCACCTATAAAGGGAGACCACTCTTCCCTTGAAAAGGAGGCTTGGGCTGGGCTTGATATTTAGTCATGGCCTTCTCCTTTCTTACTTTTATATTTGGGTCCAACCCCATGTACAAATATAAATACACAATATTATAATAATGAGAATACACTTCTCCGTGGACGTAGCCCATTCATTAAGGGTGAACCACGTATATCTTGTCTTCTGTATGTTTATCTTGTCTTCTGTATGTCTCCATCATCCATCACACCTCATCACTAAGTTGGGCTCAAAAGTGCCGAACCATTTTTGAGCGTCAACAGTTTGGCGCCGTCTGTGGGAATCGACACAAAAAGCTTCTGTCATTCTCCCCTTCTTTAGTGCCCTTCGGCAGTTCCCTTCGGCAGTGCCCTTCAGCACCCCTGCAATCAGCATCTCCTAAGTTGCCGTTCGGCAATCCCATGCTGGAGCAACCATGAATGATAAGGCAACAAATTGCAGAAGATGATATTTCAAAGAAAAACCAATCAGAATGTGGATACCATTTTGCATGGCTTGCATGACCAAACCACCATCTCAATTCAAAGTGCCGTTCGGCACCCCCTTTGAAGAGAAAGTTTGGCACCCTTATAATCAACATCATCTAATTGTCATTCGGCAATACCCGTAGTGAGGCAACTTTGAGTCACAAGGCACCAAGATGCCGAAAACACCACTCTTGCCGAAGCCTCTATCAGATTAGTGGCATACTCATTATTCTTACAAATTATCTAATACTTCCAATATTAGATAAAACACATTTGCATATCTTATCTTATATTTTAATATATTTATAAGTATGCAATTCAGTGGTTCCATATATTATTCAAGTGGTTGACATAAACCATGGGATCAATCGGCAGCCTAGCCACACCTTCAATTCTTCTCATTTTAAATACTATTTTGTCCTATTTGTCATATAGGAAAGTGTGGAGCAATTTGAATGGACATGCCAAACGGCACCCACCCATCTCAGATGTTTAATCACCATCTGATGGAAGCCACTCAAACCGCACTACAAGTTCAAAAGCATGGTGGAAAACTCCAAAGGAGAGATTATAACATCCTCCGAACAAATCGATTGGCCAAACCAAAAGGAAATCATATGCTTCAGAAAGCTCAGAAAGCCGGTGAAACAATACGGAGCGATCAACACCCGGTGCACATCTCCAATCATTTAGCTTCAGCTAGCCAATGGCTCTCAGAAGCCACATCCGACTCCAAAAATTATGCCCAGCTGTCACTCCACAGTCCTTCTCAACCAAACTAACAGGGGGACTTGACTTCTGCAAAAGCTTTCGGAAAACTCCTCTGGCAAACCAAAGCCTGCCGAACGACACCTTAAAAATTGGGGAAGACCAGAGATTGCCGGTACCGCCCGACACACCCATCCAAGCCAAATGGCACCCAACCCAACATGCATATCGAGGATACAAGAGTACCGTTTGGCACCCAATATTAGGCTTTTTCCTCAACACACCCACGGTGTCTTCAACAGAGGAAAGAAAAAGATTCGACATGCTAAAGACGCCATACTACCCAAGAGGATACAAAAGGACGCATGTGTTCAAATAACACCGAATGATGCAAGCTCAAAGCAACAGAGGACAACCCCAAGCCCATGAGACTGATCGGCGACACCCTTGCCGATCGGTAGGTCAACGATGGAAGGAAAAAGAAAATGCCTAGACTATAAAAAACAGATGCCATCTCTCACCTCTCGCTAAACCTCTCAAGACACCCATGGTGTCGCACCAGCAAGGTGCGGATCGGCAAGTGTGCTGAAAGCGGACCGTTCTTGGCGACCCTTCTCCTTCGGAACGAGCCTTGCCGAAGACTTCAAGAACTCTCCAAGGCCACCCTTGCCGAACGACAAGGGCCCTGCGAAATTGAAAAGAGGCCCTTGAAATCACGGCTCTAATAGTTCCTGTTGAACGGTAAAGACCGTGAGCAACTCTCTCGGCTTCACAAAAATAAACAGCCCGCGCTTGCCGACAGCTTGAGTACCCAGACTACCCGACTTGAGAAGCTCCAAAAATTCCCCCAAAACACCCTTGCCGAACGGCAAGGGCTGTGCAGAAGACACGGAGGCGTCACGACAACGAACACGGAAGCCCAAGCTCCCTTGCCAAAGGACGTGCTGTCGAAGCCTATCTTTCCAACAATGAAAATCCTTCTCAGCCAACCTTGCCGAAAGGCAAGGTTCGTGCTGGAGTGTTCTAAGGTCTCGCCAACATTCTGGCCCTTGCCGAAGTTCTTAGGACCCAGCCCGTGCGCACAAGACTTCCGAGTCTGCCCTCCAAAAGCTACGGACGCAGGCCTTGAAGACAAAGATGGGCTTAGCCCACTTGTTGACAATTACACACAAACAAACGGGTTCGCCATAGGGGATGAAGGTTCAAGGCACCCTTGCCGAACGGCAAGGCCCTAGAAAAGACAAACGGGGCACGCAAATTTCACCAGGACCACCCTTGCCGAACGGCAAGAGCCATGCGAAATTGATTGGAGGCTCAAAAACCTCAACTCCCCGAGCCAAGTACCTGCCGAAGGTAACCATTCATCAAGGAGGCCCACTTACTTGGCATTCATGCCAACACAACAAAAAACAAAAGAAAAATCCAAGATTATTAGCCAGCAATAATTATTGGAAAAGATCATCGGCATATACGCCAAACGAAAAAACCCAAGACTATTTGCCATCGGCAATAAACATTGGTAAGCTTGTTCTACAAGACGAGAGCGATGCCTTCGGCACCCTGCCATCATCAGACGAGAGCGATGCCTTCGGCATCCCGTCATCATCTGACAAGCGTTGCCTTCGGCACCCTGTCATCATTTGACAAGAGAGATGTCTTCGGCACCCTGCCATCATCAGACGAGAGCGATGCCTTCGGCACCCCGTCATCATTCGACAAAAGCGATGCCGTCGGCACCATGTTCTCATTAGACGAGTGCGACGCCTTCGGCACCCCGTTAACGCCTTCGGCACCCTGCTATCATTTGACGCGAGCGACACCTTCGGCACCCCGTCATCATTTGACAAGAGAGATGCCTTCGGCACCCTGTCATCATTCGACAAAAGCGATGCCGTCGGCACCATGTTCTCATTAGACGAGTGCGACGCCTTCGGCACCCTGCTATCATCTGACGCGAGCGACGCCTTCGGCACCCCGTCATCACCTTCGGCACCCTGCCATCATCCGACGAGAGCGATGCCTTCGGCATCCCGTCATCATCTGACAAGCGTTGCCTTCGGCACCCTGTCATCATTTGACAAGAGAGATGCCTTCGGCACCCTGCCATCATCCGACGAGAGCGATGCCTTCGGCACCCTGTCATCATTTGACATAGCGATGCCTTCGGCATCCCGTCATCATCTGACAAGCGTTGCCTTCGGCACCCTGTCATCATTTGGCAAGAGAGATGCCTTCGGCACCCTGCCATCATCCGACGAGAGCGATGCCTTTGGCACCCCGTCATCATTTGACATAGCGATGCCTTCGGCACCCTGTCATCATTAGACGAGAGCGATGCCTTCGGCATCCCGTCATCATCTGACAAGCGATGCCTTCGGCACCCTGTCATTGTTGGACAAAGAGAGTTGCCTTCGGCACCCTGTCATCATTTGACAAGAGAGATGCCTTCGGCACCCTGTCATCATTCGACGAGAGCGATGCCTTCGGCAACCTGTCATCACCTTCGGCACCCTGCCATCATCCGACGAGAGCGACGCCTTCGGCACCCCGTCATCATTCGGCACCATCGACACTACACTACTTGGAAGAAGACTAAGGTGTTGCTCGGTCAATGCACTGAAAATTGCAAGTCCTCAACCAAGGAGTACCTCCTTGCTTGAGAACTTGGGAGACTTCTGTTTATACCATATTTTACCAAGCAACTAGAAGCAACTCTAGGCAAAGCAAAGAGTCCCACATTGGAATATTACAAGAAGTGAAGGCTCCCCCTCACCTATAAAGGGAGACCACTCTCCCCTTGAAAAGGAGGCTTGGGTTGGGCTTGATATTTAGTCATGGCCTTCTCCTTTCTTACTTTTATATTTGGGTCCAACCCCATGTACAAATGTAAATACACAATATTATAATAATGAGAATATACTTCTCCGTGGACGTAACCCATTCATTAAGGGTGAACCACGTATATCTTGTCTTCTGTATGTTTATCACTTGCTCAAATACTCACACACTTGGTGAAGGTCCTCACCTTCACCCATCATCCATCACACCTCATCACTAAGTTGGACTCAAAAGTGCAGAACCATTTTTGAGCGTCAACAATATATATATATATATATATATTGTGAAGGGGAGAAGAAAAGTCGTCAAACAAGCAGAGAATCTACAAACCCCAATAGCATTTCAGATTACAATCAAGTAGAACACAATTCAATAGGAATAAGAGTAAAGAAAAAGCAAGAATGAAGATGAAAACCAATTAGGAATCAAACAGCCAGAGATCGAAGATTTCTTACCAGAGAAGCTGATGGTCTCAAAAGTTGATTTCATAATTGGATCTCACTAGCCTCAAGGTCGTTTCTCAAAATCAAAACTTGTGCCACACAGATTAGGAAGTTAGGGCATCAAGAATCGAAATTCAAAGAGAAATCAAAACTAAAATCAAAATTGAACCTAAAATCAAGCTCTGCCTCAGTACCAAACGAAAACCTAGTTGATTTAAGGACACAAAATGTAGCTCGCTCTAATCTGTCACTCTGATCGCAAGCTCGCTCAGATCTCTCGCTCTCGTCTCGCTCGTATCTTGCTCTGGTCTCCGCGCCATCTTTGTTTTCATTTTGATGCAGTGCGTGTTTTGAAAAAGAAAAATCTAAGTTTAAAAAACGTTAATTGGTCACTGATGTATTATGTTGACGCAGAAAAATGGTTCGGCACTTTCCCGCGCAACTTAGTGATTAAGTCTCTTCGGTGTCTAATGTCCTCGGCAGTGTGTCCGATCTGTAAGATAGCAAACACACGGTAAGTCCTAAGGCACCGGTGTGGTACCGGCCAAAGGCTCTCCGATGCTTAAGTAAGTACGGGTTTAGTAAAGTTGAACTACAGATCAATAGGCAGTATGCCGTGAGTTCTGATTGATTACCTCCAAGCTGGGATGGTTGTCCTCTTTTATAGGCCTTGGGAGGTGTGCAATTTGTTTAGACTTTCGATGTGGGACTCTGGACATCAGCTGTGGGACTGCCACGTGTCAAAGGGGGCGAGGTTGCCCTAATATTGCGATCGGTGGGTTTGGTACCGAAGGTGGGTGCCGAAGGCATCCATGGCCCTGGTTTAGCCCACGTGTTCGATATTCATTGGCTGTTCATTTCGGTATAAACAGGAGTCCCCCAAGTCCCCTTGCGAGAGTTCTCGGAAGGGGATTTGAAATTGTCTTCGGAAGGAACCGTGGCCCTACCGTTCGGTAGTCCAACTTGGGGAAGGGGCTAAACTTTGTCCCTTCTGGCATTATTTGTTCAGAGGCTGACGTTGGCGAAGTCAGAAGGTCGCGTCGAGCTGACGGGTGAAGGGACGTCTGAGCGCTTTGACTTCCGCGCTTCGCGTGCCGTTTGTTCCCCACAGGATGAGCGACACGTGGCGAAAGTAATGATGGCGCGCGGCGCATTAATGTGCAGTTTGGTTTTTCGCCTCCGAAATCACTTTGCATCTAGTGAGAAGTGAGAGCTCTGTTTGAGGCGATTTCCGATGAGGGCTTCCGGTAATCAGGCGATTTCCGACAAGTGTTAACGGTAACTAGACGATTTCCGGCGTTTCAAACGGCAGGAAGGGCGATTCCCGATATTGCGAACGGCAGGGAAGCATTCTGAAGAGCAGATCGCGCTTATCTTCCAGAGTACACACTAAGGTACCGTTCGGCATTTTCCCCTTTACTCTGTTGCATGCTTTAAGAGTTACGTCCTTCCTTGGTTCGAACTAGACTGACCATAGGGTTCCATTCGGTAGTCTAGTCGCCATAGGTAGCGATGTAGGGATCGGTAGGGTAGTATCCGGCATGAGCCTTAGTTTCCTTTTTCCCTGTTTTTGTAGATGTCTGATAGCGAGTCATTCTCCGAGCGCGAGCCTAATGCGTTCGATGAGGAGTTATCGGATGGTCTCTTTGACTCCGACGGCGAAGCGGTAGGGCCTGATGCCGAGGGTGGGACTGATATCGACGTCGAGATACTCGGCGAAGGGCCCAGCTCCATTCCAACACACGGAGTCGGAAAGGGGCTAATGACCGCTCCTGTCCCGTTGTCAATCGTCTATAGTTACGGCCGCCACGTGGGCCTTGGTATGCCTTGGGAGGCGAGCGGTGGCCGCCAGTCAGATACCTCCACTTCTGGCCGTGGAGAGTCGGCAGCTAAACCATCATCTGGGCCTAGGGTATCGGTAGTGTACCCAAGCAACCCTAGGGTGCCTATGGGGGTGCCGAAGGAAAATTTATTCGGCGTCGACTATCTTGGGTCGAACAAGATTACCGATCGGGAGATTGCCAAATTTCGAGCGGAATACCGCATCCCCAATTCGGTACGGATGAGGATCCCGGGCCCTACCGAATCCCTTAGTACGCCGAAGGACGGCGAGGTAGTCTTTTTTACCGACGTCCTTGTGCAAGGCGTTTGGTTGCCGTTGCAGCCGGCGATACAGAGGATCCTAGCCCAGATCGGCTACGCTCCGGGGCAATTCAACCCCAACTTCTGGGTGGCCCTCATGGGAGTGATAACGGCCTTCGGCATGGCTGGCGAAGGGAGCCCCTCCTATGAACAGTTCTCTCATCTATACAACATTACCAAGTCCAAGTGTGTCGATCACGGCGGATGGGTGCAGGCGAACTGTCTCAGGGCTGCCGATCGTGGCCACTTTGTCAGCTGGGTACCGACTTCACAGAAGTCATGGACGAATCGGCGGGTGCTCCTTTCGAGCGACTGGGAGTCGCCTTCGGGACAGCTTGTCCGATTTCGCATTCCCACAACATTCCAAATAGCCGGTAGGGTCACGTGCCGTTCGGTACCTTCTCTGGGTTCCGCGTTTACCGTAAGTGATCTTTCATGTTTGTTCTTCTTGTAGGTAAATTGAAGCAGCCGATCGCAACGCAGGCCGAGATCCAGAAAGTGGAGAGAGTGAGGAGAAAAGTCCCTGCCGAGAAGAGGGTGTATCCGCAGTTCCTCTTCACCGCCAATCTGATTCAGGCCCAGCTGGTCGATCCTGCCGAGAGTAAGTATACTTCGTAATTTACAAATTGTTTTTTCCCCCTAGTGAGTCTTACCGAACCCTCTTTTCGCAGTGACGGAAAAGAGGAGAGTTGCCGAAGCTAAGAGGATGAACGAGTCCTCCAAGCGCTGTCTTATGATGGGCTTCCAGGGGAAGAAGAAGAAGAACCAGCCGCAGGGCTCGACATCGATAGACCCCGAGGACCAGACTCTGGCTGACCGTCTCCGTCAGCTCAACGCTGACTCGGCATAGGCCGGGGCGGCAGCGGTCGGCCCCTCTCCTGGCCGAGGCACCACTACCGAAGGGACTTCCTCCCGAGCTGCCGGTGAACGGCCCTTTACCGTCGACCTAGATGCCGAACCGGCCCCAAAACGCGGACGGCAGGCCGAGCCTCCTCGGGCCATCTTTGCTGCTGACAACGACGAGGAGCCTACCAATCCCGTCACCCTGGCCTGTCCGCCGAAAACGGTCCAGTTTGCGAACCACATGATCCTTGGTTCGCAAATGGAGCTGAATGAGATCGAGGAGCTGCCGAAGAAGCTCATTCGGGAGGAGGCGGGTCGCGCTTTCCGTCTTCAAGCATCGGTAAGTCCCGAGTATTCCCGGTTCAGCTTGCCGTTTTTTTTTTTTTTTTTTTTTTTTTTACTTTGACGTTCCCCTTGTTCTGCAGGCTTCGATGGACATGTGGCTTTGCATGAAGCGAGCCATCAATGCTGCCGAGAAGGCGAAGAAGGCCTATGAGGACGGTAGGGCCAGGGTTGCCGAGGCTGGCAAGGCTATCCAGGATCATGCGAACCTGGCGAAGGATTTGCAGGCTGCCGAACGGCAGGTCAGGGTTTATGAGTCCAAGTTCGCAGATCTGTCGTCAGCCCTGGAGTCGGCACAACTATCGGCAAAAGAGGCTCTGGAGGGGAAGGAAGCCGTTGAGGTGGCTCTGGAGGAGTCGGAGCGGGCCAAAGCTTTCGAGATTGAGGCTGCCGTCCAGGAGGCCATTCAGAAGTATCGCTACTCTCCCGATTTCTCTACCTTGCTTGACAAGGAGGTGGGCTCGGAGATGGTGGATCTCATCTACCGATTCAAGCGGTACAATCCTGGGACGAAGCTCAACTTGAACTTCATTGCCGATCCTCCTCCCCTTCCCGAAGGCGTTACAGAAGAAATGATTGAGGAGTATGAAGGGGAGGACGCTCCGGGGGAGCCCGACGCCATTGGTGCCGAGGAGGCTACCTGAAGGCCCTTCATCCTTATTTCCTGCTTTTGTTTTATGTAATTTGATGCCGAGGGCCTTTTTGTAATTTTGATGCAACTTTGATGCCGTTGGCATCTTTTGTTTGGATATTTGATGCCGTGGGCATATTTTTATCGAAGTTGTGTTTTGATTTTAATTTGATTGTATCTTACTTCTGAATCGGTAATGTACTTAGGAAATTTTTCTGTTTAATGCCGAAGGCTCTCAAAAAGAGTCATTAGCCGTTGGCCAATAAAGTTACCTTTCAAGCAAAAGTTCAAGCAGTAGGGAATTGAAACCAACAGGCGTGCTTGCCGATGGCTAAGCAACGGCCTGTAATTACCGAAAGCTTATAAAGGTTAATAAAGGTTGTCCAAGTTGTCCCTTAATCGGTAGGATAATGGCGATGCCAAAATGCGTAGTTCACTGCGACCGATGGTCCCTACCGTTTTTTTTTTTTTTTGAACAAAAAATGAAGAGAGTTTAAAGGGTACAACAAAGGTTCTGAATATATGAGCCGAAGGCCCTTTCATTGATAAACTGCCGAAGGCAAAGGTACAATTTGGAGTGCGTTTTACAATTTAGAACCCGCCGTTGGCTAGGAAACGCTACAATGCCGAAGGCTGTGTTCGTAGAGAAGCCGAAGGCTTTTGGGACTCCTCTGTAACCCTGCCGTAGGCTAGGTGACTTCATTTGAAATAGTACTTCAAATGCTCTACATTCCAAGGATGACCGAGGGTCTTTCCGTTGGAGTCTCTGAGTCGATAAGTCCCCGATCGCTGGATACCGATGATTTCGTAGGGTCCCTCCTAGGAAGGTCCGAGGGTTCCTTCCGTGGGATTCTTGGTTGCCAAAGAGACTTTCCGCATGACCCAATCTTCGATTCGGAAAGAGCGGGATCTGACCCTGGAGTCATAGTACTGAGAGACGCGTTGCTTGTACGCTTCATTCCGAAGGTTGGCTTGTGTTCGGCGTTCTTCGAGCAGGTCGAGGCTCAAAGCGAGCGCTTCCTCATTCGCTTTTGGTACGAAGGTTTCCGTTAGGTAGGAAGGCTCTCCGACTTCTACTGGGACTACCGCTTCCGAACCGAAAGCCATGGAGAATAGTGTTTCCCCAGTTGCCGTTCGGTGGGATGTCCGGATGGCCCATAGCACCTCTGGAAGCTTTTCCGGCCAGGCTCCCTTGGCTTTGTTAAGCTGCCGTTTCAACAGCTTCTTGACAATTTTATTCATGGCTTCGACCTGTCCGTTCGATTGGGGGTATGCTGGCGAAGCAAAGAACAGGTTGATCTTGAGTCGGGTGCAGAATTCTCTAAAGACCTCCGAATCAAACTGTCTGCCGTTGTCCGTGACGATGGCATAGGGGATGCCGAATCAGCAACAAATCTTCGATTCTGGCTGCCGTTATCGTTGCTAAGCTTTGGCTTCGACCCATTTGGTGAAGTAGTCTACGGCAACAACGGCATATTTGACCTGACCCTTACCCTCTGACATTGGACCAATTAGATCTAATCCCCATTGGGCGAATGGCCACGGGCTCACGATCGGTGACAGCGGCTCGGCAGGAATATGAGGGACACTACCGAACCGCTGGCACTTGTCACACTTCCTGACTAATGTGTTCGCGTCTTGGTGCAGAGTTGGCCAGAAATACCCCTGTCGGAAGACTTTGTGTGCGAGCGATCGGGATCCAGAGTGGTCACCGCAGATTCCACTGTGGACCTCCTGAAGGATATAGTCCCCCTGCTCCTTGGTCAGGCATTTTAAATACGGCGTTGTGTAGCCTCGCTTGTACAGAACGTCGTTGATGACTGTGTATCTTGCCGATCGGTAATGGAGTTTCCGAGCTTGGGACTTATCGGTAGGAAGGGTTCCGGTTGTCAGGAAAGCATAGATTGGAGACATCCATGTGTCTTCATACCGAACGGTACACACCTCAGTGGCGGTTGTGCTCGGTTGGGATAATATCTCCACCGGTACCTTCCTTCCGACCTTGTCATTTATTGCCGAAGCTAATCGTGAGAGCGCATCGGCGTGGCTGTTTTCCGACCTGGGGATCTGCCGTATCTCGTAGGCCTGGAATTTTTGTAGTAGTTGGTGATCTGCCGATAGGTAGGCAGACATGGAGGCATCCTTTGCTGCGAAGTCTGCCGTTATCTGATTCACTATGAGCTGGGAGTCACTGTGAATGCTGATCTGCCTCGCGCTCATGCTCTTGGCTAGCCGTAGGCCGGCCAAGAGGGCCTCATATTCTGCCTCGTTATTGGAGGTTCGGAAGTTGAATCGGAGGGCATACTCGATTTTGCTACCGTCCGGCGTGGTTAACACCAAGCCGGCACCACAGCCTTGCTGGTTTGTCGAGCCATCCACATGCAGGATCCAGAGAAGAACGGAAGTGTCGAAACGTTCGGTATCCATTTTCTCTGGTGCAACAAGGATGGCGCTCGGCGATGATGGTTCCGATAGCGCAGGAGGTGTGAGCACGGAGATGAAGTCGGCAACGGCTTGGCCTTTTTCTGCAGGCCTCGGCTTGAACTGTATGTCAAACTCTCCCAACTCGATTGCCCATTTGACCAATCGGCTTGGCCTTTGGAGTACCTGCCGAAGAGGCTGGTTAGTCAGAACTGTGATTTCGTGCGCCTGGAAGTAAGGGCGAAGTTTTCGCGCCGAGACGACCAGGGCCAGTGCTAGCTGCTCCAAGGGTGGGTACCGAAGCTCCGCGCTTTGGAGCGCCTTGCTGACATAAAAGATCGGTAGCTCCGCCTTCTCTGGCTTCCGTATCAACACTGAGCTAACGGCAGTGTTGGATACCGAAAGGTATAGGAGTAGTACCTCGCCTGGGAGCGGTTTTGATAATAGTGGTGCCTGGCTCATGTAGTTCTTCAAGTTTTGAAATGCCTGGTCACATTCGGGAGTCCATGCGATATGATGTTTGCCCCCTTTCAAAGCTTTGAAGAACGGTACACATTTGTCGGTAGCCTTGGAGATGAAGTGTGTCAGGGCGGCGACACGTCCGGTAAGGCTCTGAATGTCTTTCTGCGTCTTCGGCGTCTCCATGTCGATTATGGCTTTGATTTTCTCGAGATTGGCCTCGATTCCCTTTTGGCTGATCATGAATCCGAGAAATTTACCGGAAGATACACCGAAGGCGCACTTCGCTGGGTTCAGCCTCATTCGGTAGTCCTTTAGAATACCGAACATGAGGGCCAGGTTTTCCAGGTGCTCCCCTGCCGTTCGGCTTTTTACCAATATATCATCGACATCCACCTCCATGATGCCGCCGATGTATTTGGCAAAAATCCGGTTGACGAGCCGTTGGTAAGTTGCCCCCGTGTTCTTCAGGCCGAAGGGCATGACATTGTAACAGTACAAACCACGATCCGTGATGAATGCCGTATGTTCTCTATCGGCATTGTCTATGAAGATCTGGTTGTATCCTGAATACGCGTCCATGAAGCTGAGCAGCTCGTGCCCGGCGGTGGCATCGACGAGCTGGTCGATTCTTGGCAAGGGGAAACTGTCCTTCGGACAAGCCTTATTCAGGTCGGTGTAGTCCTAACACATCCGTCATCCTCCCCTGGCCTTCCGAACCATGACTGAGTTGGCAAGCCAAACAGGGTACGTAGCTTTCCTGATAAAGTCGATGGCTTTGAGCTTGTCAACTTCGGCACGCATTGCCTCGTACCATTCGGCATTGTACGATCGGCTCTTTTGCCTGACCGGTTTGTGGGCGATGGAGATGTTGAGCTTGTGGCTGATGACATCAGGTGATATGCCGGGCATATCGTCATAAGACCAGGCGAAGACTTCCACCTGCTGCCGTAAGAAGTCGATGAACTGTCTTCGAAGGTCGGGATCTAGATTGGTACCGATCTTCACCCACCGATCGGGGAACTCCTCGTTCAGGATTACGGTCTCGAGCTCCTCGGCGGGCTGCGCCATCGGCGTTGGGTTTTCCTCCCTAGGGTCGTCAATAGGTTCGCTACCGTTCGGTAGTCCCTGCATGGTCATGGCCTCCATTGGCGGTTTGCTAGCTACCGACTTAAGGGCCGTGGCATAGCACGTCCGTGCGCTGAGCTGGTCACCCCGGATGACGCCGGTACCGTTGCGCGTTGGGAACTTCATCAGCAACATGTGGGGAGATAGGTGGGCTTTGACCCTGGTGAGTGCCGTTCGCCCTATGATGACGTTGTATGCCGTTGGGCAGTCGACAATGAGGAATTGGTCGTAGGTCATTATTTTCCTTGGGGCGACGCCGAAGGCGATGGGCAGACTGATGCTACCGACTGGCTGGACTAGATCTCCAGAAAAACTGAGGAGATGCGTGATTTGCCGATTGACCATGCTGTCGGCAATCCCTAATCCCTTGAACGCATCGGCAAAAATCACGTTCACCGAGCTTCCGGTGTCAATCAGCACCCGACCCACATCGTAATCGGCGATCTCGGCCCGAATGATCATTGGGTTATCGTGGGGGTAGATGATCCCCTCCTCCTCCTCTTCACAAAATGTGATGGGCTCCCATCCCACCTTCGGCACCTTTCGGCACCGATCGTCTTCTATGCCGAAGACCTGAGGGCAGTGGGCGGCACGCACATACTGCTTCACCGAACGGTTAGAGGGTCCTGCCAGAGTGGGGCCACCGCTGATCGTGCTGATCATATTGATCTGTCGATTCGCGTTCGGCGCTGGTGCCTGTGGTGGCCTGGCGAGGTACTGATCCAACTTTCCCTCCCGAATCAGACGCTCGACAATTTTCCTCAGATTAATGCAGTCCTCGGTGTTGTGGCTGTTCTGCTGGTGGTATCGGCAGAATTTGCATGTGTCCCGATTATCCTGCCGATTGGGTTTTCGGTTGGTTGGCTTCGGAATCTGGTCATGTTCGTTCATTAGAACGGTTTCATACGTTGTGTTCAGCAGGGTGAAGACTTCCTGGGCACGATCGTGGTTCGGTAGCGGCGCCCGATGGTCGTTACGACCGTATTTCCCGCGCCCCTTCTTCGAGTTCCCCTGACAATTATCACGGTCGTCCTTCCGTTTGTGTCCCGCCGAAGAATCGTCAGTTCGCCCCGGATAACTTTTGGTGGCCGACTCCTCCTTCCGAGCCGAAGGCCCATGTTTGGAGTTGAAGTATTCGGCCTTCGCATGGACTGCCGCTTGCTTCATTAACTCGTCATACGTGCTCCAGTTGCTACTGTGCACGAGATATCGGAAGTGAGAGGACCAAAGGCCACTCTTGAAGGCGCCGTAGGCCGCCCTATCGTCCGTTTCAAGACACCTCAAGTACTCGTGACTGAAGCGCGCTGCGTATTCCCGTAAGGGTTCGTCCTCCCTCTGCCGAATCGTGTACAGATCGTCGGCAGAGTACAAACGGTCCGTCTGGATCATGAAGTGGTTGAGGAAAATCTGCTTCAGTTCGTCAAAGGAGTCTACTGTCCCTGGCTCGAGACGGTAGAACCAGTTCAGAGCAGCTTCGGTAAGGGACGACGGAAATAGCAGACAGTACCCCTCGTCGCTGAGGCCCTTGCACCCAACTATCGATTGGAATGAGTGAAGGTGCGTCAATGGGTCCTCCACACCGATATAGAAGGGTATGCACAACGGCTGCACCTCCCTGTCCGGTCTGGACTTCTTGATACGCTCGGTAAATGGTCCCGGTCGAAGTTTTCCCCAATCAGGGACCTGGGACCGGGTTCGGTCATCCTCCATCTTCTGGATTCTTTGGAAAAGTAGGCGGATAGCGGGGTCTCGGCTTGGGACGTCCTCGGAACCAAAGTCTTCGGAAGTTCTCCTCGGACTTGGTGGTCTCGCCTTTGAGTACTCCGGGGGAGCTTCCGAACGGTAGCTTGATTCGATACCCCCGGTGGGGATGTACTCATCGTCGGATTCCAGCGCCGAATCTAAATCATGAACCCTCCGAAGGGGCGATTTATCTCCCAGGACCCTCATCCGGGAGTCCCTCAGGCGGGCGTTTACTCCAATTGGGGACCTATGCCGTTCGGCATCCCTCTTGTCGTTAATCCGATGACGACAATCGGTGTACACCTTCTTCGATACGTGAGGTTGGTCCTGGGGAGCCGGGACCACCAACTGTTTGGAAGGCGCAGGCGTTGCCTTTGCCCCCTGCTTTCCCTTCTTCTGCCGACCGGGGGTCTGCTGAATCTGGGAAGATTCGGTAGCCTGAATGTTTTATGTCTCCTGCTGATTAAGCAACCGTTGGGTTTCGTCTACCC